CCGTGCGCGAGAAAAACGTCTTGCCGCACTCGTCACACATGCACGGCTTCTCGCCCCCCATGTGCTAGGGTTGAACAGCGCCCCCCCAGACAGGGACAGCAGATTTTTGGCTGTTGTGGGCTCGGCTGAACCGCTTGCACCGCCTCCTTTCCCCGCCGCAGGATGGTGCTCGAGCTAGCCCTCCGTGAGCTCAGCCCACGACTGGAATGTCGTTTCTTGGCCTCTCGTGTCTCTGCTGCTCGACCAGACGGCCCCACTGAAGCCCACACAGGGGACTCTTCATTCACGACCCTTGGCCGTCTTGACGATCTCCGTGAAGTTTTCCAGGAACACAGCTTGGGGTCCGTGGCAATGTTGCCTTGGCAGGAACACAGCTTGGGGTCCGTGGCAATGTTGCCTTGGCAGGAACACAGCTTGGGGTACGTGGCAATGTTGCCTTGGCAGGAACACAGCTTGGGGTCCGTCGCAATGTTGCCTTGGCAGGAACACAGCTTGGGGTCCGTGGCAATGTTGCCTTGGCAGGAACACAGCTTGGGGTCCGTGGCAATGTTGCCTTGGCAGGAACACAGCTTGGGGTCCGTGGCAATGTTGCCTTGGCAGGAACACAGCTTGGGGTCCGTCGCAATGTTGCCTTGGCAGGAACACAGCTTGGGGTCCGTAGCAATGTTGCCTTGGCAGGAACACAGCTTGGGGTCCGTGGCAATGTTGCCTTGGCAGGAACACAGCTTGGGGTCTGTAGCAATGTTGCCTTGGCAGGAACACAGCTTGGGGTCCGTGGCAATGTTGCCTTGGCAGGAACACAGCTTGGGGTCCGTCGCAATGTTGCCTTGGCAGGAACACAGCTTGGGGTCCGTCGCAATGTTGCCTTGGCAGGAACACAGCTTGGGGTCCGTAGCAATGTTGCCTTGGCAGGAACACAGCTTGGGGTCCGTGGCAATGTTGCCTTGGCAGGAACACAGCTTGGGGTCCGTGGCAATGTTGCCTTGGCAGGAACACAGCTTGGGGTCTGTAGCAATGTTGCCTTGGCAGGAACACAGCTTGGGGTCCGTGGCAATGTTGCCTTGGCAGGAACACAGCTTGGGGTCCGTGGCAATGCCGCCTTGGCAGGAACACAGCTTGGGGTCCGTAGCAATGTTGCCTTGGCATTTACACAGCTTGGGGTCCGTGGCAATGCTGCCCTGGCAGGAACACAGCCTGGGGTCCATGGCAATGTTGCCCTGGCAGGAACACAGCTTGTGGTCCGTCGCACTATTAACTAGGCCTCACTCAGGCTAAAGTTAAGTGAACTATGTGGCTCTTTTTCAGAAGCCACGTGGCCTTTCACAAGTGATGGTTCAACCGAGGTGGTTTTATTCATGTCGACACTGATAGCAGCGGCCAAAATACTCGCGGCTAGGAAGGTGCTAATTTAATTTGCAACGTGTTCAGAATGCGGCTGCTCGGGCGTTAAATCAGAACACCTCCTCCTTCACGTCACATTATACCAGTGTTAGCCTCCCTGCACTGGCTTCCAGTTTCACGTAGAACACAGTTTACAATCCTCTTGTTGACTTACAAAGCGGTGAACAATCTTACCCTCAGCCGATATCATTGACATGCTTCACCCCAGTGCCAGATTAAGCTAGTTCGGGGCCTGTAGCACGTGATGTTATAAAGGGGCCCTAAATAAAAAAATACAAGTACATATTAAAACACGAAATTTTCACTTGCATAGTCAAGTAATTTTATTTAATCCTTTGCTATACAGCCGGATACGACATAATAACTAACCTTAACCACCCAGTCGTTCATAAAAGTTGAAGGCGGTATAGTACTATAGTAATAGAGCAAGTGCAGAATCACTGAACCTGAATTGATAGCTTGAAAGCGTTTAGCGCGGGGCCCTTGAAAGTGTGGGACCTGTAGCTACTACTACTACACGCGTAGTAGTAGTAGCTACTACTACGCGTGTAGTAGTAGCTACTACACGTGTAGTAGCTACTACACGTTACTACGAGGATAATCCGGCACTGGTTCAGGCCCATACATCCACCACCCTCTCAAGGGCCCGAAGATCTGGGCATGGTGCAAAGTCTTTTCCGTGTCCCAGCAGCGGCTGCTCGTGACACGTCCACTAGGTGGGGCTGTTGTGGTCATACCTCTGATGGTGTTCTCGTTGAGAAAAACCTCGTCAATGTTGTTGGCCTTAATAGAGGTTTTTTTAGGTTAGATCGAGTAAATTTATAATTGTCGTTAAACCCGCCACCACCCGACATAGCCAACTAGTAAGGGTTGTCACATAAACAGAACACGCCAATTCGTCACTAGTACAGCACACCGGTTGTGTGTTGGAGAGCCAAGCCACAACATTTACAATCTGAGTACGACGTTTCGCCAGTAATTACAACTAGCTTCATCAGGCGACAGCCAGATTTGTGGAGAAGTCCACCTATCTCGTTCCAGACACGGAGACACATGGACTTGTGTGTCTGTCCATGTGTCTCCGTGTTTGTGTTTTGTCTCTCTCTAAAATGTAGCAATCTTTGGAAGAACGTAATCAACCACGTGGGGTGTTGCCTGTTGTGTTAGCCAACTCTCTGTGTTGTATTGCATTATATTTGTAAGTTTGTTTTCTTATTCATTCTTACCTGATGACGGTTGCTTGTGTTGCAATCCAAACGTCGTATTCTATTATTTACGTTATTTTCTTTCTACGTGACTTTACCGAAAGAACCAGAGTAATTCCTGCAGGAACAAAAGCTTCACTCAAATGCTGTCCCCATGACCCTCAAATCCGCGCTCCACAACCCCTGTGACACCTGCTACATTGTCGAATGGAAAGCTCGGCCTACGCTGTGACATTATCCGACACTTTTAAGTTGTGGGTTTAAAAGCCACGAGTAAGTGTAATGTAACAAATATATCCTGTTACAAGGCCACCCAGCGTTGACATCGTCTCATTGTAGCTACAGGCGTCTCATTGTAGCTACAGGCGTCTCATTGTAGCTACTGGCGTCTCATTGTAGCTACAGGCGACTCATTGTAGCTACTGGCGTCTCATTGTAGCTACAGGCGTCTCATTGTAGCAACTGGCGTCTCGTTGTAGCTACAGGCGTCTCATTGTAGCTACAGGCGTCTCGTTGTAGCTACTGGCGTGGCTGCAATGTGAAGCTGCTCATCGCAATGACTGAAGAAATAAAGTCTCACCGATACGAACTAAAAATGTTATCTTCATGAGGCCATATTAGGCAATTCACGTTCAAATAACCATTGTAAGTTTTTTTTAACGCAACACAATTAATGGAAACGGTTTTTTTTTAAAATCATAGAAATAATTTATCATCTAAAGCTGCTTGGTGGGGCGATGGCCCCAATGTCCCTCCTCGTGGACGAACCCCAACTGATGTGTCCCAGGTGGAGGTTTCGGTCTATGGGTGACCGAGATTTTTCCCGTGTAGCCCCCAGGATTTGGAACGCTCTTCCACGAGACATCAGGGATCTCTGAACTGTTTTAAACTGTGCCTTAAAAACCTATTTATACGCTTCCGCTTACTACGTTTAGTTAATTTAGTAATTTATGCATTTAGAATATAAATTTTATGCCGAGTGTCTGTTGCTGCTGTCATGTACAGCGCTTTGAGATCCTTGATGAAAAGCGCTAGAAACATTGAATTATTATGAAACGCGTGATGTTCATTCTCGATGTGGGAGGAAAACCCCAGAGATGCAAACTCCAAATAAACAGCAGCAGGCGCCATGGTCCGGATCGAACCCTCGACCTCCTGTGTACCAGGCGAGGTAGTTAACATCTCCTAGCCACCGTGATGATGAGACACGCAAACTCCAAATATACAGCAGGCGTCGGGATCGAACCCACAACCTCCTTCATACCAGGCGAGGTAGTTAACGTCATCAACCATCGCTCTATTGAGACACCAACACATCAGCACGGACGTCGCTATGGAGAAAAGTTAACAAAGTCACCCAGCAGCCCACAACACCCCACACATTACCGTCTCTCCACCTACAAAAGACGTGGTTGTTTCTGTACTACACATCCCATCTGCCACACAGCCCGTGGTGAGATGTTAAACTCCTTGCCTGGTATACAGGTTGTGGTTTCGAAGCCAACCCTGACGCCTACTGCATATTTGGGGATTTGCATGTTCTCCCCGTGGTCGTGTGGATGTTTATCCAGGTCCTCCTGGTTTTCACTCCATATTTGGAAACGTCCGTTTTAGAGTATTTGGCTGCAATGAATTTCCACAAAAAGCCACTTCATTGGGCTATGTCTTCTTATCGAGATTTATATAGTGCCTTTACGAAGGCACTTAACAGACATCAAATTGTACATAGCATAACAATTTTAAAGTAAGAATTAGGTTATTGTTAGTGGTGTAGTTTTGATGTAGTGATAGCCAGGTTGCTTATGAAAGAGCTATATAGCTCAGTGGGGCCTTACTTGGTAAAATAAAACGTTTTTATTGTAGTTTTAGAGTGCATACTTTCAGCAGCATCGATTCAATACAGGCAAAATACTCTGGATCGGTTTAGATATTCAGTGTCTCATCAGCAGCCAGGCTTGTTCGAACCAATGCTTGTGGAATGTTTGCATCAAATGAGAACCCAAATCTTCGAGGATAATTGACCATAAACATCTGGAAGTTCACCAGGGTTGGTTCAAGTCTACTGGAGACATTGAATATTAAAACCAGTCGAGTTTCCCTTATATTGATGCTGCTGAAATAAAGTGCTTCCAGGAGGATATGGGACAAGTAGTATGGTTAAAACATTTTTTTTATATTAACAGACATGGAGAGGCATCTGATGTTTTTGCTAAGACTTCAAACATCTGCCAGGGCGCCATTCAGATAAAGCAACTCCCATCAATTCGTGGGCGTCCTTTTCGTCCAGCCGAGGGTACGACTGCCCTTTGGTAGCGTGGCTGCTACTCTCACACTGCACCATTCAAAAACATGTTTCACCTGAAAGTACCACAAAAAAACTCTGCAACCATGAGATACTTACGTTAGCATTCATTTCAAAATTATTTATTGCTTTTGCAAAACAATTGTACACGTTCCGACCGAGTGAAAATTATCGTGTTATACAAGTTCCCGTGTACAATTGCAATGTACAGGGCATGCTACTGAAATTACTTTAAGCTTGCTTGCCTAAACAATGGCCTACTCTTGTTTGAATTAAAATGTTCTATAGTTTTTTCGGTAAAGTCACGTAGATATAAAAAAATAAGTGAATAAAAATATCACGACGTTTCGATCACAACACAACCGGTCGTCATCACGCAAAGGAGTCAGCCTCTAAAGGCCAGCTGTTTATAAAGGTTTGGGGATGGGCGTAGCTCAGGGCATGGGCAGTGCACGAGTGCCAATGCAGCAACAATGCCGCTAAAATCCTTGCACCCCGCTCCACACACCACACTGCTGACGGTGGAGATTGATTGACATGAACACACAAGCCAAGTCAGGACCCCAAGTGGCTGATGACATCTTTCCAATGATTGCCGGGTCGAAACCTTCCTCTAAGTTGAAATTGTCTGTTTGTATATATGGATGGCTTCATGAACAAATCTTTAATACTCGTCTTAGAGAAATCAATTTCGTGAGCCAGCCGCATTAAAATAATGATCAGCTACGGCAGAAGTATTGGTCCTACCGTGTTTCAAATCTGCCTGACACAGAGACAATTTCAACCGAGGAAGGTTATAGACTCAGCACTCACTGGAAAGATGTCATCAAAAACTTTGGGTCCTGACTTGACTTGTGTTTTCTTGTGTAGCAGTAGTAGTGTTTAGTGTAGACGTGCTAGTCTGTCGAAGGCGAGGCCTGGACCGCCACTACCTAACTTTCTGCCACCACGACTCTCGCCAGGTAAAGCGGACTGATTAACGAACACACCCACAGCATTAACCAGGGTGGCCTGCCCAAGTCAACTGCAAACCTCTGACATAAGTGGCCATGTCACGCCACTCCACGACAATTACACGCAGTTACACACCCAGAAGGCATCCGTTCTGCTGCAGAGGATGGAGTCTTGTTGTATTCAGAAACTTCAAAATGTAACCCCTCCGGCCTTGCAAGACACCAGTGCTTGCACACATTAATAAGATAACAGATATACTGCTGATTACATATTTAATGCTATGTGTAAAATTAATTAAATGTGTGTTCTGACTTTTGGGCCACCCTTTATATGCAAATATATTATTACTATTAGGTTAGGGGAGCCAGAAGGTAGTGGCACACACTGGTGGACTCGTAGCAGCAGGGTTGTTCTCTGTAATCCTCTGCAGACATCCTTCTGTGCTGGCCCAGTGGAAAGCAAAGCGGACCGCATCACCCCCTCCGCACTGCTCCTTCGCTGGCAACACAAACAAGGGGACAGAACCGTGACAAAGTTGCTGAGAACAGGCACCAAAGCATCGCTGTCAATCCATACAGTTTACCCGTATTCTTGTACAGGGAAATTGAGTTTTCAGGTCCATGCAGCGTATAGCCGTTTCAATACGGGCAAAAAAAACATTTGTGTTTCTTTGTAGGATGAACGCTGGGATTTCTAAAGGGCACGGGGTGACAAATCAGATCTGAATTGGTCTGTAACAAGGTAGGGCACTGGTATGGGGTTGACAGATATGCCAAAGGCCAGCTTATACAAAGGTTGGGTTAATGCACGTGCTTAATTTTGCAGCGGTTATTTGACAAACGTGCCAAGGACAAAAATAAACTGCGGAAGGAGAATTCAAATTATTATTATTGTAGTTGTTTAGCCGCCATCTGCTGCTGGGGAGGGGGGGGGGGCTCCGGCTCAGAGTCTCACAGCGAGAAGTCAAGAGTTCAACGCAGCTGCGCCCGGCGCCCGGGGCGGTAGAGCCCGCGGGCTCGGCGCATCGGTATTAGCATGGGCACTCATCATGGCCGGACTCGCCGCCACCGCCACGGTGGATAAGCGACCTGCTGCCCCCCGCCCCCACTTCATACCCACGAACTCCCCGGTGAGATGTTAACCACCTCGCCTGGTATACAGGACCACCTTAAGGTTCGATCCTGACCCTGACCGCCGGCTGCTGTATATTTGGAGTTTGCATTGCTTCTCCCTGTGGTCGCGCTTCTAAGAGTATTTGGCTGCAATTAATTTCCACACCACGACAAGCCACTCTCAAGTGGTCAGGCCGCTGCTGAAAGGGCTCTCAAACGACTCTCACTCCTGGGGGTCCTTTTCGTCCAGCTGGGGTTCCGACTGCCCTTCGAAAGCGTGATTGCTACTCTCACGCTGCACCATTCAAAAACATGTTTTACCTGCAAGTACCACAAAACACTCTGCAAATATGAGACACTTACGTTAGCAGTAATTTAAAATAAAAATCGTAATAATTTGTGCAAATTTGTCCACTTTCGACCGAGTGCAAATGATCGTGTTATACAAGTTCCCGTGTACAATTAAAATGTACAGGGCACTCACTCCTCACCCAACTCTCCCAATCACGTTCACTTCCTCGACTCCTGCCACACACAATTCACGCCTCACCCACACCTTCCCACCACTCAATCGCCACACACGAGCGCTGATGTTTACAGTCTCAGGTACGAAACTAATTTTAGGACTAGTTCACCTAGGGGAGACGGCTAGGATTGTTTCAAATGTTCCCAAGTTATACGTCGTGAGCGGGATATCGAACTCCGGCGGATGGTTTAGTAGCAGTGCGTTAACCGCTACACTACCGCTCACCACTCTTCCACCACAACAAAGACCCCCCACCCCGTGCAGCCTGTAGCAGACTGTAGGGGCAAGTGCTGTTAGCGAGCACCTATGAAGGCCGGAACGGTACACGAGGGGGTGGGTGGCCAGCACCACGCCCGACCGCCTTTGTCTCCCCAGTGGCGATGTTTACACATAGCAGCAGGTACTCATTTGAGGCCAAGTCGACCTAGGGGCGGCCCAGGACCGGTTCAAAGTAATCGTCAAACTGGTGTTGGCCGTGAGCGGCAATTGAACTCGGCTGGCCGGGTTCATTGCGCAGCGCGCTCACCACGACACCACCACCACACAACGCTCCGATCTCACCTTCACTCACCACCGTCTCCTCGGCGTGCACTTGAGGGCTTCTTCACTCACCGCGGAATGAGCCCTCCACCACCACAACCACCACACAAGTAAGAAAGAAGAACTCCACGATTAGAGGCGTGGTGGGGTTGGATGTGGGGTTGAATCGTGTTAATCTTAGTACGTGTTAATCTTAGTACGTGTTAATCTTAGTACGTGTTAATCTTAGTACGTGTTAATCTTAGTACGTGTTAATCTTGGAACGTGTTAATCTTGGAACGTGTTAATCTTGGAACGTGTTAATCTTGGAACGTGTTAATCTTGGAACGTGTTAATCTTGGAACGTGTTAATCTTGGAACGTGTTAATCTTGGAACGTGTTAATCTTAGAACGTGTTAAACTTAGAACGTGTTAAACTTAGAACGTGTTAAGCTTAGAACGTGTTAAGCTTAGAACGTGTTAAGCTTAGAACGTGTTAAACTTAGAACGTGTTAAACTTAGCACGTGTTAAACTTAGTACGTGTTAAACTTAGCACGTGTTGAACTTAGCACGTGTTAAACTTAGAACGTGTTAAACTTAGTACGTGTTAAACTTAGCACGTGTTAAACTTAGCACGTGTTAAACTTAGTACGTGTTAAACTTAGCACGTGTTAAACTTAGAACGTGTTAAACTTAGAACGTGTTAAACTTAGAACGTGTTAAACTTAGAACGTGTTAAACTTAAGAGATATCGGATGGAGCGGCCCTCATAGGCCCCTTGCAACAGCCTCGGCCTTGCCTGACCCACGCGGGGCCCTCGCGAGGGAACGACGACGAACTAAACGCATCCCTAGACACGGTGAACGGCTGAACGAGTTAGAGAGAACGAGTTAGAGAGAAGAACGAGTTAGAGAGAAGAACGAGTTGAGAGAAACCGCCGAGATAATTGCGGCACAGGAGGCAGCGGTGAGGAGCGCGCCGCTCTGCCCGGAGATTTGATCGCCTCTTTAAGATTCGCGACGCGTCGATTCTTGGGGCATCGATTCAGGTGGGATCGATTCGGCGGATCGAGTGTTTTTTTCCATTCGGCGGGAGCCCTGAACCCGAGTCAGTGTCGCTCCTTCTGCGGAATGCAATTCTGTGAGTTAATCTTTACGCCAGGATTGTGACTTTATTTTATTACTATTGTTACCGTACACGATTTTATTTAACTCACAGCGTCTGTTGTCGTATCCTCAAATCTTGTAACGCAGTTTTAACTTCCCAATGTGATATCGACTGCAAGCCTTGTATACTTCTGTCACACTGATGACAATACTATATCTTCTTTGGTTCTTTCGCTAAAGTCACGTAGGTATAAAATAAAATAAATCACGACGTTTCGGGAGCAACACCAGCGTCCGTCTTCAGGTGGGAAAGCATGGTCTGCTGCTGAGGCAGACTGTTTTAAAATTAAAAGTTTCCACACGGACTTCTGATAGTTTACCGGCATTGCCTGAAGCGAAGCTTGACAATGTGCTGCTGCTGAGGATCATGATGCAATGAATGTCAAAATCATGTGCAGGAGGTTTTGCTTGCGTTGAAATAATGCATCCTAGAAGGCCGCGTGGCTGACGGGATGAGTAGACAAATAATTTGTCTTGTCCCCTGCGTTGTCCTTACGTGGAGCACGGGAGAGAGAGGTTCTGTGTCTGACCAGGTAAGGCCCCCACTGAGCCACATCGCTCTTCTTCAGAAGCCACCTGGCTATCACAAATGATAGCTCAACAAAGGTGGCTCATCACGTGGACATAGCAGGCAAACACTCTAAACGCGTGGTGACGTTGATTCTAAATGTGAAAGGGGGCAAAACCGGAGCACCCGGAGACAAATCCACGCGACTACGTGGAGAGAGAGAGACACACAAACTCCAATTATACAGCAGCAGCAGCAGGCGTCAGGGTCGGGATTAAACTCACGACCTCCTGCACACCGAGCGAGGTAGTTAACATCTCATAGCCACCGTGATGATGAGGAGAGAGAGACACGCACACTCCAAATATACAGCAGCAGCAGGCGTCAGGGTCGGGATCAAACTCACGACCTCCTGCACACCAGGCGAGGTAGTTAACATCTCCTAGCCACCGTGATGATGATGATGAGAGAGACACGCAAACTCCAATTATACAGCAGGCGTCAGGGTCGGGATCGAACTCACGACCTCCTGCACACCAGGCGAGGTAGTTAACATCTCATAGCCACCGTGATGATGAGAAAAAGAGACACACAAACTCCAATTATACAGCAGCAGCAGGCGTCAGGGTCGGGATTGGGCAGGCGGCGTACTATTTAGCGATGTTGTTGCCACACGGTTTGCCTGGCGACCTCTTGCGTACAGAAACCACAGCGCGCCACTAAGGCGTTTCCCTGTCCCATTGCCCCCAAGCAGGCGGGCGGCAGGCGGCTGTGGACCAGAATAACTGTGGGCGTCGTGGCCCACGCGTGGACCCGTGGCCGGCGTTCGTCTTCACTTCTGCTAAATGACGCTGTGGCTGCCCCCACCCGTTGCCACGTAGCACCGTGCACGGCAAGCGGCCTCGTCTTGCCGTGAAGTGACCGAGAGCGTGGTGGGGTCCTCGCCTGGACACCTGCGGTCGTTCGCCAGCATCGATTGAAGCAGCAACAGCAGCAACAAAAACCCCGCCCGACTCTGCCGATGAGAACACCGAGTCGTTGAAAAGCGCTCCGAAGTTTTGTTTTTGCCTCCGTTGAAACAATGCCGCTGTAGTTGTGCACGTCCAGGTGATGGCCGTGATACAACCTGACAGGAGGTTGCACATTTTGATTTTCATTCGTTGATGAGGGACTGGTGTGGGACGGAGTCGCGTTGATTTGCGTGTTTACGTTGTTACGAATTTCCTCGACGGCAAAACCCACCATCAGTGATCGTTGTCCACCTGCCGTGGCTTTCCTGCAGGGCGAGCCGAGGATTTCCACTCGACGTGACTCAGTGGGGTCAGACTACTACTCAATGTAACTCTTCCTCTTTAAACAAAACAATATATCTAAACGGAATTTATTTCTACCCCAGCCTTCTAGCTGTTCATCCTTAACTACTATGGAGACCTCCATTTGTATGTATGTCTCAAATCAACCTCTAAGGCTAGAAAGCTGAAATTTGGTACAGGAGGTAGATTTTATGACACAAAAAACAGGGAAAAATCTGAAAATGCCAGATGTGTTTTTTTTTATTTTAAGGCCACCAAATCTCGATGTCAAGTGCCCCATCAACATGTCTGTGCCTGGTGTCATTCAGAAACCGTTTAAAATAAAAATTGCGGGGTTTCCTTTGATAGAGCGTTTAACAGCAAATACAATTAAAGCGAGAACCATTGCTCTATCTAAAATAGTTTTTGAATTATTTGGGATTCAAGCGGTTTTGGACGAAAATAATTCGCATTTTATGATGATCAAATCTGAATAATGCATCGAAAACGGTAATATATAGGAGAGCTTCCCCTCCCAGAATAATTACGTTTATTCATTTTTGTTCTTTCTGATAAAAAAGAACGGCATCTTGGAATTGAGCAGTTTCCGCTGGGTACGTCTTTAAATATAAGAAGTTGAATCAATACGTCAACAATTGTTGTGTTATCTGTGTGTGTACACTATGTGTGTTCATGTGTCTGTGTACACTATGTGTGTGTGTTCATGTGTCTGTGTGTGTACACTATGTGTGTGTGTTCATGTGTATGTGTGTACACTATGTGTGTTCATGCGTCTGTATGTGTACACTGTGTGTTCATGTGTCTGTGTGTGTACACTGTGTGTGTTCATGTGTCTGTGTGTACACTATGTATGTGTTTATGTGTCTGTGTGTGTACACTATGTGTGTGTGTTCATGTATCTGTGTGTGTACACTGTGTGTGTTCATGTGTCTGTGTGTGTACACTGTGTGTTCATGTGTCTGTGTGTGTACACTATGTGTGTTCATGGGTCTGTGTGTGTGTACACTGTGCGTGTGTGTTCATGTGTCTGTGTGTGCTAGCCTGCCGACGATCCATCCTGGGTTTAACCAGGCTGGATTGTGTGAGGAGCTCACAAATCCTTAAAAGATCTGGGCAAGGTCCCATCGGTGAGCTCCTCCGGCGGGCAAGGCTGCGTTGGCTGGGTCATGTAGCCCGCATGCCCAGCCACCGCATGCCGAAACAGCTTTTGTTCGGCCGGATTGAGGGGGCGAAACGGGCGCGGCACGGGCTAGAGAAGAGATGGAGTGATGTGGTACAGGAGGACGTGGAGCTGAGTGGACTTGCCGATGACTGGTACCAGCGTTGTCAAGATCGGCCTCTGTGGAGGAGGCTCGTGAAGGACGCTACTGGGCAGTTGGAGGTAGTCGCCCTCCAACAACAACGGAGGGCGGAGGAGCGACGCTCACAACAACGAGCGGAGCGCCGGGTGGCTAAAGCACAGCAGGTTGGCACAGTAGGGGGCACAGGTGGTGCATCTGCCAGTCATCTCAGTCAGTCGACCCGTGGCACCTGGGTCTGTCCCGTGACCTCCTGCCAGCGGGCGTTCGACACTTCACGTGGCCTCAGGGTGCACATAGCCTGGCACAAGCGTCGTGGTGACGTCACCGCCACTTAGTGGCGAATGGCGGTTGTTGTGTGTCTGTGTGTGTGTCTGTGTGTGTCGGTGTGTGTGTATGTGTCGGTGTGTGTCTGTGTGTGTCGGTGTGCGTGTGTATGTGTCGGTGTGTGTGTCGGTGTATGTGTGTCGGTGTGCGTGTGTCGGTGCGCTAGTGTCGTTCCGAGAAGTGACGCTTCGGCTCAGCTGTAAAAGCAATTAAGTTTGGTGACTCCCCGCGCCGTTCAGCGACTTTAAATACCGCTGCGCCCGTCTTTCCACTCGCATCGCAGTCGTGAGTCTCGCTCGCTCACTCGCTCCACCACACCGGCTCCACTCCTCCTCTCCACGACAAGCTGCGCCCAAGACATGGCCTCACAGGTGAGCTTCCTTGCGAGTTTTCTCCGAAGCGATTGCTCGTTGTTTGTTTTACTTCGATGTTTTAGATTTATAGTCGCGCTTTATTGCTCTGTACGCATTTGTTTTCGTGTCGTTGCTTTTGGCATTATGGTGACCCCCCCCCTCACTCTCGCAATTTGAGACTCTTTCTTGGTTCTCTTAAGTTCTCGTCTGGCTGCACAAACTAAAATTTGACGTTCAACCACACGGGCAACCGTCTCACATAGTGACACCACGACCTCCATCTCACACAGTCACCACGACCTCCATCTCACACAGTGACACCACGACCTCCATCTCACATAGTGACACCACGACCTCCATCTCACACTGTCACCACGACCTCCATCTCACACAGTGACACCACGACCTCCATCTCACACAGTGACACCACGACCTCCATCACACACACTGTCACCACAAGCTCCATCACACACAGTGACACCACGACCTCCATCTCACACAGTGACACCACGACCTCCATCTCACACAGTGACACCACGACCTCCATCTCACACAGTGACACCACGACCTCCATCTCACACAGTGACACCACGACCTCCATCTCACACAGTGACACCACGACCTCCATCTCACACAGTGACACCAACAACAACAACAACCGCCATTCGCCACTAAGTGGCGGTGACGTCACCACGACGCTTGTGCCAGGCTATGTGCACCCTGAGGCCACGTGAAGTGTCGAACGCCCGCTGGCAGGAGGTCACGGGGCAGACCCAGGTGCCACGGGTCGACTGACTGAGATGACTGGCTGATGCACCACCTGTGCCCCCTATTGTGCCAACCTGCTGTGCTTTAGCCACCCGGCGCTCCGCTCGCTGTTGTGAGCGTCGCTCCTCCGCCCTCCGTTGTTGTTGGAGGGCGACTGCCTCCAACTGCCCAGTAGTATCCTTCACGAGCCTCCTCCACAGAGGCCGATCTTGACACCGCTGGTACCAGTCATCGGCAAGTCCACTCAGCTCCACGTCCTCCTGTACCACATCACTCCATCTCTTCTCTAGCCCGTGCCGCGCCCGCTTAGCCCCTCAATCCGGCCAAACAAAAGCTGTTTCGGCATGCGGTGGCTGGGCATGCGGGCTACATGACCCAGCCATCGCAGCCTTGCCTGCCGGAGGAGCTCACCGATGGGACCCTGCCCAGATCTTTCAAGAATTTGTGAGCTCCTCACACAATCCAGTCTGGTTAAACCCAGGATGGATCGTAGGCAGGCCAGCCTAAATGTTTCTAACCGGCGAAGATGTTCCATTAGGGGGGTCCACGTTTCGCAAGCGTAGAGAAGGGAGGGAATGACCGTGGCCGAAAAGACCTGAAGCTTAGTGCGGAGCGACAGACCAGGTAGCTTCCACACAGCGTTACGCAACCGATGAAAAGATATTGCCGCTCGACTGATTCGGAGTGAGACCTCTGCTGTTAAACTGGAGCCAGTCATAAGCACACTGCCCAGGTATGGGAAACTCTCCACTCTCTCCACAACTGCCCCATCACCGATTTGGAGTTGTGGGGGTGGAGTGTCCGATGGTACAAAATACCCAGGCAGGTGCTTAGTTTTGGTGGGGCTGATGGTAAGGCCCACCCTCTTAGTGGCACGCTCCAGTCTCAGCAGCAGCGTCTCCAACTCCTCCTCTGACTGAGCAGCTATTACCAAGTCATCAGCGTACATAACGTGGTTGAGCAATAGGGAGCCATCCCTTGACCGCACCCGGGCATCGATTAGCCTCCCATTATATCTGTACCATATGGAGATTCCCCCGGTACAGCTATTGAAGGCTTCACGAACTACGTGGTCAAAATAGATGTTAAATAATGTGGGAGCCAGAGGACATCCCTGTCGCACCCCAAGGTGTACAGGGAATGGCTCTGACTCCCGGCCACGTAGTTTTACCCGAGCCCGCTCACCATCATGAAGGTCCTTAATGATCGTGAGCAGAGGGTCAGGTACTCCAAAAGCACGAAGAACGACCCAGAGCCCAGGCCTACTGATGGTATCATAGGCCTTGACCAGGTCAATAAAGCAGAGATGTAGGTCTTGTTGGAATTCCCTACACCTCTGCTGTAGCAGACGGACAGAAAATATGGCATCTGTGCAGGACCGCCCTTTCCTGAAACCGCATTGGGGCTCCGCAAGCCTCTCCTCAGCGTGCCTGGCAAGGCGATGCTGAATAATCCTTGCCAGGACCTTTCCCGGCACACTGAGGAGTGAGATGCCCCTGTAGTTGTTACAGTCTGTGCGGTCCCCCTTCTTAAAAAGGGGGACCACCAGGGCATCCTTCCAATCCTGCGGAACCCGTCCAGTGGTCCAGACTGTTGTTATGATGTCATATAGGGCAGTCTGTGCACAAACGCCACCCTCCCTCAGCATTTCGCTTGGGAGATCATCTCTGCCCGCTGCCTTTCCTGGTCTCAGACTCCGGATCGCCTTCAATACTTCCTCAGCAGATGGCACCTCAGCCAGCCACTCACAGGGGGTGACTTCATCCAATATTTGAGGCACCGCATCCTCAGCAGGGTCATCCTCACTTTGTGCCACGATCTTTTCCTGGCTGAGGGATTTTCCCTCCCCCAGGACCTCACAGAAATGCTCAGCAAATCTGCGAACCTGTTCCTGGGGGTCGGAAATTGGATCACCGTTTTTTTCCCCTAATGATGGTAATAGGTGTGGCGCTGCAGGTTACTTTTTTGATGGAGTTAAATAGAGATTTGTGATCACGGGCCACTGAGGCAGACTCCATCTCCTCAGCAACCCGCGACCACCACCCATCCTTGCAGCGCCTCACGGCTCTCCGAACCTCCGAGCGAAGGCTGCGGTAAGTCTCCTCATTCTCTGACGTGGGATTCTGTAGCCGATGACAGTGGGCCTGTCGCTTTTTCTCAACCATCCTGAACAACTCCTCTGTCATCCAGGGTGTCTGGGGAGGTCTGGGCCGCGTACCCAAAGCAGCCATTGCAGCTGCATGAGTCACAGTCCTAAACCTCGCCCATTTACCCTCGACATCAGGAGGAGTCGGGGACGATGCCAATCCCAGCCGCAAGCGATGATGAAATTCTCGCTTGCAACTTTCATCAGATAACTGAGACCAGGCCACTTTAGGTTGGAATGGGGTCCTGGGTGTACACCCACCACCGGAGTGGAAGAATGGCAGGCGCATCTTACAGATGACTAGTCGATGGTCAGAGGGCAGATCAGCTCCACGGTAGGTCCTGGTGTCAAGGACATGGGCTCGCATTCGCTGGTCCGTCACTATGTAGTCCAGCAGATGTTCTTGCTTGGACCCGGCATGCATCCATGATGTTGTGTGGATGCGCCGATGCCGGAACAGCGTGTTGGTAATTACAAGCCCATGGGCTGCACAAAAATCTAGCAGCCTCCTACCGTTGTTATTGAGCTGATCTGGCCCATGCCCTCCAATCACTCCAGACCAGGTGCCAGTATCATGACCAACTCGGGCATTGAAGTCACCCAACATGATGACTCTATCCCGAGGGGCCACTTTAGCCAGCACCTGTGACAGGAGGTCATAGAAGGCATCTGACTCATCGGCTTTGCCTGCATCCCTCCACGGATGTTCATCTTCGGTGGGGGCATAAGTAACCACGACCACCATTCCTCGCCTCCGGTTGATGGGAAGGCGAGCCCAAAGTAGCCTGGGGCTTACAGCTTCCCACACCTCACCGCCACGCTCCCACGCCCCCTTCATTCTTTTGTTCAAAAGAAGACCCACACCCTGTTGTTTGGCAGTCTGCTGCCCCGAGTAGAGGACTGTCCACCCCTCATGGTGGCAGGAGCCAGAGCCGGTCCACCGGACCTCCTGAATGCCGCATAGATCCAGGCGGTACCGGTCCAGCTCCCGACAGAGGAGTGGCAGCCTCTCCTCTGCAGTGAGCGTTCGAACATTCCACGTGGCCACCCGTAGTGGCTTTTCGTTGTTTCTGGAGTAGCCCCGAGGGTAGGTATTCAATCTTCTGGCTCCGCCAATTGGGGTTTGGCCAGGAGACGTCATAGACGCCTGGCCCCCCGGGGCCTCCGGCACAAGCTTAGTTGTTACATATTTCAGTTTTATTCGTGGTTTCCTGGTAATTAATTGAAGGTGGAGGGGTTACCAGCCCCTCGCACCCGTCCAGAGCCCCCGTTTAGCCCCTGTGGTGGACACATATGCCATGAGGGGAGGAGCCAATCAAATTTGGATCTCCCCCCACAGCGCTGTCCACGACAGCGTTGCCCGTCCGGCACCGCGAGGAGGTAGGGGGTTGTTTTGCCGGACATCTCACACGGTGACACCACGACCTCCATCTCACACCACCTAGTTCAGGGGTCGGCAACCTGCGGCTCTGGGGGACCGTTCCGTGACCCTCAGTCATTTAGGCACCGCCACCGTCTCTTCACATGGAAACTTAATTTTTGTAAAATTTGCCGAATTAAAAAAAAAAGTCTCTTCTTGTAATGTTTTTTTTTTCCCGACTCCTCACCTAGGCACTTAAACTATATTTTGAATTGAATATTTAGTTAAATATTTAGCTCAACATTTTCCCATAGATAATCCCTTGACGTGGAACATTTCGTTTGCAAGGATGTTCGGAGATGTCGATTTGCTGCAATTGTTAAATGGCGTGCGCGTGCCGATCGCTCCCCAACATTTACCGGTGGACATTCCCAAGCGGTTATTGTCGCTTTCACTCATCACGTGACAACTTCACTATTACCGTATTTTCCCGCATATAGCCCGCATACGCATATAGCCCGCATACGCATATTCCCGCAAAAATAGCGTTTTGTGTAAAACAAATTTCAGATAGTCCGCACCTCCAAATACCCCGCATGCATTCATATATTTAACGTCGTTACCGCAGCTTAATTCCATCATATTAATACGAAGTTTACATTTGTAATACATTCCACTATCAATTGTTAGCATTAAAATCATAACGTGCACAAAGAAAACAAACTAACCGGAAACGAGTGAACTTAAAACAGTAAATAAGTAACAAAAGTAAATATACAATAATAAGTAACATTACTGGTAGATAAGTAAGTACAGTTTTAGCACTGGTAGATTGCGCACTGCGCAGATGATAGCGGCACTACGGTGACGCCGTCGCCTCCCCCCCAACCCCCACCTCTCTCTCCCCCCAGCTGCCCCACCCCCCGACCCCCACCTCTCCCCCCCAGCTGCCCACCCCCCCAACCCCCACCTCTCTCCCCCCAGCTGCCCACCCCCCAACCCCCACCTCTCTCTCCCCCAGCTGCCCCACCCCCCAACCCCCACCTCTCTCTCCCCCCAGCTGCCCCTCCCCCCAACCCCCACCTCTCCCCCCAGCTCTCCCATCGTCGGTAAACTGCGCCCACTTCAAACATTGTCGTTTAATTGTGCAAACAATTAATTTAAAACGTGATAACGTGCAACTTCAGTGTGAGTGGTTTATTCTACAGTGCTTTTGTCAAAGTTAAGTGTTGCATAGTGGATAGTCCTACCATGAAAACATTTAAACGAGTTATGACATGTCACACGTGTAAAATATTTTTGGGATAGCCCGCACCTCCATATACCCCGCAGGGTCTTGTTTGTAAAAAGTGGTATACCCCGCGGGTTATATGCGGGAAAGTACGGTAATTGGATGCGTTGGGTGGAGGAGGGTGAACAACACACGACACACACACTCTTTTACCCCCAAAATTGAATAATCAATTCCAATTAATAATATTTGCTCGTGAAAAGCCTATTCGTTTAAATGTGCATGGGAATTTGCGGGTAAAAGCAGGGACCGCGTGTAATCGTGCAGTGACACCTCGCTCGCTCGCTCACTCGCTGTGATGCGTTTCAGAGAGCAGCCGCACACTGAACGTTCGATGCGTGAACAAAACAAACAACCAGCAAAAAAAACAGGAACAAATCAACAACATCAGGAAGCTTTGAAACAGTGCCAACGATCATTTATTTAATTTTTTATATCTTTGGACACTTTTAAACGACGCGTGGAGGACGTTACGTGTCGGCAGTGCACAAAGCCAAGAGGTGATGTCGAGGTTGGTGTCTGTGCGTGTGTTTGTGCTTTTCCCTTCCTCTCCCCCTTCTCCCGGGTCCTCAATGTCGCCACCATGGCCCCCAACAGGAAACTTCCCCGGGCAAACCTCTCACCCCGTACCAGGGAGAAGACCGGTGCTTTGGCACGTTCGAGTGCCCCAAGTGCAGGCGCAAGTGGTGGAGCGCGTTCTCCTGGGCCAACATGGGGCAGGAATGCGAACGCTGCATGATCAACGTGTACCCCTACCAGCAGGTGCGGGGAGGGGGGCAGCTTACCGTGGGTCCTCACCGCGAGCGGTTACGCACGCAGCGGCGGCGGTAGTGTTGGCGGTGGTAGCGGTGGTGGCGGTGGTGGTGGTTTGTGCACTCCGGAGTTTTGAATCCGACGTACCGAGTTTGTTTTTGGGGAGCGGGTGGGGGGTGTTGTTTGTTGTTGTTGTGTGTGGAGAACAAGACCACAGGCCCCAATGCGTCAAGTAGCGCTATCAAGGTTGCAATAGACAGGAGGTTGACGCCTTTGTTGGGTTGCAGCGAGGCGGTTCTTGTAGAGGGCTCAGGAGAGAGGCGATGGGAGGGGACTGCAGAGTTGGAGCAGTGCTGGGGGGGGGGCAGAAAGCGACGTGAGGTGACATGCAGTGTGGTGAGTGAGTGGGTGAGTTGTTGTGAGCTGCAGTGTGGTGAGTGAGTGGGTGAGTTGTTGTGAGCTGCAGTGTGGTGAGTGAGTGGGTGAGTTGTTGTGACATGCAGTGTGGTGAGTGAGTGGGTGAGTTGTTGTGACATGCAGTGTGGTGAGTGAGTGGGTGAGTTGTTGTGAGCTGCAGTGTGGTGAGTGAGTGGGTGAGTTGTTGTGACATGCAGTGTGGTGAGTGAGTGGGTGAGTTGTTGTGAGCTGCAGTGTGGTGAGTGAGTGGGTGAGTTGTTGTGACATGCAGTGTGGTGAGTGAGTGGGTGAGTTGTTGTGACATGCAGTGTGGTGAGTGAGTGGGTGAGTTGTTGTGACATGCAGTGTGGTGAGTGAGTGGGTGAGTTGTTGTGAGCTGCAGTGTGGTGAGTGAGTTGTTGTGAGCTGCAGTGTGGTGAGTGTGTTGTTGTGAGCTGCAGTGTGGTGAGTGAGTGGGTGAGTTGTTGTGACATGCAGTGTGGTGAGTGAGTGGGTGAGTTGTTGTGACATGCAGTGTGGTGAGTGAGTGGGTGAGTTGTTGTGACATGCAGTGTGGTGAGTGAGTGGGTGTGTTGTTGTGACCTGCAGTGTGGTGAGTGTGTTGTTGTGAGCTGCAGTGTGGTGAGTGTGTTGCTGTGACCTGCAATGTGGTGAGTGTGTTGTTGTGACCTGCAGTGTTGTGAGCTGCAGTGCAATCAAAGAGTGAATGTTACCAGGTCACAACCCGAGTCCACATTGCAAACACTGTGTTTCAGATCTCCATCGGGTGATCACAGACCCTCATCATGATCATGATAACAATATCATAAGAAATTGTGATTTCTTGGTCACAGCTCACACGAGTGCTGAGTAATATTTGAACCGGGCCGGGCCTTTTCCACTCACCAACCCGTGCTGAGGGAGGGAGGGAGGATGCGTTACGTACGGCCAAGCAACCTCACGGTCGACTGGCCGGCGTAGCGCATTATTTATTTAGTAATATTATGCACGTCCTTAAGTTTGATTGAACCGCCAAAGTAACTGTGCCATTGCATGGAAGAGCATTCTGTGGCGCAACTCAAAAGTCGCGTACATTAAACGTAATATTCATAGTCATTATCATCGTAATTTTCATACTAATATAGTTTGTAATTTTCATAGTAATTCAAGTAGTAATTTTCATAGTTATTTAAGTAGTAATTTTCCCATGACATAAAATAAATCGTAGGGGTTAGGGAGAGCACGCTTTCGACACCTCATTCTTACGTTAACATTTGTCACTGGTCACAGCAACACGTCATATCTGCAATACTACCACACGTGTAGTAAAGATAGTAACAGCCCTTTTTAAAGAAAGACAATTGCTAAAAAGTAAATAAAAAACAAAGAGATATTTTTTGTAACAAGTTGGTGAGATCATTACCGGACATATTTGGTAGGCAAATGGGGTGCACAAAAGTTCAGTTGCGTGATGCCGCTGCACCTCAGGCAGCATCGCTGCGACTCAACCTTGCCGCCCGACTTACGACGAGCTCGCAAGCGCGTTGCCTGCACCGTGGCCCACGTGCTGGAGGAGCGCGTTATTGCAATAACCGCGTGCGGTTAACAAATACAAGTGTCAATCGAATGCGCCGTTTCAAAATCGCGTGACGTGAAAAAAAACCGCGCGTAAATCGCGATGCAACAAATGTGGGGCGCATTTCTCTGCAACGACCCCCCAATCATCATGCACAGACCCTAAACGAGATAACGCCAACGCGTTCCAGCGCCCTTTGAATCGAATTCCAACTCCAAATCGTGACAACTGAATCAGGGGAAGATGAGGTGGGGGGGAATGTTTATTATAGTTTATCATTGTCCACATCTGTCTCAGTGTTTCCCGACCTTCTTGTGCAGGATTCCCTGAATAAGCCGGACAATGAGAACAAGTCGGACCCGAGAAAGCCGCACCCATCTCATCTGTGCGAGAAGTGCAAGAAGTTGGGGCGCAGCTGCGTTTAGGACCACCTGGTGAGGTTCCTCGCTTCTCAGAGAGGAGGACGAGGTGGGGGGGACAGACACCGGGTGTGAGCGGCGATCGTGAGATGCGTTTGAGGAGCTACACACACACACTATACGATGGGACGTCATTCGAAGTTTTTGTTGCCATCGTTCAGAACAAAATTCCACCGTTGCAGCCTCCCCTCAGGGCACCCATTCAGAGCGGATGCCCCCCCCCCTCCAGTGTTGACATTGACGCCCCATAGCCACGTGGTCTTCGTCGCCGTTTCCCAGCGGTGTGCCGCTCGTCGCAGAGTCCCCACGGCTTGAGCCCACGGCCCCCTCTGGTGAACACTTCGGCCGTGGAAGTTTTGAAGACGCTCGAAGAAAGGGGCAGGTCACGCGCGCCAAGCGTCGTTGTCCAATATTTTTGCCAACATTATGCCGGCAACAAAAAAAATGTTTACGTCCCGTGAATGCTGAGGAACAACACCCTACTAAAATAAGAGTCTTGGGATACAGCGAGGCTTTGCTGGGAAAAAAAAATAAATGTCATAAAAAACATTGGATTGATTATTTGAGGCCGAGTCAGGATTGGGCGAGGAGGTGCAGCAGTTGGGCGAACGATGTCTGAAGCATCAGGTCAGCATGGGTGCAGGGCGAGGTTTCTGACGAAACGTGCGTCAATGTTGGGCTAATGGGCAAAATGCCATCCCAGAATGGGCTGGCAACGGTGGCTGTTGTTTAACCAGCAATAAAGGCACAAAATGTAGGCCACGATTGGACCAAGTTAATCTTATCCATAATAAAGGTTTTTGGGGTTAGATCGCATAAATAAAATGTGTCGTTAAACCCACCACCACCATCACCACCCGACACAGCCAAATTAGTAAGGTTTGTCACGTGAACAAAACGTGCCAATTTGTTACTAGTCTAGCACACCGATTGTGTGTTGGAGAGTAAACCCACTACAACATTTATAATTCATTATTGTGGGTTTACTCTCCAACACACCGGTGTACTAGTAACGAATTGTAATGCTTTGTTGACGTGACAAATCTCACAAATTGACTCTGCCGGGTGGTGGCGGGTATAATGGGACGTTTATATTCACGTGATCTAACCCAAAAAGCTTCTACTATAGATAATATTGGTAGCAAAGCCAATATTAACTGCGTGTTGATCCGAGTTAATCCTGCCAGCCGGGTAAGCCACCGTTCACACTCGCATGCGGGATGAAGGAAATGTTTGGGGACCGCAGCGACGCCGTGGTGGCTCTCCCTCCCCTTCTCCTCTGCCTCCTCGCACTCGGCCAGCGATGGCTTGTTGTGTTTTTTGCTCCGATTTCCATTCGCCCTTCGTTGCTGTACGAGTATTTGTTTTCGTGTTGTTGCTTTTGGCATTTTGGTGAGCCCCACTCACCCGCCCCCCAGGTCACTCTCGCATTTGAGAATCTTTGTTGGTTTGCTTAAGTTCTTGCCTGGCTACACCAAATCAACTTTAACCTTGAATGACACGGGCATTCAACTCATACAGTGACACCACGAGCTCCATCTCACACGGTGACACCACGACCTCCATCTCACACGGTGACACCACGGAAAAAAAAACTCGTAAAACCGAATTGAGGATGTCCTGTGACAGACAGGATATTTAAGGGGGCCATTCTCACTTGTCCTCTTGTTCCTGGACTTTTTAGCGGAGCGGTGGATGACACCGATGGCGCGCCGCTGCCGGGGAGGTGGGCTACGCTCACGGTGCCATGGACCTGCTTCAGCGCCTACCACCGAGTCGACCAATCAAAACGAATCGGGACCCAGGCCTACGTGGCCAACGCGGCCCACCTGACGCACAGAATGGCACGTCGTAGATTTGGGCAGGCTGTGAGTGGCACGTGGCCACGAATCCCAAACCGTCGACCGCCATCGTAAACACTCTGCCGCCACTGCCCCTGTAGTCTTCGCTCAGCAGTTTACAAATAAGATAAAAAAGTATTAATTACATGGCCCTGCGAGTCCTGATGTGAAGGACAAAGCGAACCCCTGCCCACCCGTCCTACCCCAAATTTAGAATGAAGCGGATAACGAATCTAAAATTATACCTTTAATCTGCTGCTATTAATCTATATGAAAGAAAAGAGAAAGCCCTACCCTAGGCCCGAGCCCCCAACCCCTCAAGCTGCCCACAGAGCGCGTGGCATCTCGATTTTTGCCACCAGGCTCACTTCTCTTTCTGCATCGCAGCGTTTTTTCCTTTGCCGCGCACGAGCAAATACCAAAATTAACGCGACTCATCAATGCTTTTCGAATTGATTTCAAATCGTGTTGAGAGATTTAAAACTCCTTGCAGATTGAAGCAACAAAAAAAAACACTGTCCGTAGTATTATTGCTATTTGCAGTAAGGACATATGATGATTAAAAATAGTGCTGAGAGAATTTTAACCCAAGGTGATGTACATGTTTATAAGATACTGAGCATCGTTTTAAAATAAACCTGTTTGTCGATATCCTCTCATGTGTGATCTGAGATGGTGGTGGATACCTCGTGGCATGATGCGTGCTAGAGGCTCCCACCCCCAGCATATCTGTGTTGCTTTGAGTACTGTCATTTCAATTTACAAAATACACCTAAGTATGCAGCTCATGTCAGTCAGATGATCTATAAAATGTTGATTTTGGGTAGTAAAGGCCCCCCTGATCTCAACCCGAACGGTGAGATGTTATTGGAATTCTGCACTAGTCACGGAATGTCAATAACAAACACCATGTTCGAACACAAGGATGCTCATGAGTGTACTTGGTACCAAAGCACCTTGGGCCGAAGGTCATATGTTCTGGACACTCGGGTGAAGAGAGGGGCAGAGATGTCAACTTATCACCACCTGGTGGTAAGTTGGATCTGATGCTTGGGGCACCGACCAGATAGACGTGTAAGGCCCAAACGAATAGTGCGGGTTTTCTGGGAATATCTGGCGGAAGACCCAGTGCAGAAAGATTTGAACTTCCTCTCCGGGAAAACTTATCTGACACTCCAGGGGAGGTCATGAACATTGAGTCGGAGTGGACGATGTTCAGGACCTCAATTGTCGATGTAGCTGCGAAAATCTGTGGCCTGAAGGCAGCTTGTGCCTGTCATGGCGGCAACCCTAGGACCCACTGGTGGATACCAGTGGTGAGGGAAGCTGTCAAGTTGAAGAAGGAGGCTTTCTGAGCTATGCTCGGAAAAAGTTCTCCCGAATCGATTGAGAGGTACCGGCTTGCCAAGAGGGTGGCAGTGGTAGCAGTCACTTAAGCAAAAGCCTGGGCGTGGGAGGAGTTTGGAGAAGCCATGGAGAGGGACTACTGGGCAGCCTCAAAGATTCTAGATTTGAAGCTTTTATTTTATTTTAATTCGTTTTACCTACGTGACTTTACCGAATAAAACCAAAGAGTTTAAGCCTCAAAGATATTCTGGCAAACCATCCGACGCCTTTGCAGTGGTCGACGGGACGTGGCCCAGGATGTTCTCTGTAAGGGTGGCGGCGTAACATTGAACTCAACTAAGGAGACAGTCGAGAGGTGGAAGGAACACTTTGAGGAGCTCAACTCGGTGGACATGCCCTCCTCTCAGGAGGGAACCCTGGAAACAGCTCGGGGGGTCGGATCCATCACAGCTGCTGAAGTCGCTGCGGTGGTCGAGGGCCTTTGTAGCGGCAAAGCTGCTGGAGTGAATGAGATTCACCCAGAGTTGTTGAAAGCGCTGGGCAGTGTAGGAGTGTCCTGGTTAACACACCGCTTCAATGTTACATGGAATGCGGGTACAGTACCTCGGAATTGGCAAACTGGGGTTGTGTTTACCATTTTTAAGAAAGGGGATCAGAGGGTGTGCTCTAAATACAGAGATATCTCATTCCTCAGCGTCCTAGGTAAAACCTATGCCAGAGTGCTGGAGAGGAGGCGCTTTCCAGTGGTCGAGCCTCAGATACAGGTCGAACAATGCAGATTCCATCATGGTCATGGAACAGTGGACCAGCTCTTTTTCTTCTCACAGACATTTGAGGGGTCATGGAAGTTTGCTTCTCCAGTCTACCTCTGCTTTATAGACTTGGAGAAGGCATATGACCGTGTTCCCCACAATGTCTTGTGGGAGGTGCTGCGGGAGTATGATGTACCGATGCCACTTTGGTGCGCTATCCGGTCCCTCTATTAACAGAGTGAGAGTTGCGTCCGTATTCTTGGTGTGAAATCAAAGTCGTTCACTGTGGGTGTTGGACTCTGCCAAGGGTGCATCTTGTCTCCATTCCTGTTTGCGATTTTCATGGACAGGATATCAAGGCGCAACCGAGGCATGGAGAGTTATTCAGTATGGGGGCATCGCGGATTTTTGCAGATGATATCCTCTTTGCCTCCTCAGTCTGTGATCTCCAGCGTGCACATGAACGGTTTGATGCCGAGTGTGAAGTGGCTGGGATGAGTACCAGCACCTCCAAATCTGAGGTCATGGTTCATTCCTGATAAATGGTGGATTGTGTTCTCCAGGTGAGGGGGGAACAGCTGCCCTTAATGGAGGAGTTTAAGTACCTCGAGTGATGGTAAGTGGGAGTGGGAGATCAGCCGGGGAATCGGTGTGGCATCTGCAGTGTTGCGGGCGCTACACTGTTCCATGGTTGTGCAGTGGGAGCTGAGCTCTCGAACAAAGCTCTCGGTTTACAAGTCGATCTACGCTCCCACCCTCACCTTTGGCCATGAGCTTTGTGTAACGACCGAAAGGTTAGAGGTCGTGGGTGCAAGGGGCCAAAATTTGGTTTCTCCACAGGGTGACCGGGCTCACTCTCCGTGATTGGGTGAGGAGCTCGATAATACGGGAGAGCCTCAGAGTCGATCCGCTGCTCCGTCGGATCGAGATGAGCCAGTTGAGGTGGTTCGGGCACCTGGTAAGGATGCCCACCGTTAGATTCCCCCTGGAATTCTACCGGGCACGTCCCACTGGGCGAAGACCCCGGGGCCAGCCCAGGACACGCTGGTGGGAATGTCGCTCTGCTGGTCTGGGAACACCTGAGAATTCCCCAGGAAGAGCTAGTGTCTGTCGCCAGGGAAAAGGAGGTCTGGACCGCTCCTACTTAACATGCTGCCGCCGCGACCCTCACCAGGCCAAGCAGATTGAGAAACAAACAAAAGAAGTAGTTTAGATTTTACTAGTTCTAACCTATGAAGGCCTAACCTTACTATAGGCGTTTGTAGGTGCGAATTGAAGGCCTCCCAAGCCCTCTACAGGACCTAGGAGATGAGGGCCCGAAATCTTCGAGTATTAAATAATGGGCAGTCCTTTCATCTGGGATTTGCATTGTCATAATAATTATTACAGAGGTCATGTAGAATCGACCCATAATACCTGCTGACGTTCAGACTCCTCCTCCACCCCATTCATTCTGCCCTTGCTTTCTCCAAAAATGTAATATGCCAATGTGTATTGTGCAACCCCTCATCCACCCAAATATAAACAAATAAAAATGTCATGTGAACAAATGCGCAAAACTAAAAAACTATACATATAAATGTCTTGCTTCGGAAAACTGCTATATTGGAGAGCATTCCACAACATCAAACAACGCGACACGACATTTAGCTGGTACGTTAACAACCAAACATTATTAGGCCATTGCCAGAATTGCCACCAGATGATGCTGGATGTAGCTACAGTGAGTCTCTCAGTTAACAAGTGACATCATCGGTTAACGGTTTTTGTTTAACGTCTCGCCTCATAGTGACCCACGCATGGTTTCGCCTCACGTTGCAATGTTAACTCACGTGTTTACATTATCCGCACGCGGTCGCGCACTCGTAAAGTGGGGCTGAAGCCATGCCCCTTCACAGCCAATCAGCGACGCCCAATTTATGAGCCATTTAAACTTCAACTGGCTTCGTTAATATTGCGTTTTCTGTTTTGGCAATGGGAAAAATTGCTCTCTTGCAAACTCATTGATTTTTATATATTCGATTAACAGTTATTTCGGTTAATGTTTTTTTTCGTGGAACAGATCAAAAACGTTAACCGAGGGACTACTACACTGTACAGCAAAACGCTGTGCCTCTTTGTTTAAATGTGACCGGGTCGCTCTCCTGTACACCGGTGTGTACTCAACAACAACAACAACAAAATGAGTTTGTTCACACGACAATTTTATTTGGCTGTGTCGGCTGGAGGAGAATATACGACACGAGTTGGCATTGCACTCACATGATCTGACCAAAAAGTTCAATGATGAAACTTCAAAATGTTTTCTGGGAAAGTCCACGTGGTTTATATATATTATTTATTTTAAGCATGCTGGAACGTGCAATCAATGAATGCGTTCATGTAATTTTCAATTGACAAATATTTAAACAAAAAACAGATGAGCACAAGCCGCATCGGCAGGAAGAGACGAGGGCTGATGGACAAGACTGATGATGGAGAGAAGGAACAATGACCACTTTCACGTGCAAAGATAATTAATTGATCGTGACATTGCAGAACCGCGATGAATGATGTCGATGTGGGGGTTGCCTTCATTCAGCAGTGGACAGACAGTGCCTGATCATGAAGAAACACAACCGTCAATTGATTTACTTTTGCAGGTTAAAATTTTTGAAATACGGAACAGCATTCCATTAGCAGTAGATTGTCAAAGTGAATCGATGTTCCTATCGGGCAGTGGTTCTTAACCTTCACCGCAGCCTTGCACCCCTTTGGTTCTCAATAATAAAAAAATGTATAACGTGAATAAATGCATCGAGTTTGATTAAACAAAGTAAGTTGTACTTAACATGCCCGTGCTTAATTTGCATTTTCGATGATTTACCTTCTAAAACAAATCTGGCCATGCTTCGCACCCCCAGAAAGGGCATCACGCACCCCCAGGTTAAGAACCAAACCTATCGCGCACATACCCTTACAGAACACCTAGGTTCAAGTTGGCTGGGAAAAGCTCGTGATTAAGACCTTTCAATGCTCAGCTCAACGATCTACAATGTAACATTGGGTTCCAGAAGTGAGCCAGGATCTTTGCAGAAACAAATATAATTCCTCAGCATTGGCATCAGCATAGCGAAGTTTAATTTATCCCAAGTCAAGAAAATGATTGGCATTGCAGGGACTCCTCGACTTATGAACACTCGACTTACAAACTTTCACAGATACGAACAAACCTGGTCCGTACGTCCAGTTTCCGTTGTTTGGACCGAGAGTCATAAGTTCAACCACCGCGCAATATATGGCGGCGGTGGCATCTACATCTGCAGAACGTGAAGAACCAGTGGCATCTACATCTGCGGAACGTGAAGAACCAGTGGCATCTACATCTGCAGAACGTGAAGAACCAGTGGCATTTACATCTGCAGAACGTGAAGAACCAGTGGCATCTACATCTGCAGAACGTGAAGAACCAGTGGCATCTACATCTGCAGGAGATTATACTACTTTGAAAGCCATTTTCCTGTGTTTAGTGTACACGCCGTACAACGTGTTTGGAATGGACAGGAGTAAAGTTGGACTTACGAACATATCGACTTACGAACAGCCCTCTGGAGCCTAACTCGTTCGTAAGTAGAGGAGTCCCTGTACTAGAAAATAAAGACGACCGTTGGCACAGCCCATTGTGGGACTGAACACTTCCCCCACGCTTATTGCAGTCATGGAGCTTGTCTGACCATTACCTCACCTTCTTTGGTTCTTTCGGTAAAGTCACCACGTAGAATGGGAATAAAATAATACATTGATAAAATAAAATAACACAATAATATTCTCACGACGTTCGGCCACAACACAAGCGGCCTTCATCAGGTGAAGGGACGAGACTGTCTGGTAGGACAGCGCTGTTGGTGAATACACCACCACTGTCGTTATAAAGACAAAGATCCCCCGTGTATATAACAGAGGTTTATTTTTGGGTTATCACGTAAAAAGAACGTGCCAATTCGTCGCAAGTACAGCACACCGCTGTGTTGGAGATCCAAGCCACCGTATAGCCCGTAACAGACTGGTGGGGCAATTGCTGGGGGGGCAGCGAGGCTCGGTGGGGCACAGAATGTTGTGAATCTTCCTTCCCGACGGCCTCGAAGTGTGTTCATGTCCCGCTTGGCTTGCCAGATGGCGGTACGTACAGCAGATGCGGCCACACCACATGGCTGACAATGACGGTGTGTCGTCATCCAGCAGTGGATTGACCATGGCTGATGACGACAATGTTCTCATCCAGCAATGGATCGACAGACCGTGGTTGTTGATGGTAATGTCTTACTCCAGCAGTGGATTGGCAATGCAAGCGAATGGTGATGCCTTCGTCCAGCGGTGGATAGACCACGGCTGATGCCTTCGTCCAGCGGTGGATAGACCACGGCTGATGCCTTCGTCCAGCGGTGGATAGACCACGGCTGATGCCTTCGTCTAGCGGTGGATAGACCACGGCTGATGCCTTCGTCCAGCGGTGGATAGACCACGGCTGATGCCTTCGTCCAGCGGTGGATAGACCACGGCTGATGCCTTCGTCCAGCGGTGGATAGACCACGGCTGATGCCTTCGTCTAGCGGTGGATAGACCACGGCTGATGCCTTCGTCCAGCGGTGGATAGACCACGGCTGATTCCTTCGTCTAGCGGTGGATAGACCACGGCTGATGCCTTCGTCTAGCGGTGGATAGACCACGGCTGATGCCTTCGTCTAGCGGTGGATAGACCACGGCTGATGCCTTCGTCTAGCGGTGGATAGACCACGGCTGATGCCTTCGTCTAGCGGTGGATAGACCACGGCTGATGCCTTAGCCCAGCGGTGGATAGACCACGGCTGATGCCTTCGTCTAGCGGTGGATAGACCACGGCTGATGCCTTCGTCCAGCGGTGGATAGACCACGGCTGATACCTTCGTCCAGCGGTGGATAGACCACGGCTGATGCCTTCGTCCAGCGGTGGATAGACCACGGCTGATGCCTTCGTCTAGCGGTGGATAGACCACGGCTGATGCCTTCGTCTAGCGGTGGATAGACCACGGCTGATGCCTTCGTCCAGCGGTGGATAGACCACGGCTGATGCCTTCGTCTAGCGGTGGATAGACCACGGCTGATGCCTTCGTCTAGCGGTGGATAGACCACGGCTGATGCCTTCGTCTAGCGGTGGATAGACCACGGCTGATGCCTTCGTCTAGCGGTGGATAGACCACGGCTGATGCCTTAGCCCAGCGGTGGATAGACCACGGCTGATGCCTTCGTCTAGCGGTGGATAGACCACGGCTGATGCCTTCGTCTAGCGGTGGATAGACCACGGCTGATGCCTTCGTCTAGCGGTGGATAGACCACGGCTGATGCCTTAGCCCAGCGGTGGATAGACCACGGCTGATGCCTTAGCCCAGCGGTGGATAGACCACGGCTGATGCCTTAGCCCAGCGGTGGATAGACCACGGCTGATGCCTTCGTCTAGCGGTGGATAGACCACGGCTGATGCCTTCGTCTAGCGGTGGATAGACCACGGCTGATGCCTTCGTCTAGTGGTGGATAGACCACGGCTGATGGTCATTGACGCGCAATGCATTTTGGGTTCCCCTACTGCCATCTTGAAGTGCACTGTGTTACGGGCGAGCCCGCTAACGCGGCCAACCGATAACCTTTATTTTTCTTTACTCGTGAATGAAATAATCCAAACTGGTCGCAAAAAAAAATCAACCGAGCGCATTACCTCGTGGAGTCCGCCAAGGTATTTCAATTTTAAACGATAGGGGTGGTTCATTTAAGCTATTTTAAATGTTGGCTGGCTTGGGCCTAGTGCGGCCTAGCGAAGGCTTCGGCGCCATACGCTCCTTGCGAATAAATCGCCTAGCGTTGTAAATGTTTACGCTTTTTATCTAAACGTTACTTTTGCCCGCTAATCGTTAGCGAGTGACGCCCGTGCGTGTTACAAACGCCTCGTTACGAGATCGCGGTGCTTTTAAGTGGTTAAATTCGGTCAGCGAGCGGGTAGGCCTCTTCTGTATTCTCGGACTGAATTGAAACGATTTAGCAACAATAAGCTCATAAGTGCGACTTTTGTTGCAACTAAACTTTTCTCGTGTTGCTAGCGGCGATGTTAATTGACCTAGCTCGGCCTATCAAGAACACGTGGGTGAGGCTGCGTGGTGCAATATATAACAGGCGACGTTTTTGGCAATAGCCCTGTGGAATTAATATATAATAGGTGACGTTTCGGGCAGTAGCCCTGTGCAATGAATATATAATAGGCGACGTTTCGGGCAATAACCCTGTGCATTTAATACGTTAAAAGCAAAAACAATGTGTATCATCACCATCTCTGCCGGTGGCTGGGTAAAGCCCAACCCCCCCTTTGTAAACGATTACGTTCTGTTATCGAACAATTCTGTAATGCCTCGAGTCTCGTTGCACAGGGCCATTGCCCTAAACGGCCCTCATATATTCATTTTACAGGGTTATGGCTCGAAAAGTCGCCTGTCAATAAACGATTCATAATATCCACTTTACCTGTTAGTCACGAATAACGTAAAGGACAATTAATTTATTAATCCCTTAATTTCTCTTGGGTAGATCAAACGAATGGCACTTTGTGGTTAATCCGCTATGGCTGTCCTGCGGAGGGAGTACCCCCTCCCACGTTATAGGAATGTGGAATTGCCACAATTGTCCCTTAACTGAGTAAGAAACAAATGCTCCTTTCAAATGTTAAAAGGGACTGCGTTGGATTTAATGTAGCAGCGTATTTTATTAAACACAATGCAGGCTTATAACCGAAAACAAGGCAGATTATTATTTGTGCAATGTACTCCGTTCATAATGCACTTCCTTCTGGAACTGCTTATGGTTTTCACATTATGCACAAAGGCTCTGTGCTTAATAAAGGTAATTGTTTGGGTTATATCGCGTAAATAGAAATGTGTTAACCCACCACCCGACACAGCCAACTAGTAAGGTTTTTTTTTCATGTTAGCAAAACCGATACAGGAATTAACAATTCTGACAAATCGCCTGATGAAGCTGGTTGTAATCACGCGAAACGTCACAGTACTCACATTGTAAATGTGGGTTTACGCTCCAACGCACCGGTGTGCTAAAGCAGTAACTAATTGGCACGTTTTGTTTTCATAATGAACCTTACTAATTATTTGTGTCAGGTGGTGGTGTGTTAACTACACATTTAAACGATCTATCCCAAAAAAACCGTTATGGATAATATTAGTCACGAAAGCCTACTCCATGTTAAACTGAGGCTCTGTACTTTGTCTACGTTTGTGTGTTGTTTGTAACTTGTGGTTTTTCCGGTGTGCACATTTTTTTCTGTTCCGATGGGTTTTTCTCGTGACTTACAGATGTCAACGTTGAACAAGTCAGTTGTTGCAGGAAGGCACGAAATGCTTCTCCCAACACGATCAGAGTGTAGGGTTTCCATGATATGGAGATAATACTACAGTATACAGTCTATCATACGACGATACAATGGCCACGATAATTGTACCATCCGTTAGCGAAAATGCCATAAGCGTTCCTTTCATGTGTTTGTTATTTTTTTCTCAAATATAAAATCTGATTTTTTTTACATTTGCGAAATATCAGATGCACGAATTAAAGGTTGATACAAATTACTCTTAGCCCAATAGATGTGGTTATTTTCCAAATTTCAACTTAAGAGTAAGACTAGGCTGTTGTACTTGATAATTGGCGTTTAGCGCCTGCATATTTTTGCCATGTGCACCGATGTAATTAGTTTAATTGCTGCTCTGTTGAGTCTTGTGCAAGCAGTGGCTTCGCATTTTACAGAGGCGAGAGTTTGAAAGGGTTGAGTACGTGTTTTGAGATTTGGTAGAGGCTATGAAGTAACAAAAAACATCTTTATAATACATTTTATTTTAGTAGGGTATTAATGGATTTGCCTGTAGGTTAGAAAAGATAAGACTGATGTCAGTACTCGCTGACTTGGAGAAACGTAATGTATCTTTGACTTTTTTGTCTGTAATTCACGCAGGCCAGACGTGGGCGCCTGTGTCTCTCAGGTTGTTCGCTTGGCACCATGAACTTCAATATGGGGTGAGTGCACAAGCAGCCTAATAGTTCAAATATACAGCAGGCGTCAGGGTCGGGATCGAACCCACGACCTCCTGCTCACCAGGCGAGGGAGATTAAATCTCCTAGCCACCGTGATGATGATGAGAGAGAGATACGCAGACCCCATATACAGCAGGCATCAGGGTTGGGATCGAACCCCACGACCTCTTGCATACCAGGCGATAGAGATAACTCGCTACAGGTGAGATGCAGGGGTAGCGGTGTTGCAGTGTATTGTGGTACTAATTGAGCCATTTGAAGCAATTCGCGTGACCCCGGGGTCCCATCACTGCCCCAGGGTGGGAAAAACCGCGTAGCGACACGAGTCTTGCCTTACCGACAACAAAACTAGTGGTCAATCGATTGGCCTCGTCGAGAGCTACTCGGGACACTAAGTTTCGTAAAAAGTTGAAAAATTACATAAACACATTAAATTCACTGCCTGGAGGGCGTGCTCGCCTTGGCAAAGAAGCTGAGGATCGACGGCTGACTGGAGGGCGTCGTCGCCGCGCGCGACTGCGGCGGACGCCCCCCGGGGCTTGCGTTTGGCCGGTGGGGTGGCGCCTATCGTGTTGATCGCTGCCTGCTGCTGGCGCTTGTTGGCGCAAGTCTGGGCGGGCGGCGCTTTGCTGTCGGGATCACGAGTGGGCGGACTGAAAATAATAATTATTGACGTGATTTTTGCGGGACCCCGGGGTCCCGCCAAATGATTCATTTGTTGGTTATTTTTCAAAATTTAGAATGTGACACCGGCACACAATTGGCCTCTAAGCATTTCGAATGACAGCAGGTGATCTTTTAAATATCTACCGCGAATGCGACGGCACGCATTCTATTGTTGGTACACCCCACGGGAATAACCAGGGAGACCTGTCAGGTTCGAATGATGAACCTCCAAAACAAGTGGCGAACATGCTGCCGCTGGACTATTCATCGTGAAGTTAAGTTAAAGAAACATCAAGAGTAATTGAGGTAATTATTGTACTAGTTAGTCAACAGAAGAAAACATGTCAAATACATTTTGGCCTCGCAAGACTTAGAGCTATTCCCTTTCTGATTTGTGTATTTAAGAAAAGTTTTGTTGAAGAGTCGGGACTGAATCTTTCAGCAACTCCCAGTGCGATGCTGTTCCTGTGATTGTGTCTGTGCAGGAGAGGGCCCTATGAGGGCATTGGAGGCAGACCCGGAGAGAGGGAGAGGTTTTCACAGGCCCAGGGGCAAGGTGGCCAGTACTGGCAGCCACCCGACACCTATCAGCAACAGCAGCAGCAGCAGCAACTGGCGGGGAGCCAAAGTCCTGCCGACGAGTTGTGGCAGTCAGGCGCCACGAGCGGCACGCTGCAGTCGAATTTCTGGCCGGGGGACGGCACGAGAAACTGGGATGGCGAATTCCCGCGCGTGCCGCCCCCCGGGGGATACGGGGCACCCGCCAACCCCAGCCAGGTGGCCGATTTCCGTGCGCCTATTGCCGGCCACCGCTCAATGGATCCGCTGGGTCAGAGGGGACCCCGAGACAACGTTCGAGGCTACTGGGACGACTACCGCCCCCCTGGGGAGTTTCACGAGGCCCGCGAAAGCGGCGCTGGCCTGCTGTGCGACGCCAGGGAAGGCTACCGGGCAGACGTCGGGGCTGCTGCGGCGGGAGTAGAGGCGGGGAGGATACCCTTTGGCCAAAGCGAGTACGGGGACCAGAGGGCCATGGCTGGATTCACCCCCAGCGGTTACAGAATCTCGCTGCCGCCCCCACCAGAAAATGTCACGGGTGCTCTCTTCACCCTGGAGCAGAGGGGCGCTGTGCCAGCGGAGGGCATCGGCAGTTTCGTGCCGCCCGTGCCTCTGAATGAAACCGCTTTTAAGGCGAAGGAAGAGCCCGGCAAAGACCGCGACACGCGTCTGGAGGGCGGCTTTAGGAGTGGCGGCGGCGGTGGCGGCGGTGGTAGCGGCTATGGAGAGTCACTATCGCGCAGGAGGGACTACTATTCTTCGGACCGCCGGGACCGCCCGGAGCGAAGGGACAGGCAGGATCGCGATAGTCGCAGTGACAGTCGCCGCGATAGTCGCAGCGATAGCCGCGGCGATATTCGCGGTGACAGTCGCGGCGACAATCGCGGTGACAGTCGCGGCAACATTCGTGGTGATAATCGCAGTGATAATCGCGGTGATAATCGCAGTGATAATCGCGGTGATAATCGCGGTGATATTCGGGGCGATAGTCGTGGGAATTTTCGTGGCGATAGTCGCGGTGATAATCGCAGTGATAGTCGTGGTGACTGTCGTAGCGATGGTCCCGGCGATAATCGCGGCGATGGTCGCGGCGATGTTCGCGGCGATATTCGTGGCGATATTCGTGGCGACAATCACGGTGATATTCGAGGCGATAGTCGCGGCGAAAGTCGAGGCGATAATCGCGGCGAAAGTCGAGGCGATAATCGCGGCGAAAGTCGAGGCGATAATCGCGGCGAAAGTCGAGGCGATAGTCGCGGTGACTGTCGCAGTGATAGTCGTGGCGATCACGATTTTCGAGACGTTGACTACCGAGCGAGGCTGTCGCCCGGCAGCAACAGGGCAGATGCGAGCGGGAAGCAGAGCGCGCGGTTGGAAGATGACGCCCTGGCCGCCAGCCAGCACCGGCGCGACAAGACCAACAGATGGGTGAGCGTGGTGCAGTCTTTACATTCATTTTCAGGATGGGCCCTGCCAAGTTTTTCGCCTTAAGGGGCCTGATGTTGCCATGTGGAATGGCCAATTAGTCATTTCCAGGTAATGGAATATTTTTGGCAAATACCAGTTACATTGTATGGTTTGTTTTTAGCTATGGGTGGAAACTGGAAGGAAACAAATGAAGAACTACATCGTTAGACCTCCTTTGCCAGTACCAAAATATAATAATAGGGTTTTTCCCCTTTATTCTGGCAACCACAATACCTGCAGTCTTGTGGTTAATGCAGACATGAATCCTCGTAAAAAGATTTCAGTTTTGTGCCAGAAAAAAGGGGAAAACCCTATAATTAATTTTGGTACTGGTAAAGGAGGTCTAATGATGTAGATGCTCACCCCGAGCCCTCATTACTTTGACAGTGCATTTTCTTTGAGCTGTACGCCTTTTGGCGTCATCTGGTCGAGCACCAATTGGGTCGAGGCTCAAAAGAAAGCCGTCCCTTGGTGTGGACCAATCAGTTTCAAGGACAATGCATATATTATAATAGTATGTTTTTTGTTTGCATTTTGACTGCAGGTATTGTGGTTAATGCAGACATGAATCCTTGTAAAAAGGTTTCAGTTTTGTTGCCAGAAAAAAGGGGAAAAACCCTATTATTCAATGGAGAACTGGCAGAGAACTTACAAACACAACACAGTAAGGTGCCCTGGTCGGGAATCAAACCTTGGCCCTCCCTGTGTGGCTACGAGTGTTACCACTTCACCCTGCTGCCACGCTAGCCGCAAAACTGCCCTCATGTGCCGTGCCAGCCTTCATTCGCGCTCGCTAACAGCACTTGCCCCAACAGTCTATTAAGGCTACACGCGGGGGATCTCTGTCTATATGTACGTGTGTTTCTTTGTGTCTATGTGGGGGATGGTAGTGTAGGGGTTAGCGCACTACGCTACAAACCTGAAAATTCCGTGTTTGTGTGTCGTGTGCGTGTGAGTGTTATCTATGTGCGTGAGCGTTTGTGTCTACGTATTTGTGTCTACGTACGTGTGATCAATGTGGGGATCTTTGTCTTCGTACGTCCGTTCACTAACTTGGCGTGCCATTGTCGTGTTGACCGCTAGGAGCGCGTTAGCCTCGACGACGTCCCGTCGGGTAGGTACCGCGCGCAGGACCGCGACCCCGGCGAGCCGGAGCTCGAAAACGACCCCGTCGGGGTGTCGGGTCCCGCGGTCATTCTGCGCGACATTCCCCATGACGTGGAGCAGGAGGAGGTAACGGTCGGATGTGGGTCCTGGGCAACCCGATAACAACACCAACACCACCAACAATAACACCATCTAACAATAACACCAGCAAACAACACCAACACCACCAACAATAACACCAGCAAACAACACCAACACCACCAAACGACAACACCACACAATAATAACACCACCACACAATAACAACACCACCACAAAATAACAACACCAACACCACCATACAACAACAACACCACCAACAATAACACCATCAAACAACACCAACACCACCAAACAACAACATCACCACCACACCAACACCACCAAACACCACCAAGCAACAACTTACATTATTGAGTCTTTGTATGCCCTGAAGGGGCGCCATTTCCCCACCCCCCAGAATCTTGCCTATTATATTTTTTTCTCATTCAAAGCCACGCACACAAAGTGTTGTTGACAAAAGTGTTCAGTTTTTTTTTCCCCGTTACGTTTATAATTTATGGGCGGTAGGTTGACCGTGACGACACTCGTGCCTCGCGGCAAGAAAGGTCCTCGGTTTGAGTCCCGACTCGGGTGCCTTTTCTGTGTGGATTTCTTCCCCTGTTATGCAGAGTGAGAGTGAGTGAGTGTGTGCGCGAGTGTATGCGAGTTTGTGGAGTTCTCTTCTGCAGTGTGTGAATGAGTGTGAGTGATTGTGAGTTGGTGAGTGAGTATGAGTAAATGAGTGTGGATTTTGAATTCTCTTCCCCCCCCCTATCCTGCATGAGTTTCCAGTTTCCTCCTACAGCTAAAATACACGCAGACAGACAATGTAACTGGTATTGGACAAAACGTCTAATTGCTGAAAAATGTACCTGCAAATTAATCAATTGGTATTACACACGGAAACATCAACATCTCGCTACAGCGAAAAACTTTGCAAGACCCCTGAAAAAGAGTATTGAGACTCCACGTGAAGCTTACTGAGTGAACAAACGTCGAAATAACAATAGAAAGACAAAGATACCCCATGTAGCCTACAACAGGCTGTTGGGGCAAGTGCCGTTAGCCAGCACCTATGAAGGTCGGGACGGCGCACGAGAGGGTGGGTGGCCAACACCACGCCCTGCCACCTTTGTCTCCGCACTGACGATGTCATTTGAACACATAGTAGGGCTTTCGCGACCAATATTATCCACTGTTTTTGTAGTTCAATCACGTAAATATGAAAGTGTCGTGAACCAGCCACCACCTGACACGTCCAGTTAGTGAGGTTTGTCACAATGTGTCTACTAGTTACTACTTTAGCACACCGGTGTGTTGGAGAGTAAACCCACAACATTTGCAATTTAAGTACAATGTTTCGCTGGTGATAACAACTGGCTTCACTAGGCGATTTGCCGAAATTCTGCAGAATTCCTGTTTCGGTCTTATATCGAGTTAATGTAATGTCATCACTGTGAACCTATCAGATGTGAAGACTACCCAGAGGGAGGTTAATGTAGTCATGTAAATTACAATGGATTATGTTAATCTGACTATGCAGTACCAATTATTGGTTGGGTTTATTATCACGATCCATAGGCAGATGGCCCCTAGTAGGTGCCCACTCCACATTTCGTCATTTTTTTCCGCTCTCCTCTTTGCCTTGTACCAATACGCTCAAGTAGTGTCCACATCCGTCTGCCACCAATCGTCAAGCCCATCCTCTGTTAGGCCTTCCTCTCTGGTTCCTTACATTTTTCCCCCCGAACAACAACAACAGCACACTTTAAATGTTACCTGTTGTCGTCGTTCAGGTTGGGTTTACTCACAGTTAACGTACGGCGGCGATGTGGAGGGCGACCCACCCACTCACCCGCCTGCCCCGAATTACCTTGCGCGTTGTGCTTGCAGATTCGCGCCTTCCTGAAGACGTTCAATGGCCCCGTGCGGAGTGTCAGGATCTTCAAAAAATTCCGAGGTGAGATGTGATCTCTTTTCTATGCCGTCGTTTTTTTACTTCGTCTTGTCGATTTCCGCGGCGTCGGGACAATTGTGCGAAAGGGAGGAAGATGCAGAGTCGGAAGAATCGGAGCCTGCGCCTGATTTTGGTGGGGGGTGGCGGGACTACGAACGTATCTGTGAACGTAGCCTTGGCCGGGCAGTGGCGGCGATCAGCATTAGGCACGGAGCCCGCTGGACAGAGTAAAAGATTTAACTAAAACTATAAACTGTTTTTATTTTACCAGGTAAGGGGCACACTTAAGCTACACAGCTCTTTTTCAGAAGCGACCTGGCTATCACAAATGATAGGTTAAAGAAGTGGCGTACCATCCTTACGTGGAAATTCATAGCGGCAGCCAGATATTGTCAAATGCACGTTGATTCTACATGTAAAGGGAAAAAGCGGAAGACCCGGAGAAAAATCTACGCCACCATGAGGACAGCGACATGCAAACTCCAAATATACAGCAGGCATCAGGGTTGGGATCGAACCCTGCAACCTCCTGTATACCAGGCGAGGTAGTTAACATTTCGCCACCCTGGTCTAATGTTGAGAGTCTCCACATTGGAGCATGGGTGGAGAGCCCTCTCCCTTTAAAAGGATGTTCACGTGCCGCTGGTGGGGCTACATATGAGCACACGTTATCACACGTTATCACACATTATCACACGTTATCACATACGCAAACTCCAGTCATCCGGTCATGTTCGATAGTTAGCCAAAAGCGGATTTTGGCTAACCATTAAACAAAGACGGTCACTGCATCGCGCGCTTTCAGATGCGCTTCTGCGGCCGTCTGGAATGCGCTTCCGATATTAGGTAGACACTGGAGCTACGCACTTTAGTATCATCTAGATTGAAAACTCATTTCTTTAGAACTGCTTTCTGTGTTTAGTTTGTTGTCCTTCGAGTAGCACGTTTGGCTACATACGGTGCGAAGCAATTTACACGTTCTTACAGTAGAACCCCTCTTAACGATGAAACCAGTTGTCGATTTGGTCATTCAGTGAGTATAGGAAATACATGTTAAAGGCTTAATTCGTTCCAATAGCATAAAAGTTCCCATAAAAGTACTTGATAATATTTAAATAATGGATATTCATACATAAATAACATTAATATATGAACATTATAAACACAACATTAAAAGAAACAACATGGTTAATCGAAGAAATGTATATTTACAGTACCTACAACTGCCCGTCATTAACAGGGGAATGGTTGGTAAACGAACACATTGGGCTTTCTGGAGGTCCCGTCGTTAAGCGATTAGTCATTAACAGGAGTGGTCGTTTAGAGGGGTTCTACTCTACACTACGATACCCGACACTACTATACACTACACTACTATACACTACAGATTGGCTCTATGGAGGCCCGTAGTTAAGCGATTAGTCGTTAACTGTACTGTACATAGATACGCGCCTCCACGTTTTTGCCCATCAGTTGCGCGACGGATAATCAGGGCTTAGCATTGGTGCCGCACGAGTATGTATCGCGGCTGATTGTCCTCCCGACGCCAAAGAGCCCGACGTCAGTTTTTTTTTATGTTCTGCATCGTTAGGCCCTAGCTCGGCCCTGGGCCGTGTGAAACGCAGGTTTTCAGGGTGACCTGGACGACGACTCGCGGGGTCGCGGCACCAGTTTTAAGCCACGTTAGACGCTCTCCACCCCGACAGTCCGACGTCTGCTGTAGCACCGCTTGTTGGAAGGCGTGAACAGCCATAGGAATATTTAAATCATGGTAATATTACAATGGTATAATCGCAATGTTAATATTCCTTGTTCATAATCGTCTGAGATGAAATAGCCGCACCCAGATGTAATCTTACGATGTAATAGAACTTTAGGAAATGCTTTAATAATAGTAATAATAATTGAGTACATTTGCTATTCGCTCAGGTTGTATAGGGCAGGGTCAGCCTTGACAGACTGTTGGGGAAAGAGCTGTTAGCAAGCACATATGAAGGCCGGCACAGCACGCGGGGGGGTGGGTGGCCAGCAGCACGCCCGGCCGCTTCGGCTCCCCAATGGCGATGTTTACACATCGCGCCGGGTACCCATTTGAGGCTGAGAAGACCTAGGGGAGGCCCAGGACCAGTTCAGATATCGTCACAAGTGGTGGTGGCCGTGAGTGAGAATCAAACTCTTGGCTGCTCTGGTTTTGTAGCGCAGCGTGCGAACCGCTACTACGCTACCGCTCCCCACTGTCACGGACGGAATGCACCGCTCCAAAGACGGATTAAGTCCGTTGACAGGGGGGGGCGGGGGCGATGTTGCAAAGTGTGATCTCAATTGAGTAAATTTTTACGGCATCATTTAGCAAGTTTGGCACGCTTGGACCGTGACTCCCGCACAGAGTGGCCTACCTACTCGTTTAGAACGACATCACGCGGGATCTGTTAGCGGCCAGACATGCGAGTGCAGCAGACGGTGCGCAGTGTTATTTTACGATTAATGCACGGCCACCGCAGTATTAACTAGGGCGGCCTGCCGGAGCCGAACAGCGAACCCTCTGCAGCGTGTATGTGTGTTGGAACTTATTTCGCGCACCATTCGTAGCCAACCGTGCTCATCGGAGGTGCGAGCGGCAAACGCGCCATCACTACGTCATGTCATCGGCCCCCACAAAGCCTCAGAAGGCGCAAAAGTTTCTTCCCCTCTTTGAATAATCGCTGCCGTTGCTGAATGTAGTGAACTCCCAATGTGATTATAACGAACACATTTACAAGGGTATTAGTTTTCAAAAGCAAAACATAGTGATAGGAATTAGGTCCGTTAGTGTGTTTTGGGTTTTGGAAACGTGAACCGGCCAATCCATAGTAGCATTTCACCTGGTGGCAATATTAGAACGTACGCACCAGAAATTGGCAAAAAAAGACGACATTGATTATAAAATCCTTAAGGTGCGTGGAGAAGTATGTAGAAACGCACGCTTGGAATTACACGGAAGAGACGGGAACACGTGGATCAGAGAACGTACGCACAAGTCAAGTACATCAAGAGTGACTGCATAACAGGAAGTGGAGGCATCACGGCTAGAAATTCCAAACGATGGCCAGTGGGTCGAGATTAACGACGGAGTGACAGCCAAAGGACAAATCGTCACGCACGAAAACGATACGCCTTCCCGCTGAGATTAAACGACGGAATTGGCTCGTGTGCTGGATCTACCGTGGATCGTTACAACGCAAGACGCTGAGAGATGGTGCTGGCTTGGGGGAGACCTTCATCCAGCAGTGGATAGATCATTGCTGATTATGTTGGTGACGAGGGCAATGGGCCTTCTGATTTCAGTGCTGTTACCAGCAGAATTTTTTTTGTGCAGGAAAAGCACTGGACTGGTGTTTTTGACATTACGAACCTCATCAGCAGGATGTGACCTCTAAACAAAAAGCTGAATCTTTACCTGGCCTGGAGGAATCCGATGAGCTATAAAGCTCTTTTTCACAGATGTCAAGTTTTTGTTTATCGCCAGGAACGCTCTGTGAACACCATGGGGGGGGGGGGGGGGGGGCTAGTCCACCTTTGCACATACTCACGTATTGTGCACATGGTTGCTGTGGCAGTGTGTGTGCTGTTGACATTGTTGCTATAAGGTGGCGTCTTTGCAAAACGAACGCATTAAACTAATTATTTGGTGATGCCGCCGCCTCCTCCGCTGCTTCTGCGTTTGCAGTGGTGCACAAGCACGGGCAACGGTAAAACTCGACACGTTCCCGTGTCAGTGACAACAGCAACACCATCTGTGTGTGCGTGGCATTAAAATCAATTATATATAAGAGGCGACATTTCAGGCGATGACCTTTCTTCATAGCACATAAGATAGACCATTGCCGAACACGTCGACGAATATATTTTTTGACGTTTAAGGCGGCACGCGTGCAGCGTTTTGTAGTCGACCGTGTTTGCAAATTTGCCAAGGGGAATATTTTGAGGACTTAATGTTTCCCGTTTGTTGAATGCTGTTATCATAATAATGATCATAATAATGATCGTAGCAATTAGCAGACATATCGCCTTTAAACAATAGCCCCGCGTGTGGCTACCGGGCTACCGATTGCATAGAAATACTTTTCTTGAACAAACTATATCGCCGTTAAATTTTGATTTAAAGCTTTCGTGACTGCAGTAATTCATATTCTTAGTTTTTTCGGTAAAGTCACGTTGAAGACGTTTCGACCATAACTCAAACGGTCATCTTCAGGTGTGTTCAACCGTTTGAGTTATGGTCGAAACGTGATAAATTTTTATTGTTTTATATATATTTTATTATTTTGTTGTTTCTCTTCAACGTGACTTTACCGAAAAAACTAAGAATATATATCGTCGTTATCGGGCTGTGAGCTCCATCTTGTCACTTGAATTTCCCAGCATGGAAATGACCCCGGGGAAGGGGGGGGGGAGTTTTTTTTTTAAATAGTTAAATGGTTTTAATCTATTTGTTCACACTGAACTTGCATTCAACGTTATAAAAGATTGACTTGGACGATAGAAAAAAAATCACAATGAAAAATATTGACGAAAAGCTGTGTTTTTTTTGCGAAAATTTCACCTGGGAGAGTGGAGTGGATGAGATTTGTATTGAGAATTGAATGTATGATAAGCGCAGTTAATCCTATCCAGCTTACCTCCATCCATACTGCCATCCACTGGTCAGTTTTAATAATAACTATGTTTAGTGCTTGTATTCAGCATTGGCTGGAGGGGTGGCGCAGTGGTGAGAGCACTTCGCTGTAAACACATTGACCTGAGTTGAATTCCCGGCCACGGCTAACATCAGTGGCGAGTATATCTCTGAAATCTGTTTTTTTATTTTTCCAAGTAAGGCCCACTGAGCTATGTATCTCTTTCTCAGAAGCGACCTGGCCACCAGTGATAGCCCAACAACGTGACTTATCATCACGTGGAAATTTATAGCAGCCAAATACTCTTAAACGCACGTTGATTCTAAATGGGGAGGGAAAAACCGGAAGACACGGAAAAAAATCCACACGACCACGGGGAGGACATTCAAACTCTAAATATACAGGTGCCAGGGTTGGGATCGAACCCACGACCTCCTGTATACCAGGCGAGGTAGTTAACATCTACTAGCCACTGATGATGATGAGAGATAGACACGCAAACTCCAAATGTACAGCGGGCGTCAGTGTCGGGATTTAACCCACAACCTGTATACTAGGCGAGGTGCCCCAAATCGGTCCTTGGGATACAGTCCTTCACCAATCCGCACTGACCAGCGTGGTGAAGTATGGCCTAGCAGCAGGCCCCACCCCACACCATGTTCGACACGGCGTGGGGAGGCAGCATTGATCCAGCAGTGGATTAATAAAGTGGTGTACGTAATAATTGTAACAGCATTCACCGAGTTGTAAGTTCATTTTACGAGTCTCCTGTTGTGAAAGTTTATGGCGGTGGAGATGCGTTTCGTGCTTTCCCAGTCTTCGTCACAGTGCCTCATTGACACTTGCAAACTTATCGCTGTTCCGAGGTGTCCGCAAGTTGGAGGGTGGATGTCCCGTTCACCGCCGGATCTCGGAACGTGCGAGTGGTTCGGCGTTAATTTTATGTGGAGTCGTAGTAGGAGCGCCGTTGTTTTTAAAGACGTCGTTACCGCAGACAGCCGTAGAGACACGACCGCGGCCACTCTTCGATAGCTGGCCCCAAACTGCCACGCCCTCCCACGTGGCCTTTTGGGAGCTTCGGTTCCGATAAAGTTATTTTGTTTTAGTTTTTCTTCCGATCCCGTTCTGATGACATACTTGAGTAACTGACTACCTACACGTACGTCATCGCAGTGCGAAGGGGTAAATGATGTGAACGGGGTCCTGACTGAGTGAAAGAGCAATCCTTCCGCTAAAATAATAAAAGCGCTTGATGATGTGGCTTTATTCATATTAACACTTAAGGACCTCCCCCCGACACACCCCGACAGCTGTTTTGATATTTTGACATTATGATGATGGAATTTCTTGTTCACATGAATAAAGTAATAATGATGATAACGATTTGATGATCACAAGAACCGGTGGCGTGTCTCGGGAGAACGCTTTAGCACGCGACAAGCGCACTTGGCATCGCGTCTCATCTTCCAACGCCCACTGTGGGGGGATTGGTGCCGCTACGATGATTTTTCGTTCGTTTCTTATATCGCGGGCAAAACAAAAAACGTCGGGTCGTTAATTCGGCTGTCGTTAATAACTTGAGAAAAGGTAAATGAAAGCGCCAACTTGTCGGCGGTTGTACGGAAGCTGAGCGTTCGCACATCGCGAATTCTGCGATTTGCAAAGTCTTGTGTCGTGCTCGCATTGCCATTGCAGCTATAAAAAATACAAAATTATCTTATTTTACCCAGGTGACACCCCACTGAGCTATGTAGCTCTATTTTAGAAGCGACCTGGCTCTCACAAATTATAGTGCATAGAAAGCGGCTTAATGTCACGTGGAAATTTATAGCAGCCAAATGCTCTGAACGCACGTTGATTCTCAACGTGGAGGGAAAACACAGGAGGACCCGGAGAAAAATCCACTTGACCACACGTGGTGGGAGAGGGAGACGCAAACTCCAAAGATACAAAACAGTCGTCAGGGGCGGGGAGTAAACCCACGACCTGTATATCAGGCGAGAAAGTCAACATCTTGCCACCTTGGCGTTCTTGTGAATGCAGCTGCAGGCAGAGGACGTATTAAAAGTGCTCAAGTTAAGCGTTGATCTGTAATATCAAAACACGTGCTTAAGTAGTGAATATTATAAGACCCAAATTAGTGTTGTAATATTGAGTTTATTTTGGCTGCAGTTACGTTGAGTGTGTGGTCATGTGTGTGTGTATGGGACCTTGCTAACAGCACTTGCCCCAAAAGTATGTTCAGGCTAGACGGGGATCCTTATCTTTGTCTTTTGTCGTTGGGAGCGGTGGTGCAGCGGTTAGCTCGCTGTGCCACGAAGCCGGCGACCTAAGTTACATTCTTGCTCATGGCCACCAACATGAGTGACGATCATCTGAACCGCTCCTGGGCCTCCCCTAGGTAGACTCGGCCTCAAATGTGTACCTGGTGCGATGTTTAGTTAAACATCACCGGGGAGACAAAGGCGGTCGGGCATGGTGCCGGCCACCCACCTCCTTCGTGTGCTGTGCCAACCTTCATAGGTGCTACTCGCTAACCGCACTTGCCCTATAAATTTGCTGAGGCTATACAGGGGATCTTTGCCTTGTTGTGGTTGCCCTCCCAAGATTTTGTGAAAGTCCCGATTCGGTGCAGTATTGGGCAGCCGGGCACACACAGCCCCCGGAACTTACATCTGCACAGCAACAACAACATCATCTGTGTAATGTGTAAATCTGCGTCTCCCGTTAAGTCGACAAAAGGTGGATCGGTGAATACACCGAGTGAGTGATGGGATGGGAGGGATGGTTAGGGAGGTGTAGGTGCTTCTGCGTTTGAGCCTGGTCCACACCCGAGCGGATCGGTTGCGCGCAACAACTTGATTGCTCCCGACCGAATTGCTCTCCCTCGGCGACCGGGTTGTACCGTCGTCGGCTTCGCCGGCCGTCCGCTCGGGCAAATCGCGATCGGCAGCACGCGGTCGCGCCGCGACGCTTTGCCGCGGCGCGACCGCGATTTGGCCCCTGGCTCGTTTGGATCCCGAAGAGCCGCCGCCGCCCCCTCGCATCCTTGCCGCGTAGCTGCTCGCTGGGACGTGGGCAAAGCGGCCGTGGGGGTGCGATCGCCAGCTCGCGCGATTTAACGCGCGCAGCCTGTCGTCGCTCGGGCGTGGACCCGGCTCTTAATGTAAGGAAGGTGGGTTGGGGGGCCGGTGGGGTGGTGAAGTAGGGGGGGTGGGGGAGGGCTTTGGTGGGAGGGGGGGGGCTGGTTTCCTCATGTTGTCAGACGCCGCTGCCGTTGTGTAGCAGCAGCTGCTGCCGCGTGTGGATGCTGCCGTCACTAATACGCTGCGTCTATATCCAAATGCCGCCTCTAGGTTGGAGCCGCAGTTTCGCCATCGTGGATTTTATACACTTACACGACGCTTCAAGATGGATGGAGGCCTATCAGGTTGCCCTTCTACGGTCAAACGCGGTCCCTTAGACCGGGCCGCGGAGGAGCCCCCTGGCTTCCTTCCCCCACCCTCACCCCCACCCCCACCCCTACCACCCCCCCCACTTCTCCTCGCCGCCCCCACCCCCCCGCGGCGCGAGGTCGGCCACCTAGCGGGTGGGGGGAGGGCGGGCGGTGGGTTCACCAAAACAATTATCTCTGTGTCGGGAGTTGTGGACCGAGTGGCGACACGCGCACACGCATGTCGCGTTGGCACCCCCCGTCCCTCGCGTTCCGAGAGGGGGCGGCCGATGGCGGGGGAGTTAAACTGAACCGCGGGGTCGCTGCCCTCCCCCTCCTCGTCGTCGTCAGGAACGGCAGAGGCCCAATAGAGGCCGTGGTCGGCGGGCCCAGCAAAGGCCGAGGGGGTGTAGGGGATGTGCCAATCTGCGGGAACTTTGGTGGCGGATGCCGCACTTTTGGAGTAGGATTACAATGAGAAAAGGGCGAACCGTAAGTGTTGTGGTGCCCGAATAACTGAGACACGTTTGTCACTGGAGCGACCGTTAATTTGAATTTCAAGGCCCTGAATGGGGGTTCAGCTCCATTAAATCTCGGCGATCTGAAACCCTAATGCCCTATCTGGCAACTTCGATCCACCAAAGCCGGGCACCTGAGTGTGTCTGGGACAAATCTGCATTCGGTGGGTGATGATAGAGCATTCAGTAGTCGGGCGCCTCGTGTGTGGAACGCCTTGCTCCAGACCGTTAGGGATGCTCCGCCAGTTGAGGTTTGCAGGGCTTGTCTAAAAACCACTTATTTTCTCTTGCGCAACCATCTGTGGTGAGGGCTTGTCTGCCTCTTAGTTTTAACGTTAATGGTTTTTTTTACTCCAAATCTGTTGTGCTGCTGCAGCACTTGCGAAGCCTTGCGTTAATGGCGCCATAGAAAACTTGAGTTCTACTTACTGACTTAATTTCGCATTTCGACTGCTACAGTGAGGGAAAAAAGTATTTGATCCCCTGCTGATTTTGTACGTTTGCCCACTGACAAAGAAATGATCAGTCTATAATTTTTATGGTAGGTTTATTTGAACAGTGAGAGAGAGACAGAATAACAACAAAAAAATCCAGAAAAACGCATCTCAAAAATGTTATGAATTGATTTGCATTTTAATGAGGGAAATAAGTATTTGACCCCTCTGCAAAACATTACTTAGTACTTGGTGGCAAAACCCTTGGCAATCACAGAGGTCAGACGTTTCTTGTAATTGGCCACCAGGTTTGCACACATTTCAGGAGGGATTTTGTCCCACTCTCTTTGCAGATCTCCAAGTCATTAAGGTTTCGAGGCTGACGTTTGGCAACCCGAACCTTCAGCTCCCTCCACAGATTTTCTATAGGATTAAGGTCTGGAGACTGGCTAGGCCACTCCAGGACCTTAATGTGCTTCTTCTTGAGCCACTCCTTTGTTGCCTTGGCCGTGTGTTTTGGGTCATTGTCATGCTGGAATACCCATCCACGACCCATTTTCAATGCCCTGGCTGAGGGAAGGAGGTTCTCACCGAAGATTTGACGGTACATGGCCCCGTTCATCGTCCCTTTGATGCGGTGAAGTTGTCCTGTCCCCTTAGCAGAAAAACACCCCCAAAGCATAATGTTTCCACCTCCATGTTTGACAGTGGGGATGGTATTTTTGGGGTCATAGGCAGAATTCCTTCGCCAAACACGGCGATTTGAGTTGATGCCAAAGAGCTCCTTTTTGGTCTCATCTGACCACAACACTTTCACCCAGTTGTCCTCTGAATCATTCAGATGTTCATTGGCAAACTTCAGACGGGCAAGTATATGTGCTTTCTTGAGCAAGGGGACCTTGCGGGCGTTGCAGGATTTCAGTTCTTCACGGTGTAGTGTGTTACCAATTGTTTTCTTGGTGGCTATGGTTCCAGCTGCCTTGAGATCATTGACAAGATCCTCCCGTATAGTTATGGGCTGATTCCTCACCGTTCTCATGATCATTGCAACTCCACGAGGTGAGATCTTGCATGGAGCTTTAGCCGAGGGAGATTGACAGTTCTTTTGTGTTTCTTCCATTTGCGAATAATCGCACCAACTGTTGTCACCTTCTCACCAAGCTGCTTGACAATGGTCTTGTAGCCCATTCCAGCCTTCTGTAGGTATACAATCTTGTCCCTGACATCCTTGGAGAGCTCTTTGGTCTTGGCCATGGTGGAGAGTTTGGAATCTGATTGATTGATTGCTTCTGTGGACAGGTGTCTTTTATACAGGTAACAAGCTGAGATTAGGAGCACTCCCTTTAAGAGTGTGATCCTAATCTCAGCTAGTTACCTGTATAAAAGACACCTGGGAGCCAGAAATCTTTCTGATTGAGAGGGGGTCAAATACTTATTTCCCTCATTAAAATGCAAATCAATTCATATCATTTTTGAAATGCGTTTTTCTGGAGTTTTTGGTTTTTATTCTGTCTCTCACTGTTCAAATAAACCTACCATTAAATTATAGACTGATAATTTCTTTGTCAGTGGGCAAACGTACAAAATCAGCAGGGGATCAAATACTTTTTTCCCTCACTGTATAAACATTCACGGTCGTCGAGATGTCTTTCATTTTTCACTTCCAAATGTCTTGCCTACTTCTCGCTACATTTGTCCCCAACTGCACAACCACTTGAGCCACGAGAGGCATCGTAGCGGCAGATTTTCTTAAATTTTATAGAAAAAATGTTTTGTTACAATTGGCTTGGCTCGTTTCCACCCTTGTGGCCGCTGTTTCGTTCCCTTGCCGCGTGCAAACTCCTTACTCGCACGCGGCATGGCAAGTCGCGTGCCGTTGTTTTAAACGTTGTGCGTGCGTTGTCTCCCCAACCATCGCGCATGCCCCCAACGTCAAGGTGTTCTTTGGCAGTTTTTCTTTCATTTTTTAGACCAACAGTGGGTCTGTAATGAGTGAGGTCGCGAAATCTTAGCGGTGGCTTGAAGATGTTAACTACCTCACCTGGTATACAGAAGGTCTTGCATTCGATTCGTGACCCTGACACTTGCTGTATATTGAAATGTGCGTGTTCTCCCCATGGTTGCGTGGATTTTTCTCCTCGTTTTTTCGTTTTTTCCCACCACATTTAGAAACATGCATTTAGAGTATTTGGTGACTGCTATCCATTTCCACCTGATAAGCCACTTCGTTGAGCTATCATTTGTGGCCACGTTACTTCTGAAAAAGTACTCTGTAGCTCATTGGGCTTTTCCTGGTCAAATAAAACTAATGTATTGTTTTCATAGTTTATAGGCAGTGTTTCTCTCCAATAAGGTACCACACATCAACGTGGTTAACCAGGATGTAATGCGTCAGCAATTTAATAATTACTTTTAATATGCATAACACATTTTAGATAATTGAAGGGTTTCTTTGTGACTATCCATGTCAAACTCCGGTCATCCTCGCAGCAGCGGCTTTCGGCTAGCCGTCGAACGAAGGCGGTCACCGCATCGCACGCTTTCACATGTGCTTCCGTGGCCGTGTGGAACGCTCTTCCCTACGATATTAAGAAGCCACTGGAGCTGCGCACTTTTAAATCATCTAGGTTGCAAACGAATTTTTTTCTAACTGCTTTTTGTGTTTAATTTGTCCTCCTGCTCCTCCGATTAGCACAGTTGACTACGTACGGTCCGAAAGAAGTTCAGCGTACATACTTGCTGAATAATAAATATCGACTGATAGGGAACTGTTCAGATGCTAATGTAATGCTGTTCATATGGAAACATTCCTAAAATAATATTTTATTATCAGAGCCATATGGTGTAAAGCGCAGTTTCACTTTCACTGTAGAACAGGAGAGAACACAAACTCCACTCACTCTGTAGAACAGGAGGAGAACACACAAACTTCACTCACTTTGTTGAGCAGGGGGAGAACACAAAAACTCCACTCTGTAGAACAGGGTGGAACACACAAACTCCACTCACTGTAGAACAGGGGGAGATCACACAAACACCAGTCACTTTTTAGAACAGGGGGAGAACACAAACTCCACTCACTGACTCTGTAGAACAGGGGGAGAACACACAAACTCGACTCACTGTAGAACAGGTTGGAATGCACAAACTCGACTCTGTAGAACAGGGTGGAATACACAAACTCCACTTTGTAGAACAGGGGGAGAACACACAAACTCCACTCTAGAACAGGGGGGTCACACAAACTCCACTCACTCTGTAGAACAGGGGGAGATCACACAAACTCCACTCTGTAGAACAGGTGGAACACAAACTCCACTTACTCTGTAGAACAGGTGAAACACAAACTCCACTCACTTTGTAGAACAGGAGGAGAACACAAAAACTCCACGCACTCTGTAGAACAGGGGGGACACACAAACTCGACTGTAGAACAGGGTGGTACGCACAAACTCCACTCACTTTGTAGAACAGTGGGAGAACACACAAACTCGACTCACTCTGTAGAACAGGGGGATAACACACAAACTCCTCACTTTGTAGAACAGGGTGGAACGCACAAACTTGACTCACTCTGTAGAACAGGGTGGAACACACAAACTCCACTCACTTTGTAGAACAGGGGAGTCACACACTCGACTGTAGAACAGGGGGAGAACACAAACTCCACTCTGTAGAACAGGGTGGAGCACACAAACTCCACTCTGTAGAACAGGGGGAGAACACACAAACTCCACTCACTTTGTAGAACAGGGGGAGAACACACAAACTCCACTCACTTTGTAGAACAGGGGGAGAACACACAAACTCCACTCTGTAGAACAGGGGGGTCACACACACTCCACTCACTCTGTAGAACAGGGGGAGATCACACAAACTCCACTCTGTAGAACAGGTGGAACACAAACTCCACTTACTCTGTAGAACAGGTGGAACACAAACTCCACTCACTTTGTAGAACAGGAGGAGAACACAAAAACTCCACGCACTCTGTAGAACAGGGGGGACACACAAACTCGACTGTAGAACAGGGTGGTACGCACAAACTCCACTCACTTTGTAGAACAGTGGGAGAACACACAAACTCGACTCACTCTGTAGAACAGGGTGGAACACACAAACTCCACTCACTTTGTAGAACAGGGGGGTCACACACTCGACTGTAGAACAGGGGGAGAACACAAACTCCACTCTGTAGAACAGGGTGGAGCACACAAACTCCACTCTGTAGAACAGGGGGAGAACACACAAACTCCACTCACTTTGTAGAACAGGGGGAGAACACACAAACTCCACTCTGTAGAACAGGGGGAGAACACACAAACTCCACTCTGTAGAACAGGGGGGTCACACAAACTCCACTCACTCTGTAGAACAGGGGGAGATCACACAAACTCCACTCTGTAGACCAGGTGGAACACACAAACTCCACTGTAGAACAGGGGGAGAACACACAAACTCCACTCACTTTGTAGAACAGGGTGGAGCACACAAACTCGACTCACTCTGTAGAACAGGGGGAGAACGCACAAACTCCACTCTGTAGAACAGGGGGAGAACACACAAACTAAACTCACTTTGTAGAACGGGGAGAACACACAAACTCCATTCTGTAGAACAGGTGGAACACAAACTCCACTCACTTTGTAGAACAGGAGGAGAACACACAAATACCACTCACTTTTTAGAACAGGGGGAGAACACACAAACTCCACTCACTTTGTAGAACAGGGTGGAGCACACAAACTCGACTCACTCTGTAGAACAGGGGGAGAACACACAAACTCCACTCTGTAGAACAGGGGGAGAACACACAAACTACACTCACTTTGTAGAACGGGGAGAACACACAAACTCCATTCTGTAGAACAGGTGGAACACACAAACTCCACTCACTTTGTAGAACAGGAGGAGAACACACAAACACCACTCACTTTTTAGAACAGGGGGAGAACACAAAAACTCCACTCTGTAGAACAGGTGGAACACAAACTCCACTCACTTTGTAGAACAGGGGGAGAACACACAAATTCCACTCACTGTGTAGAACAGGGGGTCACATAAACTCGATTCTCTCTGTAGAACAGGGTGGAACGCACAAACTCTACTCACTTTGTAGAACAGGGGGAGAACGCACTAACTCCACTTTGTAGAACAGGGGGAGAACATGCACTAACTCCACTTTGTAGAACAGGGGGAGAACATACAAACTCCACTGTAGAACAGGGTTAGAATATACAAACTCCACTCTGTAGAATAGGGATAGAACATATAAACCCCGCTTTGAAAAACGGGGAGAGAATGCAGACTCCACTCATTCACTCTCACTAGAACAGGGCGAGATCACACAAATTCCACTCACTGTAGAACAGGGGGCGATCATTCAAACTCTACTCACTCTGTAGAACAGAGGGAGAACACACAAACTCCACTCTGTGGAGCAGGGGGAGAACACAAACTCCACTCACTATTTTTACCCCCCAGTATTTGCTTAGAACAGTGGTCGGCAACCAAGATAACAAGAAGCATCATATTGTTTCGAATTCTGTACCCAAAAAAAACGGCTTCAAGAGGCAAAATACGAGACGACGGTCCTCCATGAATAACGGTCACGAAGCAGCAGTCCACAAAGAGCCAACATGCGGTTCCGGAGCCGCAGGCTTCCCGACCCATGGCCTAGACTTCTCACCACTTCAGTTATGAGGAGCTCGAGGTCAATGGGAGAATGGTGGCACAAGTGGAACTGCTATGGGTCGTTGGTTATTATTGTTGTGTTTGTTCGGGAAAGCCTCACTGAGTCTCAAGACTCGTTCTCAAGAAGGGTTCCTGCCTTGTTTTCGCGATAGTGGGGGAGGGGCGATGTAGCTGCTGTGTATCCCCCCAGTTGAGGAGATTGAAGGTAATTTGTCTTGCAGCACTGGGATGTTTTGGCCAATGCCAGTTGCACGTTACATTGCGTGGCTAACATTTTTAGCTTTGGCAGGAAAACAGAGAACGCGGAGGAAACCCATGCAGGGGGAGAGAACATAAAAACTGGGGAATCGAACCCAGGCCCTTGTTGGAGTGAGGCCACAAGTGTTACCACCGGGCACCCTGTCGACCTCAGCGACCGCACAGAGTGGAGTTTCCACTCACCCCTTAAGTCAGCGGCAGGGGAACCCTAGAGAGTATTCTATTTTCTACGTGACTTTAACGAAAGAACCAAAGAGTAAGAGCTGAATATTAACATTGAAATATCGTTGTTGGGCCCACTTATTGACACAAAGACAAAGGTCCCCTGTGAAGCCTTAAGCAGACTGTTGGGTCAAGGGTTGTGAACGAGTAGCATTTATGAAGGCCGGCACGGCACACAAGGGGGGTGGGTGGCCAGCACCACGCCCGACCACCTTTGGCTCCCTAGTGGCAATGTTTATACACAGCACCAGGTACTCATTTGAGGCTAAGTTGACCTAGGTGATGCCCAGGACCGGTTCATATAATTTTTACTGCTGGTGGCCGTGAGCGGGAATCAAACCCGCGCCGGATTCATTGCGCAGTGCGCGAACCACTACGCTACCGCTCTTCACTAACACAACAACAACCGCCATTCGCCACTAAGTAGCGGTGACATAACCACGGTGCTTGTGCCAAACTATGTGCACTTTAATGGCACGTGAAAGTGATTTGACACAGAGACACATACACACACATCAGTTTTCTTCTGCCACTGCACATCGTCCAGTCAGGAGGGGGGTGCGGGTCGGAGAGTTGCGACGACAAACAACGTGAGAAACGGCCACGGCCGAAGCTGCCGTCACCGCTGTACCTCTGCCGACGCTTTGTTCCCTCCGCCGGATGCCGCGGTTGCCCGCTTGCGCCAAGCCTCTTGATACGCGCCGCGTCGCTCGTTCAATTTCGGCGGCTGGGTTTCTTGTCGTCGACGAATCGGCTGTCGGCGGCGTCGGTGATGGGATCGCTTGTGGGTTGGGGGGGGGGGTCTCTCCCTTTCCCGGCTGTTTCTTGACTCCGACGGATTGGCGAGTTTCTGAGCGCGTGCCCATAGCTACCGAGCGCACTGGTGGTGCAAGTGAACCGGGGCCCGCGGTGGCGAGATGTTGATTCCCTCGCTTGGTATGCAGGACGTCGTGGGTTCGACCCAAACCCTGACACCTGCTGGATATTTAGAGTTTGCGTGTCTCATCATAGTGGCTAGGAGACGTTAACGACCTCGCCTGGTATACAGGATGTCGTGGGTTTGATCCCGACCCTAACGCCTGCTGTGTATTTGGAGTTTGCGTGTCTCTCTCTCTCCCCGTGGTCACGTGGATTTTTCTCTTAAGTCCTCCAGTTTTTCCCTCCACATTTATAATGAACACTCATTTAGAGTGTTTGCACATAATAAGCCACTTTTGTTGAGCTGTCATTTGTGATGGCCAGGTTGCTTCTGACAAAGTGCTACACAGCTCAGTGGGGCCTTACTTAGCATGGCAAAATAAAAATAGCCGTGGCTTAGCCGTCGAGTTGGCCTTCCCTGGTAATGTTTAGTTGGCTGATCAGTGAAGAGCGGCGGGAATAAAATTGGTCCCCATCGTTTTAGTCCTCGCACCCGGTGCCCATGCCAAAAGTGCTGCGCCACTGGGTTCGGTGTTCCGATCGCTGTGGCTCAGAGCCAGACTGACGCTCCCCCAAGCTTCAGTGGGAACCTTTACACTCGCGGAGCCCACGCTAAGGCTCCCCGAGGCTTCAGTGTTAATGACTGAGACGTGTACAGACAAAGGCTCGCATGTTGGCTTCAGTGTTAATCACCGGCGGTGAAATTTCACCGGCGCTCGGGCACTGAGCTACAAATAAGTGGGGAGGGGGGAAGCGGTTGGGGGGAGAATTGGGTGAGGTTGTGGGTTCGATCCCGACCCTGACGCCTGCTGCTGTATATTTGTCGTTTGCATGTCTCTCTCTCTCTCCCCGTGGTCCCGTGGGTTTTTCTCCGGGTCCTCCGGTTTTTCCCACCACATTTAGAATCGACGTTAGGCATTTTAGATTATTTGGCTGCTATAAATGTCCACGTGATGATGATAAGCCACTTCATTGAGCTATCATTTGTGAAACCAGGTCGCTTCTGAAAAATATCTATATAGCTCAGTGGGCCTTTCCTGGTTAAATAAAAATAGTTAATAGTTTAGTTCTAATTGGACCGGTGGGGGGTTTGGGGGTCGGTGGCCAATTCGTTCCTCGGCTGGCAGCGCATGCAAACCGTGGCACACTACTGCTACACGGTAGACCACACGATGCCGACTCCGCTCGGCTGTCTTCACTCTCCCGCGGAACTTCCGGGGCTCCGCGAGGCTCACTCGCGATCGTGCCGGGGTCATTGACCCGCCGAGCTGAATGGCCGGCCGAGCGATTTAACGGACGGACGAGAGGGAGAGCGAGAGAGCGAGAGTCTCGTGGCATTATGCGGTCGAGTCGTATCCTCGCGCTGCGATCGCTCGCCGGGACGCTGACCACGTGCCGCCCTCTCCGCTGTCTTGCAGTTCCACCTGCTGCTGCGAGGACAGAGAGTGGCGCTCGAACCCTGCCAAAGCAACCTGTGGCGTTGCCCGACGGTGAGCGACGGACGCGTGTACCCGCGTGCACCTGCGTGCGTGCATGCATGCATGCATGTGTGCCTGCCTGCGTGTTTGCGTGCCAACCTGCCTGCATGCTTCCCTCCCTCCTGCCTGTCTGCCTGCCTGCGTACGTCCCTGCATGCCTGCCTGTGTGCATGTGCGTGCGTGTGCCAGCGCTGCCCATCTTTGGCACGGGCTCCATTCTTACCGGTCTCTGCTAGTCCTCGTGTGCGTGTGTGTCTCGTAGCTTCACTAAGCCACAAATGAGTACCTGGTGTGGTGTGTAAACATTGCCACTTGGGAGACAAAGGCAGCCTGGTATGATGCTGGCCACCCACCCCCTCGTGTGCTGCGCTGGCCTTCATAGGTGCTCGCTAACAGCGCTTGCCCCAACAGTCTGTAAAGGCTATACGACGGGATCTTTGTCTTTGCGTCTCATAGACAAGTAACGCTGCGTCCGTCAATCGATTCAAATAGATTCATTATGCCAGGGTGCACCCATCACCTGAGCGGTGAGTTCCGTGTGGATGTCTCTGCAACCGATTGCGAGCAGTTTTGGCGACCAATTGCTCACAGTGACCACACACGCCTCGACATTCAAGCGATGATCTGCTCGGCGGTCTGTAGCGACGCGCTTCATCACTACGCGACACATTTGCTCAAATCCGATTGGTCGTTACCGACATGGGTGGAGCACAGTGGTGAGATGTTAATTCCCTCTCCTGGTATGCAGGAGGTTATGGGTTCGATCCCGACCCTGACACCTGTTCTATATTTGGAGTTTGCATGTCTCTCTACATGGTCATGTGGATTTTTGTCCAGTTCTGCCGGTTTTTCTCACCACATTTAGAATAAACTTACGCTGGAGAGTGGATGGCTACTGTGATATGCCACTTTTTTGAGCTATCATTTGCAAAAGCCAGGTCACTTCTGAAAAAGTTTAGTTTTAACGTTTACGATGTTGTCCATAGTTTGGTTTGCATGGCCACAATTGCATGTCTGTGCCTTGTAAAATAGTAACCAGACATTAGGCGGTGCTCTGCCTGTCGAGGGGCATGGCCTGCCACCCACTTTCCCCGTCCGCGCAAAACCGCTCGCTCCGATGCGGACAAAGCGGTCTCGCGATTTTGGGAGCGAACTCGGCTGATGCACCGCGTGCCATGTGCCCTGTTGCCCTCAGTGTCAAGGGAAGAACTTCTGGCAACACAGCTGGTGCTTGCGGTGTCAGCACTCCAGAGAAGGTGAGGCTGCCCCCCACCAATTCCATTACCCGCCATTCGCCACTAAGTCCCGGTGACATCACCATGGCACCTGAGCCGGGCAAGGTGCACTTCGAGGCCACGTAAAGTGTCGCGGGGTCGCTGATAGGAGGTGCCACTGGCTGGCTGACTGAGATGACTGGAAGGTGCACCACGTGTGCCCCCTACTGTGCCAACTTGCTGCGTTTTAGCCGCCCGGCGCTCCGCTCATTGTTGTGAGCGTCGCTCCTTTGCACTCAGTTGTTTGAGGACGACTGCCTCCAACTGCCCAGTAGCAGCGTCCTTCACGAGCCTCCTTCACGAGCCTCCTTCACGAGCCTCCCCCATACCCCCACCTCACTTCACCCCCCTCCACCAGCGCTCGTCAGACCCTCATTCTCTCCACACTCGCTGCTGCGTTCCCACAACCGCCGCCGGTATGCATGCTCGGCTGAGCAGGAGTAGTGGTCCTGGGCTGTTCCAAGGAGCATAAACCACCATCACCACGGGAACTCAGATCATCCTCGCAGCAGCAGCTTTTGGCCGGCCATCGAACTAAGAAGGACACCGCGTCGCGCGTTTTCAGATGCGCTTCTGCGGCCGTCTGGAACATGCTCTTCCGATGTGAGGAAGCCACTGGGAGCTATGAACTTTTAAATAATCTAGCTTGAAAACTCAATTTAGTTGAGTAAGAAGTTCAAAATACATACATAGGACCTGATGCATTGTATATCATCAACACTGGGGAGACAAAGGCGTGGTGTTGGTCACACCATCCCCACATAGGTGTGCTTTGCCGGCCTTCATAGGTGCTACTCACTAACAGCATTTGCCCCAACAATCTGTCATTGTTACACAGGGGATCTTTGTGTGTTTTGTTTTTGCTTTGCAGAAAAATCTCACCCACCCCAGCCGGCTAACGAACCCGACTTGGAGAACGCCAACAAAAGTACGTGTCCTCAGTCGCCGCGATTGTTGTGCGCGCGCGTGTGTGTGACGTTCAGTACAAAGGTCGTGGGGAGCGCTGGCGCAGCGGTTAGCACGCTGCGCTACGAACCCCGACGACCCCTAGTTCGGTTGCCGCTCGTGGCTACCAACACCGGTGACGATTATCTGAACCGGTCCTGAGCCTCCCCTAGGTCAACACTCCCTAAAATGATTATCTGGAGTGTAATCGTTAGCACTGTGGAGACAAAAGGTGTTCAGGCTTGGTGCTGCTGCCCCCCCCCCCCCCCCCCCCCCCCCGGGCACCACGGTGGCTAGGAGATGTTTACTACCTCGCCTGCTATACAGGAGGATGCTGGTTCGATTCCTGACTGACGCCTGTGTGTTTGGAGTTTGCGTGTCTCTCTCCCCGTGGTCGCGTGGATTTTTCTTTATCAATGTCATGCGTTTGGAGTATTTGGCTGCTATAAATTTCCACGCGATAAGCCACTGTTGAGATATCATTTGTGGCCAGGTTGCGACTGAAAAAGCACTATACAGCTCAGTGGGTCTTACCCGGTAAAATAAACATTTGTGTTTAGTTTAGTTTGCCTTCGTGTGCTCTTTTGACCTTCACAAGTGCCACTCGTTAACAGCGCTTTACCCGACAGTCTGTTGAAGGCTCCACTGGGGTGTCTTTGCCTTTGTCTGGTCCCTGCGCACCCGCGCTGCAGCCTTGATTCTGCATAACTTGAGCGCCACGGCGACGCTGGAGGAGATTGTGGAGGCCCTGGCGCCGCTCGTCATCCTGTCGGGAGACAACCTGCGCCTCATCAAGCAGAAGGGCACTCGCCTGAACCGCGGCTTCGCCTTCCTCGAGATGCCTTCCACGCTGGTGCGAGCCCCATGCGCTCTTCTGTGTGTGTTTGTCATTGTGTGTACATGTGTGTAGCGGTTAGCGCGCTGCGCTATGAACCTGGCGACCCGGGTTCGATTCCCGCTCACGGCCAACACCAGTGATGATTATCTGAACTGGTCCCGGGCCTCCCCTAGGTCGACTCAGCCTCAAATGAGTACCTGGTGTGGTGTGTAAACATCGTCACTAGGGAGACAAAGGCGGTTGGGCGTGGTGCTGGCCACCCACCCCCTCGTGTACCGTTCCGGCCTTCATAGGTGCTCGCTAACAGCACTTGCCCCTACAGTCTGTTAAGGCTATATGGGGGATCTTTGATGTGTGTACATGTGTGTGTAGAACGTCTTTCGCACCTTACGTAGCCAACCGTGCTAATCGGAGGTGCGGGGGTAGGATAACAAACGTGTGTGTGGCTGTGTGTGTCCGTGTGTAAAGCTGTGTGTGTGTTTGATTCTCGGTCACGACCACCAGCAGTGACATTTGTCTGAACCAGTCCTGGGTATCACTGAGGTCGACTCAGCCTCAAATGAGTACCCGGTACGATGTGTAAAATCATCGCCACTAGGGGACAAAGGCATGTCGCGCTGGCCTTCATAGGTGCTACTTGCTCACAGCACTTGCCATAATTTTTCTTATTCCTATACGGGGGAGCTTTGTCTTGTGCGGTAATGTGGTTGTTCACGCACTGCGCTACGTACCTTGCGACCAGAGTTCAATTCCCACTCACGGCCAACTACAGTGACGATTATCTGAACCGGTCCTTGGCCTCCCCTAAGTCGACTCGGCCTCAAATGAGTACCTGGTCCGTTGTGTAAAAACATTTCCACTGGGAAGACAAAGGCGGCCGGGCGTGGTGCTGACCATCCACTCCTTCTTGTGCTGTGTCAGCCTTTATAGGTGCTCGCTAACATCACTTGCCCCAACAGGCTGTATGGGGGAATCTTTGTCTTTTTTTGTAAAATGTTTGGGTGTTGTTCATTTTCCAGCAACACGGGGGGGGGGGGGGGATGTGTTGTGCCATCTCAAGAGATTTTTTCCCACACGAAAAATATTTCAAATGAATGAGAGAAATACATTTCACTGGACGACTGTGGCCCGCAGGAGGCGATCCAGCTGTTCCAGACCATCGAGGGTCAGGAGTGCCCCATCTTGGTGCACGGCAAGAGGATCCATGCCGACTTTGCCAAGGCCACCAGTAGGTGGGTGAAGCTGGCGGTGCTCCGTTTCTCAGTTGCAGGTTTCAACGGTTGTCGAACCATGCTAAAACTCGAGGTTTTTTCGCACACATTTAGAAGGTGGGGAGTGGGGCATGTTAACTACCTCGCCTGATATACAGGAGATCGTGGGTTCAGTTCTGACCCTGACACCTACTGTATATTTAGAGTTTGCCAGTTCTCTTACTCTCATCATCACGGTGGCTCAGAGATGTTAACTACAGTAAAACCTTGGGTTGCGAGTAACTTGGTCCGCGAGTGTTTTGCAAGACGAGCAAATTTTTAAAATAAATTTTAACTTGATAAACGAGCGAGGTCTTGCAATACGAGTAGTGCGTATACGCTTTGTCTGCCGAGGGTCACGTGATCACAACTGAACCGATGGTTATTCTCTCTCTCTCGCTGCGGGATTGTGGGTAATGGAGGAGATCTCGTCTGAGGAGGAGGAGAAAAAGACGGAGGAATCCCTCACTTCAAATGAGATTAGGGAGATGTGTAAAATGTGCGAAACAGTGCAAAATTTTGTAGAAAAGCACCACCGAATATGGCTGTAGCAGTGCGAGCGATGAATCTGTTTAACGACAATGCAATGTCACATTTCCGCGAAATCCTCAAAAGGAGGCAAAAGCAAGTGTCATTGGATAGGTTCCTTGTTCAAGTCGCACAAAAAGAATAAGATTCCAGTGAGCCAACAGATAGCAGTCATTTCGTTAGTGACAGTGAAAGTCGTCCTACACAATAACACTCCTCTCTCTCGTCTCCCTCACACCAGCCACGATTAAAATTAATAAATTGTATTACTTTATATTAAATTTAAATAAAACAAATTTAGAAATGTATTTTGTATTAATAATTTTTATAGGAATATTTTTGGGTTGTGGAACGAATCATCTGAGTTTCCATTATTTCTTATGGGGAAATTCGCTTTGATATACGAGTGCTTTGGATTACAAACACGTTTCCGGAACGAATTATGCTCGCAATCCAAGGTTTTACTGTACCTTGCCAATCCTGACGACTGCTGTATATTTGGAGTGTACGTGTTTCTCTCATCATCATCATGGTGGCTAGGAGATGTTGACTACCTCGCCTGGTGTGCAGGAGGTTGTGGGTTCGATCCCGACCCTGACGATGCCTGTGTATATTTGGAGTTTGCATGATCCCCCGGTGGTTGTGTGGATTTTTCTCCGGGTCCTTCGTTTTTTCCCTCCACTTTAGAAATCAACATCATGCACTTCGTGGTTGGCTGCTATAAATTTCCACGTGATGAGTCATTTTGTTGCGCTCTTATTTGTGGCCAGGTTGCTTCTGAAAAAGAGCCATGTAGTTCAGTGCGCCTTACCAAGTAAAATAAAAAATAGTTTAGTTTTTTAGATCAGGTTTAGAGACCCACAGACTCGTACAGAGGACTGCAGACTCTTACAAGAGATTCACGGAATTGCACAGAGACCCATTGATACAGGGAGACCCACAGACCTACACAGACCTTTCTGATTGGCAGACAGACACCTAATAGACATTTACAGATAGCCATATACTAACACAGAGACCCAAAGACTCACAGAGACCCACAGACTCGGAGAGACCCACAGATTCGTAGAGAGACTCATAGACTCACACTAAAGCCTTAGTTTTAAAGAAAGTTCCATATAGACTCGCACAGAGAGCCATCGACTAGTGTGTGAGGAGCAGTAGTGCAGTGGTTAGTGCTCTGCGCCATGGCCCTAGGAATCTAAATTCCATTCTGCTGCTCGCAGCCAACATCCCTGATGAATATCTCTCCAAGGCTGAACTCCGCCTTAAATGACCACCCGGTGCGGTGTGGAAATCATCGACACTGGGGAGACGAGGGTGGCCGGCCATGGTGCTGTCCCCACGCCACCGACTCTTGCGCCCTGTCGCCCCCTTCGTAATCACTCGTGAACTGCACTTTGCCCCAACAGTCTGCACGGATGTCAGTGTCGTGCTAGGGGATGGACGGATAATGATGACGGTGATGATGGCTTTCGTTTCCGTGAGCTCTCTTTCGACTGCCGCCGAGTGCTCCCATAGAACGTGCCTCTTGTGCAGACGGTGCGAGAGGCGCAACTGAAACATTGCCTGGGGGGGTTTACCCCCTTCATGCGCTTCAGTGGCTCGATCACTTCCTGATGTCTGTGCGCGAGTATTTGGTGACGAGTGTTTGAACCGGTCCTGGGCCTCCCCTAGGTCGACTCAGCCTCAAATGAGTACCTGGTGCGGTGTGTAAACATCGCCGCTCGGGAGACAAAGGCGGTCGTGCGTGGTGCTGGCCACCCACCCCCTTTAAGTGCTGTGCTGACTTTCATAGGTGCTGCTCGCTAACAGCACTTGCCCCAACAGTCTGTTAACGTTATATGGGGGATCTTTGTCTTCGTGCCGCCTGCAGTCAGGAGCCGTTTGACTTCAACAGAGCGACGGCCGCGACCAAGGGCAGCGCTGCCATAGCTGCTGCCAGGTGGTCCTCGTCACAGGTACGGCGCCTCTCTCTCTACAGCTCACCTTTGTGAGATTCGTCGAGTCTCAGGTTTTTCGCAACGTGGAGGGCGGCGTTTCCTTTGCCAAATCATAAAAAAAACTCTGCCGTGATGTTGTTCGTTACATGACGGTCCATGCAAGCGGTGTGTTAAATGATCGGAGCTGGAATTTATCCGAATCAATCAAGTGCAGGAACCCAATTCAAGATGATGTGTGTTTGTTCTTTTGGTCTAGTCATGGGGCGCCACAGTGGCGAGATGTTAACTACCTCGCCTTGTATACAGGAGGTTGTGGGTTCGGCCTGTATGTTCTCCCTGTAGTCACTTGGATTTTTCTCTGGGTCCTCCGGTTTTTCCCTTCACATTTAGAATCGATGTGCGTTGATAGAGTATTTGGCTATTATGAATTTCCACGTGATTGTGATAAGCTACTTCGTTGAGCTATTATTTGTGATAGCCAGGTCGCTTCCAATAAAATATCTACATAGATGAGTTGGGCCTTACCTGCTAAAATAAAACTAGTAGTAGTATTACTTACCTATGTGAGCATTTGTTTAATTATTATTTCATTGTGTATCTGGGGCTCTTAACCATGTTAAAGTCGGGTGCAAAAAGCGTTCACTGAATACTTACCCGGCCGAGACCCATTAATTCCCACTCCATTTGTGAAAGCCAGTGTTCATCTCGCGTGGCTTCCACCGGCATCACTTCATAAGCCGGCTGCGGCAGCTCGGTGTCTCCGGATGGGTCGAGTCAGGTCAGGTCGAGGCGTCCGGTGAAACACGACGCGGTTAAAACACCCCTCCCCTTTGGCTCCAACCGTGCCTCTGCCCCCCCACGTCTGCCCCACCCAGCCCAGCCAAGGCTCCGAGGAGTGGAACGCCTGGTCCAGTTACTACCAGCAGAACGGACAGCAGGGCGGGGGGGAGGTTTACATGCAGGTAAGGATATACATTTTCCACGCGATGATGATAAGGATAAGCCACTTCCGTTGAGCTGTCGTTTGTGATACCCCGTGGGGCTAGTTCCTTCACGGCGTTACAAGTGGCACTGATAGGGTACCGGGAGAGGTACGTACGTACATACGTTGAACTTATTTCGCACCATGCGTAGCCAACCCTGCTCATTGGAGGTGCAGTTTGAAACTGAGCAACAATGCTTGCTTGGTATTTAAGACAGAAACTGGAGGACTTTGTCACAATTATGGCTATCTCCTCCTGATGATGCTGGTTGTAATCACCAGTGAATTGTCATGGTACTCTGATTATAAATATTGTATTTGGTTTACTCTCCAACACAACCGGTTAGTGCCGAACTAGTAACTAATTGGCAGGTTTTGTTTACGTGAGAAACCTTACTCATTGGCTGTGTCGGGTGGCGGCGGGTTTAGCGATGACACATTTATATTCATGCGACATAACCCCAAGAAACCTTTGTTATGGATAATACGTGGATAATACTGGCCGCGAAAGCCGACGCGTTAATCAATGCTTGCGTTTCTGAATCTTAGCTCAGTCGATAGATTCTGTCGCTGCAAGGGCCTTGCAGTGGCAGATGGAGCCGAGGCATCTGTGGTGTTGCTTTCTGCTGCTGCCGTATGGTTGCCTGTGAAGGGTGTTTCGTTACATTGTTATATAAATTACATACAGTATTTTGCTGCTATGAATTTCCACGTGATGACAAGCCACTTCGTTGAGCTGCTGTCATTTGTCCAGGGTCGCTTCTGGAAAAAGAAAGCTCATAGCTCAGTGGGGCCTTACGTGGTAAAATAAAAATTGTTTGTTGTTTGCTGTAAGATTGATAGCGGCCTCAATAACCAAAGCGTGCTGAAGCATCGTAGAGGTCACTGAGGGTTTGCCGCACGGTGATTGGCAAGGGGGCGGCCTCACCATATCCCCCCAACATTTTTATTGAAACTTTGGGACAGGGAGGGGGCTCGCTTTGGTTGGGCGGAGGGGGGTGCATTGCCAGGAGGGACCTCTAGGAAGGGAGCTCACTTGGGGGGCACTGCCAGAAGGGACTCCTAGGAAGGGGGCTCGCTTGGGGGGTCACTGCCAGGAGAGATCCCTCGGAAGGGGGCTCGCTTGGGGGGTCACTGCCAGGAGGATGCTCCCACGTCTGACTGACCTGACCTGCCTTGTGCCGTTGCCAGGACTACAGCCAGTACTACCAGCAGGCAGAGGCGCTCAACTCAGCCATCGGGGCTGCTGCTGCTGCCGCTCCTTCCGCCGCTGCCGCCACCACCACCGCTGCAGTGGCAGCAGCGGCGATAGCAGCGGCAGGACTGGCGACGACGAGTAAGTGACTGATGTTAGTCAGTCGAGATGGGGGGGGAAGGGGGGGAGCGTTTCGCACGATGCTATTTACGTTTCCCCCTTGTACATCGTTTCGCTAACGGCGTGATTTTTTTGTCCCCCCCCCGTGAATGCCCTTCGAGCAGAGAAGGCGGAAGTGGAGGTCCCCGCTGCCCAGCCGGCGCTAGTCGAGGCCTCCCAGCAGAAAGACGCAGAGGTGAGGGGGGGTGGTGGGGGGGTGATGGGTGGTGTCGTCGTTTCTCGTGTAAGGTCCACCCATCGCTCGCTTGGCCGAGCGTCTGCATCTGCGTGAGCGTGTGGGTGAACGTCTGGCCTAGCGTGTGGCCGAGCATGTGGGCGAGCGTCCGGGCGAGCGTCTGGGCGAGCGTCTGGGCGAGCGTCCGTCTGGGTGAGCGCCTGGGCTGAACTCCGTGTCGGTGTCTTCCGGTTATGAGCCACGTTCTTACGATTGAGAGCGAAGAGGACCGGTATTAATGACAGTGATGCTGCTACTAATGCAGCAGCTGAGATGGCTTTGCTGCACAGGTGCAGTTGACAGAAAGATGACCGTTAAAATTAATTACATTTACAAAGCGCTTGAATGAAAGTGCTGTGCAGTGATTTAACGATGGTACAAAAACAAACTGTGGGGCATGGGATGACATGGGATGGCGCGGTGAATGTTGTAAATATTGGGACGACGACGATGATGCATGAGAGGAAACGAAGGTGAAGATGACACAGATTAACGAGTCGATGGAGGATGAGTGAAGACGGGGGAGGGTCGACAAGGAAGGGTAGTGAGAATAGATGTATTGACGAACACATTCGTCAATACGGTAACACTTTGCCTGTGCGGCGCGGTGGCGGCTATACACGTGGCCTGTAGATATCATTGATATCATCTATTTATGCGTAGGGACAGTGCGGAGAGAGAGAGGGTGCGTGTGTGGAGACAGTGCGGGTGCAGGGACAGGTGCGTGGCCAAGTGGTCACGAGGGATTATTACAGGAGGGAACCATCGGGGAAGTTCGGGATTGGCCGAGACAATTCAAGAAGGGGGGCGTGGCCGGGGGCGGAGCGTGGCCACGCCGGGGGTATATAAGTCGGCGGGCGAGGGAGCTCGGTGCTGCCGGGGGATCGGGATGGACTGTCTCCACGCCGTCGTTGTCTTCGGGCCGTCGCTGTCTCTGTGTCGCCGCTACTTGGGTGCTGTTCTAGCCCAAGTATCTTTTGTTATCCTAGCCCAAGTAATTGTATGTTAACCTAGTCCAAGTATCTGTAGGATACGCAGCCACGTTATCTGCGCGACGCGCCTTAATAAATAATGAAGACAAGAAGTTGTCCGAGAGTCATTACATATGCACACACATTTCGAAATGGCAGTCAATATTTTAAACGATCTAGCACTACTGGAATTCTCTGGTGGCTCCCGCCTGTGACCCCGGCACTGTGAAGGCAGTGGGGATTGGTGGATCGCAAGAGATGTTGCATAACTCCCCCTTCCCGCGGGTGTCGATGGGGGTGTGCCATACCCTGGCTCGCCAGGAGAAGGCAGTACAGCAAGCCTGGACTTTCTGTATGGTACCGCGAGAGTGTTGGCTGCCTCGGCCGCTTGGGGTTTTTCCGGGTGCTCCGGTTTCCTCGGACGTGAATAGTCGACACAACTCATTCATTGGCTGAAAACATCTGAAGATGTTGAGAACTGCAGAGCTTGGGCAGTGGATGGCACCGCCTTTTGTTGCGCTATGAACCTAGTGATCTGGGTTTCATTTCCGGTCACGGTCAACAGCAGTGACAATTACCGTTCCTGGGCTTCCGCAAGGCCGATTCAGACTCAGATGAGTACCTGGTGCAGTGTGTAAGCATCGCCACTGGGGAGACAAAGACAGGCGTGGTGCTGGCCACCCACCCTCTCATGCGCCGTACCAGCCTTCATAGATGTTCTCTAACAGCACTCGCTCCAACAGTCTGTTAAAGGCGATACGGGGGATCTTTGTCTATGTGTGTGTGTCTCTTGCATCCATGCGTGTTGTTCACGTGTCTCTGTGTACGCTGTGCTCAGGCGATGCCGACTGAGCCTCAAAGTGCCGACGCATCAGTGACACAGGATGGTGACGATGCCTTTTGTGAGTACTTGCTCTCTACACCTATTTGTTTTTGCATGATTTACCTGAAAACATGGTTAACTGGACCCTCCTAAACAATAAGATTCGTGAGACTTGGTAAAGCTTGGGGCACCGTGGTGCCTGGTATAGAGGAGGTTGTGAGTTCAATCCCGACCCTGACGCCTGCTGTATGTTTGGAGTTTGCTTGTTCTGCCCGTGGTGGTCGCGTGGATTTTTCTCCAGGTCCTCCAGTTTTCCCCTCCACATTTTGAATCGACGTGCATTTAGAGTATTTGTATGTATGTTGAACTTCTCTCGCACCAAAATGGGACCTTTTTGACAGTATCCAAGCATGAAAAAATAAGAATAGGTTTTACCCTTTCTGGCAATAAAACAGGTGTTAAGGTGTTCAAACACCAAATATAAACCTTTTGCAAGGAATCTTGTCTGCATTAACCACACTTACTTGTGGTGAACATGCAAACAAAAACATGCTCTGATAATATATATGCATTGTCCTTGAAACTGATTGGTCTTTAGGGTCTAGTCTCACCAGTGTCTGACTGCAGACTAGGCCTCTGGTGTAGACCAATCCGTTTGAAGGACAATGCATACAGTGAGGGAAAAAAGTATTTGATCCCCTGCTGATTTTGTACGTTTGCCTACTGACTAAGAAATTATAAGTCTATAATTTTAATGGTAGGTTTATTTGAACAGTGAGAGACGAAATAACAACAAAAAAATCCAGAAAAACGCATGTCAAACATGTTATAAATTGATTTGCATTTTAATGAGGGAAATAAGTATTTGACCCCCTCTCAAACAGAAAGATTTCTGGCTCCCAGGTGTCTTTTATACAGGTAACGAGCTGAGATTAGGAGCACACTCTTAAAGGGAGTGCTCCTAATCTCAGCTTGTTACCTGTATAAAAGACACCTGTCCACAGAAGCAATCAATCAATCAGATTCCAAACTCTCCACCATGGCCAAGACCAAAGAGCTCTCCAAGGATGTCAGGGACAAGATTGTAGACCTACACAAGGCTGGAATGGGCTACAAGACCATTGCCAAGCAGCTTGGTGAGAAGGTGACAACAGTTGGTGCGATTATTCGCAAATAGAAGAAACACAAAATAACTGTCAATCTCCCTCGGCCTGGGGCTCCATGCAAGATCTTACCTCGTGGAGTTGCAATGATCATGAGAACGGTGAGGAATCAGCCCAGAACTACACGGGAGGATCTTGTCAATGATCTCAAGGCAGCTGGGACCATAGTCACCAAGAACACAATTGGTAACACACTACGCCGTGAAGGACTGAAATCCTGCAGCGCCCGCAAGGTCTCCCTGCTCAAGAAAGCACATATACATGCCCGTCTGAAGTTTGCCAATAAACATCTGAATGATTCAGAGGACAACTGGGTGAAAGTGTTGTGGTCAGATGAGACCAAAATGGAGCTCTTTGGCATCAACTCAACTCGCCGTGTTTGGAGGAGGAGGAATGCTGCCTATGACCCCAAGAACACCATCCCCACCGTCAAACATGGAGGTGGAAACATGCTTTGGGGGTGTTTTTTCTGCTAAGGGGACAGGACAAGTTCTCCGCATCAAAGGGACGATGGACGGGGCCATGTACCGTCAAATCTTGGGTGAGAACCTCCTTTCCTCAGCCAGGGCATTGAAAAAATGGGTCGTGGATGGGTATTCCAGCATGACAATGACCCAAGGCACACGGCCAAGGCAACAAAGGAGTGGCTCAAGAAGAAGCACATTAAGGTCCTGGAGCGGCCTAGCCAGTCTCCAGACCTTAATCCCATAGAAAATCTGTGGAGGGAGCTGAAGGTTCGAGTTGCCAAACGTCAGCCTCGAAACCTTAATGACTTGGAGAAGATCTGCAGAGAGGAGTGGGACAAATCTCTGCTGAGATGTGTGCAAACCTGGTGACCAACTACAAAAAAAACGTCTGACCTCTGTGATTGCCAACAAGGGTTTTGCCATCAAGTACTAAGTCATGTTTTGCAGAGGGGTCAAATACTTATTTCCCTCATTAAAATGCAAATCAATTCATAACATTTTTGACATGCCTTTTTCTGGATTTTGTTGTTATTCTGTCTCTCTCTCACTGTTCAAATACACCTACCATAAAAATTATAGACTGATCATTTTTTTTGTCAGTGGGCAAACGTGCAAAATCAGCAGGGGATCAAATACTTTTTTCCCTCGCTGTATATTATTTTCAGAGCATGTTTACCACAAGTAGGTGTGGTTAATGCAGACAAGATGCCTGGCAAAAGGTTTCTATTTGGTGTTTGAACATCTTAACACATCCTGTTTTATTGCAAGAAGGGGTAAAACATATTCTTATTTTTTTAATTCTTTCGCACTATCGTACGTAGCCAAGCGTGCTAATCGGAGCTGTGGGGGAAGGACAACAAACTAAACACAAAAAATCAGTTCTAAAGAAATACATTTTCAAGCTAGATGATTTACAAGTGTATAGCAGCAGTGGTTTTCTAATATCAGGAGCAAGAGCGCTCCAGACGGCAGCAGAAGCGCACCTGAAAACGCGCGATGCGGCGGCCACCTTTGTTCGATAGCTCTAAGCCGCTTCGTTGAGCTGTCATTTTCAATTGCCAGGCAGCTCAGTTGGGGGCCTTACCCGGTAAAATAAAAATAGTTTAGTGAAACAGGGAAAGCATGCACGCGGAATGCAATGAGACCTGGAAAACCGAACTCGCGACCACAGCGCTCAGGCGTCCCCCACCGCTGTCGCCCTCTCCTCCCTCCCCTGCCCACAGCGATGCCCGACGCATCGTCCTTCCTGTACGACAAGACGTCGGGCTACTACTACGACCCACAGTCCGGCCTCTACTACGACCCAAAGTCACAGGTGAGCGCCATGACGGCATTCACATTTACCACCCCCCCTCTACTTAACACCGAAACAAGGAGGAGGATTTCTCCACAATTCTGGCTGTCGCCTGATGATGATGATAAGCCACTTCCGTTGAGCTGTCGTTTGTGATACTCGGTGGGGCTCGTTTCGTCATGGCGTCACAAGTGGCACTGATCGGGTACCGGGGTGTAACTGGGGAGGTACGTACGTACGTTGAACTTCTTTCGCACCGTGCTTAGCCAACCGTGCTCATCGGAGGTGCAGTTTTAAACCGAGCAACAATGCTTGCCCGGTATTTAAGACCGAAACAGGAGGACTTCTTCAATTCTGGCTATCGCCTCCTGATGAGACTGGTTGTTTTAATCAACAGCGAAATGCATGGTACTAAAATTGTTCATGTTGTGGTGTTTGCTCTCCAGTACACCAGTTAGTGCTGAACTAGTAACTTATTGGCACGTTTTGTTTACGTGACAAATCTTACTAATTGACTGTTTGGGAGGTGCTGGGTTTTAATGACGCATTTATATTGATGCGATCTAACCCAAAAAACCTTTGTTATGGATAATATTTGTCACGAAAGACTATGTGTTAGAAAAAAAAGAAGAGCCCCCTGTGTCGGTCATCGTTTCAGGTAAATCGTCACCGGCGTTGGCCGTGAGTGGGAATCGAACTCGGGTCGCCCGGTTCGTAGCGCAGTACGCTACACTACCACTCCCCAATATACACACTACACACAAAGACAAAGATCACTGGTATATCCTTTAACAGACTGTTGGGGCAAGTGCCTTTGAAGGCCAGCACAGCACATGAAGGGGTGAGTGGGCAACATTGTGCCCGGCCGCCTTTATATCCCCGATCCTGATGTTTGCGCACTGCACCAGGTGCTGATTTATGGCTCAGCCACCCACCTAGGAGAGGCCGTAGGCGGGATCATGATATTCTACACTGTTATTGGTCGTGAGCGGAAAGCCAACTTGGGTCGCCTGGTTCTCATTAAAACCATGGCAGCACTTGCCCCTACAGTCTGTCAAGGCTATAGGGGGGATCTTTGTCTCGTGTGTTAACGTGCCGTTGCCCGTCAAAAGGAATTTGTGATCTTAAACTAAGCTTGAAAACTTTTTCATTTTACCAGGTAAGGCCCACTTTTTCAGAAGCGACCTGACCATCACAAATGATAGCTCAACGAGAAGTGGCTTATCATCGCATGGACATTTATAGCAACCGAATAATCACCTTGCCGTGCATCATGACCATCGCGTGAGCCGTGCGGGCTGGGTCACTCGTCTTGATTTCCATGTTGGGCAGTGTTTGTGAAGATCCATTGTCAGCAGTTGGTGTTTTCCCCCAGTGACCATGCTGATACAATTATGTGATTACATTTTTAATTTAGTGTCTTATTAACAGGCGCGCTGCGTTTGTCCGCTGTTTAACAAAAAATCGACACGGAATATTTGTGATCACGTGTCTCTCGCGACGAAACTCTGGTGCGGATGTCCGTTTCAGATTCTGGAGTACGGTCGCGAGCGATATTTGGCCACAAATGATAGCTCACCGAAGTAGCTTATTATCACGTGGAAGTTTATGGCAGCCAAACACTCCGAACGCTTGATGTTGATTCTAAATGTGGAGAGAAAAACCGGAGGATCTGGATAAAAATCCACGCAACCACCGCAGGAACATACAAACTCCAAATATACAACAGGCGTAAGGGTCGGGGCCGAACCAATGACTGCATTTTATAACCAGGCGAGATAGTTAACATCCCGCCATCGCGGACAATCGAAGAACCAAACGCATCGGATGAAACTGCGCACTTTCTCTTGAAACACTTACCCCCTCCACCCTCCCTCTCCCTTCATCTCCTCCGCAGTACTTCTACAATGCCGAGAAGCAGCAGTACATGTACTGGGACCCCGAGACCAAGCAGTACCTCCCAGCACCGACCGCGGACGACAGCAATCCCCCCGGGGGGTCACAGGAGGCCGACGGTGGTGACGGTGGTGGTGACGGTGGTGGCGGTGGTGGTGGCGGTGCCGGCGGTGGTGAGGAGTCAACGGCGGTGAGTCAGTCGTCCGACGAGAGCAAGATGATGCCACCGCCGCCACCGCCCGCACCGACGCCGTCCACGGGCAGAGACGCCGGTGGAGAGAGGGAGAGGAAGATGATGAAGCCTAAGACGAGGCTTGCTCAGCAGGTGAGCAGGAAGGTGAGAGAGAGGGGTGAGCTTGAAGGTGAGCGGGAAGGTGAGAGAGAGGGAAGAGTGACCTGGAAGGTGAGATAGAGAGGGAAGGGTGAGCGGAAGGTGAGAGGGAAAAGGGTAAATGGAAAGGTGAGAGAGAGGGGGATGGTGAGGGTGATATCGAGGGCATGGGGTACGGGGTTCTCATGACAAAGAGTCCTGAACTTGGTCAGGCTCTCCTGGGTAAATAAATATATATACACCATTTGACTTGTTTTGATTTGCCATTTTCTCTGAAATAACTATTCTATCCTGCGGGTTCCCTTGCCCGTTCGCCCACCCACCGCCTCACCTACCTGCTTCCCCACCTGCCTGCTCACTCGCTCGTTCACCCACCTACCCACCCACCCTGCCCACCCACTCGCCCGCTCACTCACCCGCTCACTCACCCGCTCGCTCACTCGCCTGCTTCTCCACCCACCCGCTCACTCGCCCGCTTCTCCACCCACCCGCTCACTCGCCCGGTCGCTCACCCACCCACTCGCCCACTTCCTCGCCTGCCCGCTCACTCGCCCGGTCGCTCACCCACCCGCTCACCCACTCCTCCACCTGCCCACTCCCCCCCTGCCCGCTCCCCCACCCATCCGCTACCCACCCACCTTTCCCGCCGATTCAGATCGCCAAGGACATGGAGCGCTGGGCGAAGACGCTCAACCGCAACAAGCAGCAGCCGCCCAGGGACCTGCCGCTGCCGTGCCACCCTCCCCCTCCCGCCGGTCCCGGCCATTCCTCGCCCCCGAGCCAGCCGCTGGGAGGACGCGGTGTTGGCGGCGGCGGTGGCGGCGGTGACGTCGCCCGCAAGAGGGAGGCGGCCGCTGCAGACGCCGGCTTCTCGCTCCTCGAGAAACTGGTGAGCAGACGTGGCGCGGCGCCATCGGCCTGGTGCCAGTCGGCGGTTGCACACGCGCGCTGTGCTATGGACCCGGCAGAGATGTTAACTGCCTCGCCTGTCTGTCCGCGTGTCTGTCTCTTTGTCCGCGTGCCTGTCTGCGTATCTTGTTCGCGTGTCTATCCGTGTGTCCACATGTCTGTCTGCGCGTCCATCCGGGCGTCCGCACATCTGTCCCTTTGCTCGTCCGTCCGCGTGTGTCCGTCTGTGTGTCCGTCCACGTGTCCGCACGTTTGTCACTTTGTCCGCACGTCGTCCGTCCGCACGTCGTCCCGTCCACGGACACAGAACATGCAGAAGCCCAGGACGCCGTTGGGGCAGGAGCGCGCGGAGCGCTCGCTGGAGCTGAAGAGGAGCGACTCCAGGAGGCCGGAGAAGGTGACCACACCTTGGGGAGTGGGGGGCGGCCGGACAGATAGCAGAGCACCACACAGAGCTGTTGAGCGGCCGTAACCTCTGTTATCTGTCATCAATGGGGAATGGAGGGTGCCGGTCAATCAAATATGTCAGTTATTTGAGAGTTATACTTATGGTTCACCAAATTTTCTAAGTGCATAAAACTTTTCAAGAAATAAATTGAAGGCTACATTTTTATTATATGAGACATAATACACTGTTTTTACAGAGGTACTCACCAGTCAGTTTTAGAGCATTCCAAGTTGATTGTAGAGAAGCAGTTTGGCTGTTTACCACACGGCGAGATGTGAACTACCTCACCCGGTATACAAGAGGTCGTGGGTTCGATCCCAACCCTGACGCCTGCTGTATATTTGGTGTTTGCGTGTTTTCCCTGTGGTCTCGTGGAGTTTTCTCCGGGTCCTCCGTTTTTTCCCTTCCATATTTCGAATCAACGTCACGCGTTCGAGTATTTGGCTGCTATAAATTTCCACGTGATGATGAGCCACTTGGTTGACCTATTCATTGTAATAGCCAGGTCGCTTCTGAAAATGAGCCTTGCCTGGTAAAATAAAAATAGTTAAATAGTTTAGAGTATTGTATGTACAGACTGCCGCTAGCGCCACCACTCGTCAGCGTCCTGAAGCTCCCGTGAACAATAACAGATCTTCGATACGCCCACGGCAAGATGACGGATGGTTGTTGGAGTTTTTCCAGCTATGTGAAGGAAGAGAGAGTGTAATATTGCTGTCTTTAGCAGATGCCGCATATGAGAACATTCCAGATGGTGAAGTGCTGGATAACGCCACTTTTACTGTGTTTTAAAACAATCAATAAAATGTTTTGACCAGATAAGTCTCACTGAGCTATGTAGCTGTTTTTCAGACGTGACCTAGCCACAATTGATCGCTCAACGAAGTGGTTTTTCACTTGAAAATGTATAGCATCCAAATACTCTTAAACGCATATTTCTCGATGTAGAGGGGAAAACCGGAGGACCCGGAGAAAATTGAATGCGACCATGGGGAGAGAGATGCACAAACTCTAAATATGCAGCAGGCGTCAGTGGTCGGGATTGAACCCACGCCTTCCTGTATACCAGGCGAGGTACTTAACATCTCGCTACCGGGGCGTTCCATTATTATTCCTTCTTACCAACCTTCCCCTCTTCCCTTTCACCTCCGATAATGTGCCGCACAGCGGAAGGCCAGTCCCCCTGCTCCCGTGGGTCTCGTGTCGTATGGCGGGGACAGCGACAGCGAGGAGGAGCCCACGCCGGCCACAGTCACCGCCGTCGTGGCTGCGCAGACGACGCGCAGGGACGAGAAGCTCACCGATTGGCAGAAGCTGGCGTGCCTGCTGTGCCGGCGCCAGTTCCCCACCAAGGAGGCGCTCATCCGTCACCAGCAGCTGTCCGACCTGCATAAGGTGTGCATACGCACGCGTGACTGCGTGTGTCTCCCATGTCTCCGTCTGTGCATGTGCGTAGATGCGTGCGTGTGTGCGTCTGTGAAGCCGTGGCCTAGCACTACGAACCTGGCGACCCGAGTTCGATTCCCGCTCACGGCCAACACCGGTGACGATTTTCTGAACCCGTTTTGGGCCTCCCCTAGGTCGATTCAGCCTCAAATCAGTACCTGGTGCGGTGTGTAAAAATCGCCACTAGGGAGGCAAAGGCGGCAGGGCGTGGTGCTAGCCACACACCCCCTCGTGTGCCGTGCCGGCCTTCATCGGTGCTTGCTAAAAGCACTTGCCCCAACAGTGTTTAGGCTCTGCAGGGGGTCTTTGTCTTTATGTGTCTGTGTGTGTCCGTGTGTGTCCGTGTGTGTGTGGGGGAGTGATTGTGTAGAGGTTAGTACGCTGCACTACCAACCAGGCGGCCCGAGTTCGATTCCCGCTCATGGCCAACACCGGTGATGAATATCTGAACCGCTCCTGGGCCTCCCCTATGTCGACTCAGCCTTTACAAATGAGTACCTGGTGCGGTGTGCAAACATCGGTACCGGGGAGTCAAAAGGCGGCCGGGCAGGCTGCTGGCCACACCACCCCCTCGGGTGCCATTCTGGCTTTGATAGCTGCTAGGCTCACAGCGCTTGCTCCGGAAATCTCTTGGAGGGCTATTTACTGGGGCTTTGTCATTGTGTGCATTGGTCTGTCTGTGACTCTGGTCGTCCCCTAGAGGCCGCTAAAGCCGAGGTTTTTCTTTCTGTTTAGTTTGTCGTCGTCCCCCGCACCTCCGATTAGCACGGTTGGCTACGTACTGTGCTCAAAGAACATACGATGCAAAGAAAAAGATCCCCCGTGTAGCCTTAACAGACTTTTGGGGCAAGTCCTGTTAGCGAGCAGCACCTATGAAGGCCGGCACGGCACACGAGGGGGTGGGTTACCAGTACCACGCCCGGCCCAGGCGGCATCCGCGCGACCGGTGTCTAGCGACGGAACCCACGCGGTGGCGTGGACGGTCGCGCGTGCTCCATCGTGACCGCAGTCGCTGACCTCCCCCCACCCGTGTTGTTTCAGCAAAACTTGGAGATCCACAGGAGAGCCAAGCTGTCCACCAAGGAGCTGGAGGAGCTGGAGAGGAGGGAGAGGGAGGCAAGTGTCCCCCGCCGCCACGTGACTGCGGGGACGCACGCGTGCCGCCTTGGCACACACGCGTTCAAATGACGTGGCGCGTTACGACTATGCGCGTATTACAGTGACGCGCACACGCGTGTTGAGATGATGTGCGCGTGTTACGGTGATGTACGCTTGTTACGGTGGCAGTACCGTCACGGTAACGGTGTGAGTATGGGTCCAAGTGGCGAGCATGGTGAGCGTGGCGATGCCGATGAGCGTGAGTGTGGTGAGCGTATCGATTGTGGTGAGCATTGCGATGCTGGTGAGTGTATCCATAGTGAGCATGGCGATACTGGTGAGTGTGGCTGTGCTGGTGAGTGTATCAATGGTGGGTGAGCGTGGCGATGGTGGTGAGTGTGGCGATGCTGGATAACGTGGCGATGGTGGTGAGCGTTGCGATGCTGGTTAACGTGGCGATGGTGGTGAGCATGGCGATGCTGGTGAGTGTCTCATTGGCGGGTGAGTGTGGCGATGGTGGTGAGCGTGGCGATGGTGGTGAGCGTGGCGATGGTGGTGAGCATGGCGATGCTGGTGAGAGTGGCGATCTGGTGAGTGTGGCGATGGTGGTGAGTGTGGTTGTGCTGGTGAGCGTGGCGATGCTGGTGAGTGTGGCGATGGTGGTGAGCTTGGCGATGGTGGTGAGCATGGCGATGCTGGTGAGCGTGGCGATGGTGGTAAGCGTGGCGATGGTGAGTGTGGCTCTGCTGGTGAGCATGGCGATGGTGGTGTGCGTGGCGATGCTGGTGAGCGTGGCGATGCTGGTGAGAGTGGCGATGCTGGTGAGCGTGGCGGTGCTGGTGAGCGTGGCGATGCTAGGGAGTGTGGCGATGGTGGTGAGCGTGGCGATGGTGGTGAGTGTGGCGATGGTGGTAAGCGTGGCGATGGTGGTGAGTGTGGCGGTGCTGGTGAGTGTGGCTGTGCTGGTGAGCATGGCGATGGTGGTGAGTGTGGCGATGGTGGTGAGCGTGGCGATGGTGGTGAGTGTGGCGATGGTGGTGAGTGTGGCTGTGCTGGTGAGTGTGGCGATGGTGGTGAGCGTGGCGATGCTGGTGAGTGTGGCGATGGTGGTGAGTGTGGCTGTGCTGGTGAGTGTGGCGATGGTGGTGAGCGTGGCGATGGTGGTGAGTGTGGTGATGCTGGTGAGAGGCAATGGCGGTGTGAGTGCGGCGAGCGTATCAACGGCGGCAAGCGTGGTAAGAGTGGTGAGGTCTCCGGGGTTGTCGCGCTCACCCCACCCGCGTGCCATTGCAGATCACCGTGGAGATGCTGAAGCAGCGGGGAGGGACGATGTCGAGGGAGATGGAGGACAAGGAGGCAAGTGTCCAACGTCACTGTCGTCCTCCGCACGACCCCACACACAGTTGCCTCTCGCTTAGCGACATTCGCCGTTCACCCCGGGCTGCCCGACCTCCTCTCTTCCGTAGAGGCCGAGCGTCGTTTCCCGGCCTTCGTGAACGGCGCCACTCGCTCACTGCGATGTTTACACACTGCGCCAATCGCACCTCCGATTAGGCACGGTTGGCTTGTGTGCGATGCGTAAGAAGTTCAACATGCAAGCGTACAAAACTGCAATTTCACATTCAGGTGGTCAAGCCAGGTAGCCGCGTCAGGAGTAGCGGTGTAGCGTATCGTCGCGATGTCTCCCTCCGTATTTGTGGATCGGGCCATTGCGACGTTCCACTTTGTACTACGATGTCCGTTATGGATGACCACAGTCGCACCACTACTACTGAAGAATTTCAAATTTTCCATTTGTGCATCATCATCAGGTATCCACATCTGCTGCCATGGTTTGTGCAGTGGGTACGGCTTAGGGGTGGACCATGAGCAGCTTCGTGGAAGATCAAACCCAGGGACCTTCTGCTTTTTGGATCTTTCGCAAGGTGTTTGTGGGTTCTTTTGAACCCCATTCCATTCTGCCCACGACGGCATATCAGTGACATCTGAATGCTGAAACTGAAACTAATATTCGGATCGTTCCTATCTCAGTCTGATGCTTCAGATTAATTTGGCTACGTTTACAACACCGCACCAGGTACCTATTTGAGTCGACCGTGGGCAGGCCCAGTACCGGTTCAAGATAATCGCCACTGGGGTTGGTGGCCGTGAGCGGCAATCGAACTCGGGTCACTGGGTTCGTACGGCGCGCCAACATCTACCGTTACCGCTCCCCGCACCCATGGAGACAGAGAGATCTCCCGTGTAGCCTTAACAGACTTGGGGCAAGTGCTGTTAGCGGGTAGCACCTGCGGAGGCCGACAGCGCACGAGGCCACGGTCACTCACTCGCAGGGGGGGACGGCGACGGCAAACACAAACGCCACACGGGAAAGTGCCTGGATCCAGATCCCGTCAGGCGTTGACACCGTCCCACCATGCCCACCCGCCCCGCGTGATCCGTGCGCACGTAAGTGAGCGTCCCCTCGCTGTGCGTGTGTGTGTGCGTGCCTGTGTGCGTGCCTGTGTGCGTGCCTGTGTGCGTGCCTGTGTGTGAGTGCGTGTCCGTGCGTACGTGTGTTTGTGTCCGTGCGTGTCCTTGCGTGTGTGATTCGCCCGCAGTCCAAGTATAGGGACCGTGCGGCCGAGCGGAGGGTGAAATTCAAGGCCCCCACACCCCCGGAGCCCAAGAGGAAATACTTGCAGGCACCGACCATGTGAGCCCCTCCTGCCTCTTGTGTTTATTCTACAGCAAAAGCTTTCTTATCCGGCATCCGTGTGGAATGGAGGGTGCCGTTTAATCAAATATGCCGGTTTTCTGAGAGTTATAAAACTATAAACTACAACACTATTTCATTAAAACTGTAAACTATTTTTATTTTGCCAATTAAGGCCTTCTGAGCTATACAGCTCTTTTCCCGAAGCGACCTGGCTATCACAAATTATAGCTCAACGAAGTGGGTCATCACACGGACATTTATAGCAGCCAAATACTATAAATGCGTGACGTTGATTCTAAATGTGGAGGGGAAAATAACCGGAGGACCTGGAGAAAATGCCACGCCACCACCACGGGGAGACAGGGAACGACACGCAAACTCGAAATATAAAACAGGCGCCAGGGTTGGGATTGAACCCACGACCTCCTGCATATGAGGCGAGGAAGTTAACATCTCCTAGCCACCGTGGTGCTCCATGCAAGCGTACACTGGCATGTCCACGCAAGTGTTTGATGGGCCTCGGTGTGAATGATGAAGCAGCCACTACCTTCACATTCCAGTCGCTCAATCCACCCGAGAATGAAAAACCCTCGACGGATTTTGTAACCTCAAATTATTGTTTATATTCGCATTTATGATTACGCTTGTTTACCCCATGAGAGCCTCGCCGAGTCTCAACTCTTCCTCAGGAGGGAGGAGGGAGTTAACATCTCGCTACTCTTCAAAATAATGTACACCTCCGACGATCATCTTCGTCAATTTATTTTCTCTTCTTGGGCAGAGACTACGAGCAGCCGACAAAGCACGGTATCGGAAGCAGCAACATCGGCTCCAAGATGCTGCAGGCCATGGGCTGGCGGGAGGGCATGGGCCTGGGCCAGAAGAGACAGGGCCGCACGACCCCCGTGGAGGTGAGGCCTACCCCCCACCCCCCGCCGCCGACCCCCCCACACTTCCGCTACACACAGGCTGCCCGGTGCGTGGTACCTCCGCGTCGTAACACCGGACGCACGACGCTGAACGTGGCAAGCTGGGAAGGGGGGGAAGGTGTGGGGCTAGAAATGGAATTGGGGTAGGCAGAGGCCTACTGACGGTGGGTAGGTGGTGGGTTAGGGCTAGTGAGTGGTGGGTTAGGGCGAGTGAGTGGTGGGCTAGGGCTGGTGAGTGGTGGGTTAGGGCTAGTGAGTGGTGGGTTAGGGCTAGTGGGTGGTGGGCTAGGGCTAGTGGGTGGTGGGTTAGGGCTAGTGGGTGGTGGGTTAGGGCTAGTGGGTGGTGGGTTAGGGCTAGTGGGTGGTTGGTTAGGGCTAGTGAGTGCTGGGCTAGGGCTAGTGAGTGGTGGGTTAGGGCTAGTGAGTGGTGGGTTAGGGCTAGTGAGTGGTGGGTTAGGGCTAGTGGGTGGTGGGTTAGGGCGAGTGGGTGGTGGGTTAGGGTTAGTTGGTGGTGGGTTAGGGCTAGTGGGTGGTGGGCTAGGGCTAGTGGGTGGTGGGTTAGGGCTAGTGGGTGGTTGGTTAGGGCTAGTGAGTGGTGGGCTAGGGCTAGTGAGTGGTGGGTTAGGGTTAGTGAGTGGTGGGCTAGGGCTAGTGAGTGGTGGGTTAGTAGGGTTAGTTGGTGGTGGGTTAGGGCGAGTGAGTGGTGGGTTAGGGTTAGTTGGTGGTGGGTTAGGGCTAGTCAGTGGTGGGTTAGGGCTAGTGGGTGGTGGGTTAGGGCGAGTGAGTGGTGGGTTAGGGTTAGTTGGTGGTGGGTTAGGGCTAGTGAGTGGTGGGTTAGGGTTAGTGGGTGGTGGGTTAGGGCTAGTGGGTGGTGGGTTAGGGTTAGTGGGTGGTGGGTTAGGGTTAGTGGGTGGTGGGTTAGGGCTAGTGGGTGGTGGGTTAGGGTTAGTGGGTGGTGGGTTAGGGCTAGTGGGTGGTGGGTTAGAGTTAGTGGGTGGTGGGTTAGTGAGTGGTGGGTTAGGGCTAGTGGGTGGTGGGTTATGGTTAGTGGGTAGTGGGTAAGGGCTAGTGGGTGGTGGGTTAGGGCTAGTGGGTGGTGGACTAGTGGGTGGTGGGTTAGGGCTAGTGAGTGCTGGGTTAGGGTTAGTAGGTGTTGGGTTAGGGCTAGTGAGTGGTGGGTTAGGGCTAGTGGGTGGTGGGTTAGGGCTAGTGGGTGGTGGGTAAAGGCTAGCGGGTGGTGGGTTAGGGCTAGTGGGTGGTGGGTTAGGGCTAGTGGGTGGTGGGTTAGGGCTAGTGGGTGGTGGGTTAGGGCTAGTTGGTGGTGGGTTAGGGCTAGTGAGTGGTGGGTTAGGGCTAGTGGCTGGTGGGTTTGGACTAGTGGCTGGTGGGTTAGGGCTAGTGGGTGGTGGGTTAGGGCTAGTGGGTGGTGGGTTAGGGCTAGTGGGTGGTGGGCTACGGCTAGTGGGTGGTGGGTTAGGGCTAGTGGGTGGTAGGTTAGGGCTAGTGGGTGGTGGGTTAGGGCTAGTGGGTGGTGGGTTAGGGCTAGTGGGTGGTGGGTTAGGGCTAGTGGGTGGTGGGTTAGGGCTAGTGGGTGGTGGGTTAGGGCTAGTGAGTGGTGGGTTAGGGTTAGTGGGTGGTGGGCTAGGGCTAGTGAGTGGTGGGTTAGGGCTAGTGGCTGGTGGGTTTGGACTAGTGGCTGGTGGGTTAGGGCTGTGGAGGCTGGTGGATGTCAGGGCAAGTACTCGTAGCTGGTGTGTTCGGGTGAATGCTAGTGGATGGCTGTTTAGGGTTAGAAGCAGGTCTGGTACCAATCGGCCGGTTGTTTAGTTTCAGGGTTAGGGATAATTCCATAACCTTGGGTTCAAACGGCGGGCCTGCGATGAGAACGTGAGACCCGTCGCGACATTGTTGTGAACGTGAGGCCGTGAGAGCGCACGTTCATGCGTACCCTGCGAGCATGGCGTTGTGCTGAAACGCGAGCGAGCATTCCATTGGGGGCTCGTGTCGTTTCGTACGCGCCTGTTGTCGATTGCCGTTAGTCTCGTGTTTACGAGATTTTGTTTGGCCAAGGTCTCCGCTTGAAAAATGAGACGGCGTGTCTTGTGCGAGAGGGGCCTGTCGGCCGACTATCGTTACCACGGGTCACGTCCCGCCCCTCTGCCATGGAATACGTCGCTGTGGCCGGTGTCACCAAAGTGCATCGGACTGTAACTCTTTTTTACAGAGTATTTGGCCGCTATAAATTTCCCGCACCTCTGGTTAGCACGGCTTGGCTACGTATGGTGCGAAAGAAGTTCAACATACATATATTTGGAGTCTTCGTCTCTCTCTCTCCCTGTGATCGCGTGGATTTTTTTCTGGGTCCTCCGTTTTTTTTCACGTCCACCTTTCGAATCAACTTCGAGCATTGAGCATTTGGCTGCTATAAATGTCCACGTGATGATGATAAGCCACTACATAGAGCTCCAGTGGCGTCCTAATATCGGAAGAAAGAGCTTTGCAGATGGCTGCCGTTGCGCATCTGAAAGCACGCCGTGCAATACGGTGACCACCGTCTTCGGTGAACAAAACGTGGCCAATTAGTTACCACTCCAGCACTAACCGGTTGTGTGTTGGAGAGTAAAACCCACGACATTTAAACATGTGAGTTAACGTTGCTCTGGCGGTTACATCGACTGGTATTCATCGGGCGATTTGCCAGAATTTTTCCTGGGTTGTGTATTTACCCGTGGCGAGCGCACGCTGCCCCGCCAACCCGGCCACCTCGGTTCAACTCCCAGCCACGGCTAAACATCAGTGGCTGGTGATATCCGAAAAGGTTCTCGTGCACGTGGGGAGCGGTGGCGTTACGAACCCGGCGACCCGAGTTCAATTCACGCTCACGGCCACCACCTACACCGGTTTCGGTTGTCTGAACTGGTCCTGGGCCTCCACTAGGTCGACTCAGCCTCAAATGAATATTTGGTGCGATGTGCAAACATCACCACTGGGGAGATAAAGGCGGCTGGGCGTGGCGTTGGCCACCCACCTCCTCGACCGCCACGCCGGCCTTCATAGGTGCTACTCCCTAACAGCACTTGCTCCAACAGTCTGACGGGGGCCAGACGGGGGATCTTTGTCTTTATATTCTTTGGTTCTTTCGGTAAAGTCATGTAGATAGAAAAATAAAGTGAATAAAAAAACCACGACGTTTCGATCGCAACACAAGCGGAAAAAGGGGGGTTAGCCTCTAAAGGCAAACTGTTTATAAAGGTTTAAAATGAGCGTAGCCCAAGTGTCAGCAGCATGGGCGGGGCAGCTGATATTAATGTGAGTGATGGTAGTCTTGGGCAACGATGGCGCTGGTGGTGGGTTTCCACCAATCAAAGGGCTGCCAGGTAATCATTGCACCTCGCTTTACACACACTGGTGACGGTGGAGGTTGCTGCTAGAGGTGATGGTAGTAGTGGGTAATGATGGTACTGGTGGTGGGCTTCCACTAATAAAGGACTACTGCTAGAGGTGATGGTAGTAGTGGGTAATGATGGTACTGGTGGTGGGCTTCTACCAATCAAGGGCTACTGCTAGAGGTGATGGTAGTAGTGGGTAATGATGGTCCTGGTGGTGGGCTTCCACACATCAAGGGCTACTGCTAGTGGTGATTGTGTGGGCAGTGATGGTCCTGGTAGTGGGCTTCCACTAATAAAGGACTACTGCTAGTGGTGATGGTAGTAGTGGGTAATGATGGTACTGGTGGTGGGCTTCCACCAATCAAGGGCTACTGCTAGTGGTGATGGTAGTAGTGGGTAATGATGGTACTGGTGGTGGGCTTCCACCAATCAAGGGCTACTGCTAGTGGTGATTGTGTGGGCAGTGATGGTCCTGGTAGTGGGCTTCCACCAATAAAGGGGTACTGCTAGTGATGATGGTAGTAGTGGGCAGTGATGGTACTGGTGGTAGGCTTCCACCAATAAAGGGGTACTGCTAGTGATGATGGTAGTAGTGGGCAGTGATGGTACTGGTGGTAGGCTTCCACCAATTAAAGGGCTGCCAGGTCTAGAATGGAAACATTACAGCCAGTTATGACTTAAACTGGTTGATAAAGTCCTTCCAGTGATTGCTGAGGTTTGTACCCATCTTCTCGGTTGAAATTGTGTCTGTCTCTATATATGGATAGCTTCATGAGCGAATCTTTGTTGATAGCCAGTAGGCTTGTGAAGTAGCATTGTCTTAGAGAAATCAATTTTTCGTGAGGCAGCCGCATTTAAGGAATGATCAGCCACGGCGGAAGTATTGGTCCTGCCGTGTTTCAAATCTCCTTATGCTCACGAACACGGTCCCAAGACATGTCGCTTAGTTTCCCCAATGTAACTGCTGCCGCAGATACAGTTTAGTTTGTAGACCCCGGGATATTGCATGTCAGGAATCTTGTCCTTCACAGATGGGATCAGATCACGAATTGTATCTACTGTGTTCAAACGGACCTGGATCTTGTATTTGTTCATGATTTTGGAAATCTTTTTGGTTACCCCTGCTATGTGATGGTTTTGATTGGATTCTCAGATGGCTCCTTCTTCACGGTTGGGGTGATGGCTTTGCGGATTGTGTAGTCAGAGTATACATTCACCTTGAGAGCTTGGTGTACGTGTTTGAGTTCACTGGTCAGGTGTTCATGGTCGGTGATACATTGAGCTCTATGGTGTAGCGTTTTGATGAGGGAATTCTGGGATGGATGGTGGTGGGAGTGTCAGTATGGGTTACTTTCCTGTAGACAAAATGGCTCATTGAGCCATGCTATCCTTTACCTCCATGGTGAATTTGACTGGGTGTATGGAATTGATGTGGTTGAGGAATTGTTTTATTATTATTATTTATTCACTTGACTTTTATTATAATTTTTCTATCTATGTGACTTTACCGAAAGAACCAAAGAATAGGAATTCCTGCAGTCACTAAAGTTTAAAGTCAAGATCTTTGTCTTTGTTGCGTGCTCCAAGCGGCGTCTTGACAGAGCGGTCGGTCGGAACCGGAGCTGACGTCCCCCCTCGCTTCCTTCCTCCCCCGCTTGTCCGCTCAGGTGACTCAGCGACCCCAGGGCTCGGGCCTGGGCGTCCGCGGCAGCAACTACGGCATGTCATCCGAGTCGTACAAGGCCCACGTGCTCAAGACCACGGCCGCCCGCTTCAAGGAGCTTGACTAGCGAGCCCCCCTTCCCCGCTGGCGCCGTCTCCGTCGCTGGCGTAGTGAACCGGCACGCGAGGCTTGGCGTGACCCGCCATGGCTTGGCGTGACCCGCCATGACTTGGCGTGACCCGCCATGACTTGGCGTGACCGTGGTCCGCGCGTGATCCTGCGACCCCGCGACCCCACGACCTCACGACCCCGCGCTTTGGAGGATAACGAGGGGTCCGGCGCGCCACGTTAAGAGATTCGCAAAACTCTCTGAACCGCTCGCCCTCCGGCCCCCCACATCCACCGCCCCCCAACCCACCTCCGCCCACCTCTCCCGTCAGGGCTACCTGCTGGCTGTCTAGGAGGCCAGCCGAAGTGCCCCTATCCCATCGTGAAGTTTACGCCGTTCGTTCGTCGTCGCGATGGTCCGATGGTGGCCGCGTTTGCCGTCCAGCCGCTGGAAGCAGAGCTCTGCAGCTGGGGCCGCCGCGTGACCGCGTGCGCGTGAGGGCGGGGTTGTTGTATACACGCGCGTGTGTGCATGCGTGTGAGAGCGGGGTTGCTGTGTAGTGTGTTCCGTGCGAGTGTGCACGCGGCTATTCCGCAGACCTTGATCATGTAATTAACCTTCGTAAAAGCTTGACGTCATTGCTTCGGCACGGGCTGGCGATTAATTCATCACCGCGATGCGGGCATTCGGGGACCGTACCCGAGTAAATTTTTTTTTTAAAGCGAACCTGGTTGTCGAACACAGTTTTATTATCGGTTCATTAAAAACAATTATGGATGCAATTGAAACGGTCCGATCTGGGTGCGATTTTGACGGACGTCCAACCGATTTTGTCGTGTGCAGCGATACTGCTGGGACCGCAGTGCCATTGGTCCGAGTGGCGCTTTGTCCGTACACTCGGTTGCACACGCACGCACACACAAAGACAAAGATCCCCCGTATAACCTTAACAGACTGTTGGGGCAAGTGCTGTTAACGAGCATCTACGAAGGCCGGCACGGCACACGAGGGGGTTGGTGGCCAACACCACGCTGGCCGCCTTTGTCTCCCTAGTGGCGATGTTTACACACCGCACCAGGTACTCATTTGAGGCTAAGTCGACCTAGGAGAGGCCCAGGACCAGTTCAGATAATCGTCACCGGTGTTGGCCATGAGCGGGAATCAAACTTGGGTCGCCGGGTTTGTAGCTCAGCGCGTTGACCACTTGCGGCACCGCTCTCCACGTTCTCTGCACCACTGCCCCCCCCCCCTCACACAAAGTGCAGTGCGCTAAGCGCAACACGACCGCTCCCCACACGCACGCACACACATGGTGCTATCTACGAACGTGTTGAGTTTTATTTTGTCCTGCGTGGTTCTTCGCCAATGCAGGCGCTGTCCAGGTTCAAAACTTTCTCTTCAAATCAAGTTCACGGCGATGGAGGGGATAGAAATCGCTCCCCCCCCCCCCCACCCCGAAAACAACGGCATCGTGTCGCGAGATGTGAAGGGATTTCGCACAAAAACACAAATCGGTGTTAAATAATGAGTCCCCTTGAGCACTTAGTTGGCCCGGGCAGAGATCATGTTCAGACCGATCGCAGCACAACTACACTATGAAGTTGCGGTAACGTTAAACAGAGATGTGGGTGGGGGGGCGTATTAGTTATTAACTGAGCGTTGGTCATATGGGATAGACCCCTCCCCCTGCCCGCTTGCTCCTGCGGGGCTGTCAAGTGCAGATGGGCACCGATGCCTCATTGCTCATTCGAGCAGCAGCAGCAGCAAATCACTTGACTTTTTATTTCACCTGAACTATTTCATTTGGCAGGCAAAGCCCACTGCGACCTGGCCATCACAAATGATAGCTCAACCAGGAGTGTGGCTTATCATCGCGTGGACATTTGTCAGCAGCCGAATAATCGCCTTGCCGTGCATCACGACCATCGCGTGAGGCGTGCGGGCAGGGTCACTCGTCTTGATTTCCATGTTGGGCAGTGTTTGTGAAGATCCATTGTCAGCAGTTGGTGTTTTCCCCCAGTGACCATGCTGATACAATTATGTGATTACATTTTTCATTTCGTGTCTTATTAACAGGCGCGCTGCGTTTGAAGGCTGTTTAAAAAAAAAATCGACACGGAATATTTGTGATCACGTGTCTCTCGCGACTAAACTCTGGTGCGGGTCTCCATTACGGATTCTGGATTACGGTAGCCAGCTATGCCTTTGGCAACGTTATGTTGTGGATCCTCGTTCGACAAAACTGGTGCGGATTTCGGGATGGATTCTGGATTATGGTAGCGAGCGATGCCATCGCCAATGTGAAGATGTGAATGCTTGTTTTTGACGCAAAACGATATCAATAAATTTTACACGAAACAACATCCTGGCGGCAGAGTGGGAGCGCGGTGGTGACATCACTGTGCCGAAGCAAGAAGGGCCTGGGTTCTGTTTCCTACTCGGGCGCCGTTTTGTTTGGAGTTGTGTCTGGTCTCCTCTTCTGTGTGGGGTTCCTCCGGATTCTCCAGATTTTCTCCCGTAGCCCAAGGAAAACACCCCACACAATCTCACTGATATTGGCCGTAAACATCCCCGATGCTGAAAAGTACCTGCAAATGTCTTAATTGGGAGCAAAGACAAAGACATATCGCCCGTGTGTCTCTGTGGCAGACTTGGTGCTTGCGCGTCGCGAGCACCTATGAAGGCCGGCATGGCACGAGGGGGTTGGTGGCCAACACCACGCTGGCCGCCTTTGTCTCCCTAGTGGCGATGTTTACACACCGCACCAGGTACTCATTTGAGGCTGAGTCGACCGAGGGGAGGCCCAGAACCGGTTCGGTTATTCGTCCACCGACGTTGGCCGTGAGCGGGAATCGAACTCGGGCCGCCGGGTTCGTAGCGCAGCGCGCTTACCTGCGATACTGACGGTCCCCCGTACACTGAGCACGCGCAGCAGCAGCAGCAACATCGCATCCCGGTACTGTGAAAACCTGACAGGACCCTCCTGAGGAAGAGTTGAGACTCGGCTAGGCTCTGATGGGGTAAACAAGCTGTATCGTAAATGCGAATATAAATAATTTGAGGTCACAAAGTCCGTCTATGGTTTTTCCATTCTCGGTTGGATTCATTGAGTGACTGGAATGTGAAGGCAGTGGCTGCTTCATCATTCACACTGAGGCCCATCAAACACTTGCGTGAACATGCAAGTGTACGCTTGCATGGGGCGCCGCGGTGGCTCGGAGATGTTAACTCCCTCGCCTAATACAGGAGGTCATGGGTTTGATCCCGACTCTGACGCCTGCTGTATGTTTGGAGTTTGCGGTGTCTCTCCACGTGACCGAGTGGATGTTCCTCCGGGTTCTCCGGTTTTTCCCTCCACATTTCGAATGAACGTTGCGTTTAGAGAATGTGGCTGTTCTACATTTCCACGTGATGATGATCCACTTCGTCGGGCGATATTTTGCGATGGCCAGGTCGCTTCTGAAAAAGAGCTGTCTAGCCCAGTGGACCTTACCTGGGTAAAATAGCGTGGATATCCACGCATTAGCAATCGACCTCGAGACTCGCACAATCACATCTACGTCCCCCCCATGACCCAAAGAGACTTCGCGCAGTGGCTTGATATCATCAGCACTGCAGCGGGCGGGCGTTAGCAGCCCATGCGACTGTTTGGGAGAGAGCCGGCCTGGTGGATCCCAGCAATCGCATCATCGTGGACCCATGCCGCGTAACCTTCAACGATCAGAGTTCATCCCCCCGACGAAGCTTGGAGAGCTGAATGGGAGTTCAAAAGAAACTCGCAAACACCGCCTTGTGAAAGAGCCAAGGCAGAAGATCCCCTGGGGTTTGATCTTCCACGAAGCTGTTCATGCTCCACCCTAAAGCGCATCATCTGCTGAGCAAACCGTGGTGGTAGATGCGGATTCCCGATGCACAAATGGAACATGGAAAACTCTCCAGTGGCAGTGGTGCGACTGTGGTGGTCCAGAACAGACCGTGCAACGTATCACAACGCACTGCCCGATCTACGTACGAAGGAGACATCACGACGACGTTGGCACATTTCTACTCCGCGACTGCTCCTGACGCGGTTGTCTGGGCCCGACCACCTGCACGTGGCATCGTCGTCGTCGCTCTGCGACAAGAAGCAGCAGCAGCACCGTCATTGTCAACATCGTCGCGTTGCCATCACAACTCGGGTGGACTTTGCGTGGCGGTGTTTCTAACGCGCGTGTGGCGCTGCGCAAGTGAGAACACGCGGTCCGTGTGGGAGTGAGTGTGGCTGTGCGAGTATGAGTGTGTCCGTCTGCTACAGCAGAGGTGTAGGGAATTCCAACAAGACCTACAGTGAGGGAAAAAAGTATTTGATCCCCTGCTGATTTTGAACGTTTGCCCACTGACAAAGAAATGATCAGTCTATAATTTTAATGGTAGGTTTATTTGAGCAGTGAGAGACAGAATAACAACAAAAATCCAGAAAAACGCATGTCAAAAATGTTATGAATTGATTTGCAATTTAATGAGGGAAATAAGTATTTGACCCCTCTGCAAAACATGACTTAGTACTTGGTGGCAAAACCCTTGTTGGCAATCACAGAGGTCAGACGTTTCTTGTAATTGGACACCAGGTTTGCACACATCTCAGGAGGGATTTTGTCCCAATCCTCTTTGCAGATCTCCAAGTCATTAATGTTTCGAGGCTGACGTTTGGCAACTCGAACCTTCAGCTCCCTCCACAGATTTGCTATGGGATTAAGGTCTGGAGACTGGCTAGGTCACTCCAGAACCTTAAAGTGCTTCTTCTTGAGCCACTCCTTTGTTGCCTTGGCCGTGTGTTTTGGGTCATTGCCATGCTGGAATACCCATCCACGACCCATTTTCAATGCCCTGGCTGAGGGAAGGAGGTTCTCACCCAAGATTTGACGGTACATGGCCCCATCCATCGTCCCTTTGATGCGGTGAAGTTGTCCTGTCCCCTTAGCAGAAAAACACCCCCAAAGCATAATGTTTCCACCTCCATGTTTGACGGTGGGGATGGTGTTCTTGGGGTCAAAGGCAGCATTGCTCCTCCAAACACGGCGATTTGAGTTGATACCATAGAGCTCCATTTTGGTCTCAACTTACCACAACACTTTCACCCAGTTGTCCTCTGAATCATTCAGATGTTTATTGGCAAACTTCAGACGGGCATGTATATGTGCTTTCTTGAGCAGGGGGACCTTGCGGGCGCTGCAGGATTTCAGTCCTTCACGGCGTAGTGTTACCAATTGTTTTCTTGGTGACTATGGTCCCAGCTGCCTTGAGATCATTGACAAGATCGTCCCGTGTAGTTCTGGGCTGATTCCTCACCATTCTCATGATCATTGCAACTCCACGAGGTAAGATCTTGCATGGAGCCCCAGGCCGAGGGAGATTGACAGTTATTTTGTGTTTCTTCTATTTGCGAATAATCGCACCAACTGTTGTCACCTTCTCACCAAGCTGCTTGGCAATGGTCTTGTAGCCCATTCCAGCCTTGTGTAGTTCTACAATCTTGTCCCTGACATCCTTGGAGAGCTCTTTGGTCTTGGCCATGGTGGAGAGTTTGGAATCTGATTGATTTATTGCTTCTGTGGACAGGTGTCTATACAGGTAACAAGCTGAGATTAGGAGCACTCCCTTTAAGAGTGTGCTCCTAATCTCAGCTCGTTACCTGTATAAAAGACACCTGGGAGCCAGAAATCTTTCTGATTGAGAGGGGGTCAAATACTAATTTCCCTCATTAAAATGCAAATCAATTTATAACATTTTTGACATGCGTTTTTCTGGATTTTTTTGTTGTTATTCTATCTCTCACTGTTCAAATAAACCTACCATTAAAATTATAGACTGATCATTTCTTTGTCAGTGGGCAAACGTACACAATCAGCAGGTGATCAAATACTTTTTCCCTCACTGTACATCTCTGCTTTATTGACCTGGTCAAGGCCTACGATACGGCTGCCCCTGTCTGACACACCAGGTAGACTCAGCATCTGGTCCTGCGAGCTCCTATGCGTTCCAACATTTTAAGTAACTCAGTTTGAATTTCAAAGTCGTTGTTGTAAACGTGGATCCCACAGCTGGCACGGAGTGGCCTCTACTCCGCTCCTATTGATGTCACTGGACCCTCCCTCAAGTCCGCTCGAGGAGCTACTCCCAAAACCATGGGATACCTTTTTGCCAGTATCAAAGTATGAAAAATAATAATAGGTTTTACCCTTTCTGGCAATAAATATGCCATAAAGGGTTTCGCTGTTCACCCCAAGCTATAAATGCTCTGATACGTGTGTAATGACATGATGACACCTGCTGGTTAGAAAAGGGATACACGGATACAGGCACCGCTAGAACAACATCCAATCTGAAAGGGAGAGGTATCTGGGTAAAAGGTAATGGGCGGGGCTGGCCAAGATGCTCCGGGAACCTGCTCGAAGGTTCCACGAGAGGGCGTGGCCGGAGGCGGAGCCTAGCCGCGCCTGGGGGGATATACGCGGGGGCGGAGGAGGACTCGGGGTTCGTGTGTGGGGTCTTGGGTCCGGGCTGCGTCGCTGCTCGTCGTCATCGCCCTCCGTCGTCCGGCCACGTGGAAGATCTCCTGCGGGCTTCCATCGCCATCCTCGGCACGCCGCCAGTAGAGACGCTAACATCTAAGTGTTGTGCCCAGAGTGAGAGGATAAGGTTGGTCTGTGTTGTGCCCGTGTAAGAATAAAGAAGAAGCACCCTCTACACGACGTGTCGCGGGAGTCGCTCATTACACGTTGCATGGTCTTTGTACTGTTCGCCTTTTGTCGTTCTGTGGTCTGACACTGGTGGTGAGACAAGGCCATAGAGAATGCTGCTGTCTTTGGTGGAGGCCAATCAGTTCCAAAGGCAATACCGTCTATCATCAGAGCCACGTGTTTGTTTGCATGTTCCACAAAAGCATCGTGTGTGGTCAATGTAGTCCATGATTCCATGCAAAAGCTTTGTACTTTGGTGCTTGAACGTCTTGGCACAACTCCCGGTGTTATGCCAGGCAGGGTAAACAACCCGCTCTTATTTCTGAGGCGCTCCACGTTGGTGAGTCGCACAGTCCGTTCTGCTCGAACGCCGCGCGTTTGTTCCATGACGCTGATTGGATGAAATACAGGGTGCTTCAAAACAATGTTAACAATTAGGAGACTCACTGTAACGTAACAAATTTCGATTTAAAGTTTTCGTGACTGCAAGGATTCATCTTCTTTGGTTCTTTCGGTAAAGTCACGTAGAATGAGAATAAAATAATAAATTGATAAAATAAAATAACACAATAAAATTCTCACGACGTTTCGGCCACAACACAAGCGGCCTTCATCAGGTCCTCCAGACAGTCTCGTCCCTTCACCTGATGAAGGCCGCTTGTGTTGTGGCCGAAACGTCGTGAGAATTTTATTGTTATTTTATTTTATCAATTTATTATTTTATTCTCATTCTACGTGACTTTACCGAAAGAACCAAAGAAAACGTAACAAATGTATGTTAATAGCTTCGAAAAGGCAAAGAGTCTCCACCTCAATCTTGATTTGAAGCTTTCGTGACTGCAGGAATCCATACTCTTTGGTTCTTTCGGTAAAGTCATCACGTAGGTATAAAATAAAACAAATTACGACGTTTCGGGCACAACACAAGCGTCTGTGGGAAAGGTTTTCCCACCTGATGATGGACGCTTGTGTTGCGCCCGAAACGTCGTGATTTATTTTATTTTATACCTACGTGACTTTACCGAAAGAACCAAAGAGTAAAAAGTCTCCATTTGTTCACCATCATTGTCAACACGTGCCTGGAATCTTCCAGATGGTATCCAGAGCCCGGAGGTACATTTCTTGTGATATTGTTGCAGTCTCAGAAGCGTTAACATTTTTTTAGAAGCACCTTAAATATATAAACGCCACCAATGTATTTAGGGAACGCATTTTATTTATGGGTTATAACGCAGATGCGAGTTGGATACAACGCGATCTGAGTGAAGGGAGTCGTGTCAAAGTGCGAGCAGGAACACGTGGTCGTGAGAACATGTGGTCGTGAGAACACGTGGTCATCGTTGTTGTCGTTGTTGTCATTGTTGACGTCTTCGTTGTCGTTGTTGTCGTTGTCATCGTTGTCGTCGTTGTCGTCTTCGTTGTTGTCATTGTCATTGTTGACGTCTTCGTTGTCGTTGTTGTCGTTGTCATTGTTGTCGTCGTTGTCGTCTTCGTTGTTGTCATTGTCATTGTTGTCGTCTTCGTTGTCGTTGTCATCGTTGTTGTTGTCGTTTTCGTCTTCGTTGTCGTCATCATTGTTGTTGTTGTTGTCGTCGTTGCAACACAAGCAATCATCTTGCTGTGGTTTTCACACCTGATGATGATTGCTTGTGTTGCAGTGGAAACGTCGTGAGAATTTTATATTTTTATAATTTTATTGTTTCCCTTCTACGTGGTGACTTTACCGAAAGAACCAAGAATATGAACCAGCACTAGTCGTAATCAACTAGGCACTAATACTATCTATACTCTAAACCTTAAGCAACCATCACTAATCCTATGGCTAATCAACTAGGCACTAATACTATCTATACTCTAAACCTTAAGCAACCGCCACTAATCCTATGTCTAATCAACTAGGCACTAATACTATCTATACTCTAAACCTTAAGCAACCGCCACTAATCCTATGTCTAATCAACTAGGCACTAATACTATCTATACTCTAAACCTTAAGCAACCATCACTAATCCTATGTCTAATCAACTAGGCACTAATACTATCTATACTCTAAACCTTAAGCAACCATCACTAATACTATGTCTAATCAACTAGGCACTAATACTATCTATACTCTAAACCTTAAGCAATCGCCACTAATCCTATGTCTAATCAACTAGGCACTAATACTATCTATACTCTAAACCTTAAGCAACCATCACTAACCCTATGTCTAATCAACTAGGCACTAATACTATCTATACTCTAAACCTTAAGCAACCATCACTAATCCTATGTCTAATCAACTAGGCACTAATATTATCTATACTCTAAACCTTAAGCAACCATCACTAATACTATGTCTAATCAACTAGGCACTAATACTATCTATACTCTAAACCTTAAGCAACCATCACTAACCCTATGTCTAATCAACTAGGCACTAATACTATCTATACTCTAAACCTTAAGCAACCATCACTAATACTATGTCTAATCAACTAGGCACTAATACTATCTATACTCTAAACCTTAAGCAACCGCCACTAATCCTATGTCTAATCAACTAGGCACTAATACTATCTATACTCTAAACCTTAAGCAACCATCACTAATCCTATGTCTAATCAACTAGGCACTAATACTATCTATACTCTAAACCTTAAGCAACCATCACTAATACTATGTCTAATCAACTAGGCACTAATACTATCTATACTCTAAACCTTAAGCAACCATCACTAATCCTATGTCTAGTCAACTAGGCACTAATACTATCTATACTCTAAACCTTAAGCAACCATCACTAATACTATGTCTAATCAACTAGGCACTAATACTATCTATACTCTAAACCTTAAGCAACCGCCACTAATCCTATGTCTAATCAACTAGGCACTAATACTATCTATACTCTAAACCTTAAGCAACCATCACTAATCCTATGTCTAATCAACTAGGCACTAATACTATCTATACTCTAAACCTTAAGCAACTCCTACTAATCCTATGTCTAATCAACTAGGCACTAAGACTATCTATACTCTAAACCTTAAGCAACCGCCACTAATACTATGTCTAATCAACTAGGCACTAATACTATCTATACTCAAAACCTTAAGCAACCGCCACTAATACTATGTCTAATCAACTAGGCACTAATACTATCTATACTCAAAACCTTAAGCAACCATCACTAATACTATGTCTAATCAACTAGGCACTAATACTATCTATACTCTAAACCTTAAGCAACCATCACTAATACTATGTCTAATCAACTAGGCACTAATACTATCTATACTCAAAACCTTAAGCAACCATCACTAATCCTATGTCTAATCAACTAGGCACTAATACTATCTATACTCTAAACCTTAAGCAACCGCCACTAATCCTATGTCTAATCAACTAGGCACTAATACTATCTATACTCTAAACCTTAAGCAACTCCCACTAATCCTATGGCTAATCAACTAGGCACTAATACTATCTATACTCTAAACCTTAAGCAACCATCACTAATACTATGTCTAATCAACTAGGCACTAATACTATCTATACTCTAAACCTAAAGCAACCGCCACTAATCCTATGTCTAATCAACTAGGCACTAATACTATCTATACTCTAAACCTTAAGCAACTCCCACAAATCCTATGTCTAATCAACTAGGCACTAATACTATCTATACTCTAAACCTTAAGCAACCATCACTAATACTATGTCTAATCAACTAGGCACTAATACTATATATACTCTAAACCTAAAGCAACTCCCACTAATCCTATGGCTAATCAACTAGGCACTAATACTATCTATACTCTAAACCTTAAGCAACCATCACTAATACTATGTCTAATCAACTAGGCACTAATACTATATATACTCTAAACCTTAAGCAACTCCCACTAATCCTATGTCTAATCAACTAGGCACTAATACTATCTATACTCTAAACCTTAAGCAACTCCCACTAATCCTATGTCTAATCAACTAGGCACTAATACTATCTATACTCTAAACCTTAAGCAACTCCCACTAATCCTATGTCTAATCAACTAGCCACTAATACTATCTATACTCTAAACCTTAAGCAACTGCCACTAATCCTCAGCCTTACCAAATAACCATTAGTACTCACCCTAGCCAGCCCCTAGGGCTACCTCGAAACCTTAACCAACCATTACTAATCCTATGTCTAATCAACTAGCCACGGGTCCTAGCCCTAACCCTAACCAGCCCCGAGGAATAACTGTAATCCATAACCAGCCAGCCATTAGTACTCTGCCTAATCCTAACCAGCTACTATGACTAACCCTAAACCTCAACCAATCAACCCCTAGTTACCCGCCTTACCCTATACCCTAACCAACTAACCCAACCATGAAAATTACCCTAAACCCTGCCCAACCATCACCGATCCTAACCCTAACACTTCAGGCCTACAGTCAACCCTGACCCACCAGCGCTGACCATAACTATCACCAACTGGCCACTCGTACCAGCCTAAACGTTCACCGAAACCCAACCCAAGCACAAGAGCTCACAAGAATCCTGTCAGTGTGTTCGCTGCACCAAAGACAAAGATCCCCCGTGCAGCATTAACGGGCTGTAGGGGCAAGTGCTGTTAACGAGTAGCACCTCTGATGGCCAGCACAGCACACAAGGGGGTGGGTAGCCAACACCATGCCCAGCCGCCTTTGTCTCCCCAATGGCGATGTTTACACCGCACCAGGTACTAATTTGTGGCTGAGTCGACCTAGGGGAGGCCCAAGACCGGTTCAGATATTCGTCGTCACTGGTGTTGGCCGTGAGCGGGAATCGAACTCGGGTTGCTGGGTTCGTGGCTCAGTGCGTTGACCACTTGCGCCACCGCTCCCCACGTTCTCTGCACCACTGCCCCCAAAGCGCCCGTGCCTGGTGTTGAACGTTCCCAATTCTCCTCCTCATCATCAGCATCATGGTGGTAGTGGTGGTCCATCGTTGCTTGGTCTTGAGGTCACCTATTCCTCCTTCAACTCCTGCTCAACATCATCACGTGGTGGTGGTTGGTGGTGGTGTCTTGGCATTGTGGTCTCCTCCTCCTCCCCCTCCTCCTCCTCCATCTTCATCATCGTCACGCCACCAGACACCGTCTCCCTCTAGATGTCTCCTCCTCCCCCTCCTCCATCTTCATCATCGTCACGCCACCAGACACCGTCTTCATCTAGATGTCTCCCCCTCCATCTCCTCCTCCATCTTCATCGTCACGCCACCAGACGCCGCTCGCTCCGAATCTCCTGGTGGGAGCTACTCGTCAGCTTGGACATCAGCTCAGCTTGGCAGCACGGGTCGGCTTCCAACTCGAGCTGCTGCTCGTGCTGATGATGATCATTATCGTGATATTGATGATGATGAAGATACTGCTGCAGCTCTTCCTCCTCCATCTCCTCCTCCTCCATGTCCTCTGCTGCTGATGATGAACTAATCTTGTCTGCAAAGACCAGCGCCAGTACCGAGAGCACGGCGCCAATGAAATACATCTTCACGATGCGACCTGCAGACACCCTTCCGATTTCGGGGTTCGCAATGAGTGTCTGTGGGGGGGGGGGGGTCACAGAGGGGTGGATGGGGAGGGGGTTAGAGGGAATGACCGCAGTGGTTTTATTATTTGTATAATTTTACGTGTACAATCCTCGACTTAAGAACACTCGCACTTACGAACACCCACACTTACGAACACTCACTATGATCACTGTTACATTGCTTTTATGGATTTATTTTGGTGATTTCGAAAAGTTTTTTTGGTTTGGCCATGTTTGTTGTAGTACGGAGTTAGACTGATGGCCTTAATCTAAGTTGTCTTGTGGTTGTTGTTGTTGTTGTTTGACTTGCATCCCACTGGGATTTTTGCACACAGCGTTGGTGTACGGTGCTTTTTTCAGGAATATTTTGCTGTTTTTTTTCATGGATTTTCTGTTTGCACAGTCACATAGTCACTTCAAGATGTTTTTCTTGTTCGTGTTTTTGTTTGTTGCGGTTGCACCCGATTCAAGAGCCGAATGGCTCACAGGGCTATACCAAATACATGAAACTGAAACACCCGACTTAAGAACACCCACACTTACGAACATCCGCACTTACGAACACCCGACTTACGAACACACACACTTACGAATAACCGACTTATGAACGCCTACACTTACGAACACCCACACTTACGAACACCTGATTTACGAACACCCGCAATTACGAAAACCCACACTTACGAATGCCCGCACTTACGAACCAGCTTCCATGAAATATATTTTTAATATTAGTAAACGTCGACTTAAAACGCGAACCTCGCACTGGCAAACTGAACCGCGAACTGTTTTGTTCAGCAGAGCAATCCTCCGCCAGATGTAATGAGTCAGCTTCGCGCAGCGAGTGAGTGTTTGTGTGTGTGCGTGTGTGAGAGACAGTGTGCGTGTGTGTGAAAGTATGTAGGGAGCGGTAGTGTCGTGGTTAACGCTCTGCGCTATGAACCCGGCGACCCGGATTCGTTTCCTGCTCACGGCCAACACCAGGGACGATTATCTGAACCGGTCCTGGGCCTCCCCTAGGTCGACTGAGCCTCAAATGAGTACCTGGTGCAGTGTGTAAACATCGCCACTGGGGAGACAAAGGCGGTCGGGCGTGGTGCTGGCCACCCACTCCCTCGTGTACCGTTCCGGCCTTCATAGGTGCTCGCTAACAGCACTTGCCCCTACAGTCTGTTGAGGCTACAAGGGGGATCTTTGTATGTCTGTGTGTGTGTGCGCTTGGTCCGTGTGTGTCGTTGTCTATATCTGTCTGTGTGTGTCTATGTGTGTCTGTGTGTGTCTTTGTCTGTCTGTGTGTGTCTATGTGTGTCTATGTGTGTCTGTGTGTGTGTCTTTGTTTATGTGTGTCTGTGTGTGTCTTCTCAGCAACCCACGACCACCACCCATCCTTGCAGCGCCTCACGGCTCTCCGAACCTCCGAGCGAAGGCTGCAGTAAGCCTCATTCTCTGACGTGGGATTCTGTAGCCGATGACAGTGGGCCTGTCGCTTTTTCTCAACTGTCCTGAACACCTCCTCTGTCAGCCAGGGTCTCTGGGGAGGTCTGGACTGCGTACCCAAAGCAACCATTGCAGCTGCATGAGTCACAGTCCTAAACCTCGCCCATTTACCCTCGACATCAGGAGGAGTAGGGGACGATGCCAACCCTAGCCGCAAGCGATGATGAAATTCTCGCTTGCAACTTTCATCAGATATATGAGACCAGGCCACTTTAGGTTGGAATGGGGTCCTGGGTGTACACCACCACCGAAGTGGAAGAATGGCAGGCGCATCTTACAGATGACTAGTCGATGGTCAGAGGGCAGATCAGCTCCACGGTAGGTCCTGGTGTCAAAGACATGGGCTCGCATCCACTGGCCCGTCACTCTGTAGTACAGCAGATGTTCTTGCTTGGACCCAGCATGCATCCATGATGTTGTGTGGATGTGCCGATGCCGGAACAGCGTGTTGGTAATTACAAGCCCATGGGCTGCACACAAATCTAGCAGCCTCGTACCGTTGTTATTGAGCTGATCTGGTCCATACCCTCCAATCACTCCAGACCAGGTGCCAGCATCATGACCTGCCTCAGTGGCCCGCGATCACAAATCACTATTTAACTCCATCAAAAAGTAACCTGCAGCGCCACACCTATTACCATAATTAGGGGAAAAAACGGTGATCCAATCTCCGACCCCCAGGAACAGGTTTGCAGATTTGCTGAGCATTTCTGTGAGGTCCTGAGGGAGGAAAACATCGTGGCACAAAGTGAGGATGACCCTGCTGAGGCTGTGGTGCCTCAAATATTGGAAAAAGTCACCCCCTGTGAGTGGCTGGCTGAAGTGCCATCTGTTGAAGTACTGAAGGCGATCCGGAGTCTGAGACCAGGAAAGGCAGCGGGCAGAGATGATCTCCCAAGCGAAATGCTGAGGGAGGGTGCCGTTTGTGCACAGACTGCCCTATATGACATCATAACAACAGTCTGGACCACTGGACGGGTTCCGCAGGATTGGAAGGATGCCCTGGTGGTCCCCCTCTTTAAGAAGGGGGACCGCACAGACTGTAACAACTACAGGGGCATCTCACTCCTCAGTGTGCCGGGAAAGGTCCTGGCAAGGATTACTCAATATCGCCTTACCAGGCACGCTGAGGAGAGGCTTGCGGAGCCCCAATGCGGTTTCAGGAAAGGGCAGTCCTGCACAGATGCCATATTTTCTGTCCGTCTGCTACAGCAGAGGTGTAGGGAATTCCAGCAAGACCTACATCTCTGCTTTATTGACCTGGTCAAGGCCTATGATACCATCAGTAGGCCTGGGCTCTCGGTTGTTCTTCGTGCTTTTGGCGTACCTGACCCTCTGCTCACGATCATTAAGGACCTTCATGATGGTGAGTGGGCCCGGGTAAAACTACGTGGCCGAGAGTCCGAGCCATTCCCTGTACACCTTGAGGTGCGACAGAGATGTCCTCTGGCTCCCACATTATTTAACATCTATTTTGACCACATAGTTCGTGAAGCCTTCAATAGCTGTACCGGGGGAATCTCCATACGGTACAGATATAATGGGAGGCTGATCGATGCCCGGGTGCGGTCAAGGGATGGCTCCCTATTGCTCAACCACGTTATATATGTTGATGATTTGGTAATAGCTGCTCATTCAGAGGAGGAGTTGCAGACGCTTCTGCTGAGATTGGAGCGTGCCACTAAGAGATGGGGCCTTACCATCAGCCCCACCCAAACTAAGCACCTGCCTGGGTATTTTGTAGCATCGGACACTCCACCCCCACAACTCCCAATCGGTGATGGGGCAGTTGTGGAGAAAGTGGAGAGTTTCCCATACCTGGGCAGTGTGCTTATGACCGGCTCCAGTTTAACAGCAGAGGTCTCACTCCGAATCAGTCGAGCGGCAATATCTTTTCATCGGTTGTGTAACGCTGTGTGGAAGCTACCTGGTCTGTCGCTCCGCACTAAGCTTCAGGTCTTCTTGGCCACGGTCATTCCCTCACTTCTCTACGCTTGCGAAACGTGGACCCCCCTAATGGAACATCTTCGCCGGTTAGAAACATTTAGGCTGGCCTGCCTACGATCTATCCTGGGTTTAACCAGACAGAATTGTGTGAGGAGCTCACAAATCCTTGAAAGATCTGGGCAAGGTCCCATCGGTGAGCTCCTCTGGCGGGCAAGGCTGCGATGGCTGGGTCATGTAGCCCGCATGCCCAGCCACCGCATGCCGAAACAGCTTTTGTTCGGCCGGATCGAGGGGGCTAAACGGGCGCGGCACGGGCTAGAGAAGAGATGGAGTGATGTGGTACAGGAGGACGTGGAGCTGAGTGGACTTGCCGATGACTGGAACCAGCGGTGTCAAGATCGGCCTCTGTGGAGGAGGCTCGTGAAGGACGCTACTGGGCAGTTGGAGGTAGTCGCCCTCCAACAACAACAGAGGGCGGAGGAGCGACGCTCACAACAACGAGCGGAGCGCCGGGTGGCTAAAGCACAGCAGGTTGGCATAGTAGGGGGCACAGGTGGTGCATCAGTCAGTCATCTCAGTCAGTCGACCCGTGGCACCTGGGTCTGCTCCGTGACCTGCTGCCAGCGGGCGTTCGACACTTCACGTGGCCTCAAGGTGCACATAGCCTGGCACAAGCGTCGTG